AAAATAACCTTTAATATATTTAACTGACAGAAAATAACTTTTAATACATTTAACTGACAGAAAATAACCTTAAATATTTTTGACTGACATTAAATAACCTTAAATACATTAAACTGACAGAAAATAGCCTTTGATACATTTAACTGACAGAAAATAACCTTTGATATATTTAACTGACATGAAATAACCTTAAATACATTTAACTGCCATAAAATAGCCTTTGATACATTTAACTGACAGAAGATAACCTTTAATACATTAAACTAACAGAAAATAACCTTTAATATTTAAGTGACATAAAATAGCCTTTAATACATTTAACTGACAGAAAATAACCTTTGATATATTTAACTGACATAAAAAGAGCCTTTCATACATTTAACTGACAGAAAATAGCCTTTAATATATTTAACTGACATAAAATAGACTTTCATATATTTAACTGACATAAAATAGACTTTCATATATTTAACTGACATAAAATAACCTTTAATATATTTAACTGACAGAAAATAGCCTTTAATACATTTAACTGACATAAAATAGACTTTAATATATTTAACTGACATAAAATAGCCTTTCATACATTTAACTGACATAAAATAGACTTTAATATATTTAATTGACATGGAAGCATCCTAAGATACTTTACCAAAATTATAAATTTCGTGGCCCCAGGGTCTATCATTTCCCCTTGTTGAGGGGGTAAATTTTACTATAGTTTACATAGGGAAAAACATTTTTGAGCATAATTATTTTGATTTCCGAAAGATACATTTCAAACTTGGTTAGAATTGTGACAGAGGATGGCGACTTGATAGTATAGCCATAGCGATCCTGACTGACCCCCAGGGGCTGATGGGCGGTTCCTAAAGCGGTCAAATTATGTATTGACACTGGCGTACTATTATCAATGTCACAATTTCTTTTTCATGACACTTGGAAGCTGCTTAACCTATAACCTTTATTTTAAATATTGTTTGGAGAGAGAGAGAGAGAGAGAGAGAGAGAGAGAGAGAGAGAGAGAGAGAGAGAGAGAGAGAGAGAGAGATATGGTGGGAGTGGGGGAGGGGGGAGGGAGGAGTGTCCTTTTCAATTTCGGCCAATATAATTTTTCAGATATCGAAAAAACGCCTATATGGGCCTTGTTTGTGTTCCCCTCCGAAGGAGAGGGGGGGGGGGGGGGGGGGGTCATGAGAATCAACGAGATCTGCCCGATGTTCCAATGAAATGCTGTGCAGCTTTGGCAATTTTCATATTTTTTATTGCACGAAATATTTGCATCACCTTTACAAAAATATCAACATTAATATCACCTTAGTACCATGATAATTCTGTGTTAAAAGTTTCTTGTAGATTAGCATATAAAGTAATAAAGAAGTGGTAACACAGGGGTGCCCACGTTGGCAATCGGCTGAATCGGTGAGATTTGATCTAAAGAAGTCATAATTATGAAAACTAGCGCGGTTTCTTAGACGACAGTGTAGGATATTAAGTCTTCTAGACACACGTGATTTTTACAAATTTAAAAGGGGCATTTTCGTGCTCATTATGTCGGCTGTTTGGCGTGTTTTTGCGTTAGAAACAGCATGAAATGGCGAAAAGGCGACCATAGTTAACTACTTATTGAGTTAATTAATGTTTTCTCACGTTCAATCTACATCTTGGTTTATCCAGACTGAGTGAGTGTCCTCGGGTCTTTTTTTGTATAATGTTCCTCTTCAAAAAAACTTCGATCATGTATCCCTCTCATATGCCTATAGAACAACGAATGTAGTTTTAACAATCTTTCATTCCTGGCAGTAATTTAGTAGCCCGCCGTTGGATACCTTTAAGAATTTCAATGTCTTGTCGATATATGGTTTCCACACGCCTGCTCTGTACTTCAGACGAGGTCAACCAAAGCTCTATGCAGTAAGGAAAATGATTTGTTATCAAAGTATGTTCTTCTGATGGCTCCAAGTATTTACAATACTTTGTTGACATCAGCTTGACTATCACAATGCCTCCGCTAGGAATCGAACCCGGGACCCCTGAGACGTTCTCTCTAACAGTTTGGTATATTTCGCCATGTATTTTACAAGTGTTACATGAATATAGTTTCTAAAAGTTGATTTATTGTCGTCGATCATTCCACTGTCTTTTTCTTCTATTTCCTCAGACAGCGTTATTTAGTGTATTGTGTTCTATTGTATTGTGTTGTATTGTATTGTATTTGATACTTTTTATCGTTAACAGTATACGTTGACGATTCCAATTTTGGTTATTTTGCATTTTAGTATCAAAATCAATCAACAGAGGAAATTTGTATATGTTATGCATGTGACATTGAGTTGTGACATTCTTGTGTTTTTAAACAACGCGAGAAAAGTTATAATCAAATAAGAAATAAACAATAATTTGATATTATTTGTGTTCCCACTGAACGTCGAATCTCAACTTGTCAGTATTGTAACTCTCCTATGTTTGGAGGTAAATAAATCAATATTATGAAAATTGACAGCTGAGTGGGAAAGAAGAAAGGAAGCGTGAGAAGGGATTGCCATTGTGTTTCTGACGATATAATGACACGGGATTAAGAAGTTTTTTTGTAAAAAAAAACGGAGACCGGTCTATAATGATCTTGGCGGGTTAGGCAACAAGTGGAACAACGCATACTGGAAAATTTGCAAAGGTCATTATTCACAAGCACAGCGTACGTTGTATAGAAGAGTATCAACTTGTTTGGAATACTTACGAGCTTTCGGAGATCGAAGCGTAAATGGGTAGATGGTAGAAAATGAAGGAAAGTTGAAGAAGAAACCAAACGGAAATAAGTTGCATCATCTCTTTATGAATTGTAAGAATCGTTGTCTCAATTTCTTTTTTTAAGACTGTTGCATAAGCATCTCCCGTCATGTTGTGGAAATATATGATATTGACACCGTCAGCTCTGCTGAAATCGTGTGATATTGTCTGTCATTTGATATGATATTACGCATATTTTGTGTTTTTACACTGAATAACTTTTGAAAGTTAAATGCATTGACTCCATATATTTTTCTTTTTAAAATATCTTTTGATTTTCACACACATACAGTCGGTTTTTATAAACAATATTTAAACAGTGATTTTCATAACTGCCCACAGTTGCACTCTACTTCATTGCAAAAAATATCGACCAAACCCAAATTTCAATTGGGACAAGTGATCTACTATAGGTATAATTTGAATTTTAAACTTTGGGGTAACATGCAAACCAAATGAGGACTGTGAAAGACAGGTGGTCGGAGATTTTTCACCTTAATTGAAAGCTACAGAGGATCAGTCTACTAACTGATCATGACTGTCTATTGGTGATTAATCCAGGGTGATTCTACAACAAATTAATAGATTCTTAACTTTTTTTCTATCCTTATTATATATTCTGTATATATCAATACTTGCCAAGAAAATGTTGTGCTGATATATGTTATTCTGAAAAGGGCTTAATGCCTGATAAATATCATTCTGTAATAGAAACATGTAGGTGTGGTGGTTTATTCATAGTGTTAAACACTGTCGCTATCACTTAGGTAAGTAGCATCCTTTTTTGGCTTTGAGCCATAAGTTGTCATGCCAGAGACCCAGGTTCGATTCCTGTGCAGTGCCACTATAGTGGAATGAGACAGAAATGTATTTATTGCTGTTCTTGCACTTGGATGTCCTGTGAAATCTCAGGGATTGTGATATTTAGAATTTTTGTTTGTTTGTTTATTGTTGCTTTACATCGAGAATCATTTTTAATCAGGGAGAATCAATCTCAACAGGCTAGAGGAAGGTTCTTCAATCTTTTATAAGGTAGGATGTCTACCGGTTTCGCCCTTTATGTCGGGCTTTTTCAGCCCATAGCTTCTTGCCTGTTCAGATTGATCCTTCCTGATTTAAGCTCACCTCCTCTAATCAGTCCCCAGCATACCCTAGGGTATCCAGGTGAAAGGCGCTAGACCCATTGATACACTCCCTATATAGAAGCAGCAGCATTGGCTGTACTTCTGATATATTAGAATAGTTTCAAGGACATACCAGGGTTGAACGATTGAGTAAAAGCAGGAGTTCCCCCCAAAAAAAAACCACGGACCTGCGGCTCCAAACTGGTGACTGCCCATTAAACCTCACATCTGCAACCCAGAGGAGAAGTTCTTATATTATAAAGATTGTCATATATCTTGACCACTTGATCACTGTGGCCACGAGTTTGAGATTAAAGAAATCTCAAGAAAAACAGGGGGAGTAGTGTAAAAGGAACAAGTCATTGTGGCTTTGTTTATAGTAGGAAGTACTGTCTCTGTCACTCAGCTGATGTAGCACACTGCTTTGTCTAAATTGATAGAGCTAAAGATTTTCACAATGGAAACCCAGGTGCCTTTCCTGTCAGGATGTTTGGCTGGAATTTGTTTTTCTCTGGTCTATCACTTTGCTGTGAATACATGGCAAAATCAATTACTTAGAAAAGATGCAGCCAAAAAGTACTAGTATTATGCACTCTATTTATCCTGTAATTTGTCCAGAGTTGGGTTTGTAATTGATCTGAATAATTATTTGGAATATATAAAGTTAGACAGGCTACCAGCCCCTAAGTTTTATTTAGAAACACTCATTGCAATTTTCTACAAGCTTATCTTCGCTTCTTTTTAAACTTAAAATCATACATTTCAAAATGATTCAAATTATTAAACTCAAACTTATTGATGATTTCGATATTATGGAGACTGGGGCCAGTCATTTATAAATTTAGTTTTTTTCTTTTTGACAGGTTTGAAGAATAGGGAAAAGTCTGTATTTTAACAAAAGGAGAGGTGTTTATTAGAAAACATTAGAACAACTAGGTGACCTCTGAATAACATTTTCTTCGGGGAAGTTTAAACATCAATACCTTGTGTGAAGGGAGATAATCTCTGGTCAGTTGATGAAGGTGTGCAAGGAGAGTTAACTATAAATCACCTGTGCAAGGGGAGATAAATTCTAAACAGCTGTGAAGGGGAAAAAACATTGATCAGCTGTGCAAGGAATGGATAGAGTGCATGACTCTGTGGCATGGTACCAAAAAAAGGTAAAATCATTTATAAAAAATAAGATAATTCCTATTTGTCTCTTTTTTCTTTTGCAAATATCTTTGTTTATATTTCAATTTGTTGGATTCTTTCTAAATTTATTATGTGACATGCTCATTGACTTCTTTTGCAATGTACTTGATTTCCTGGCAATCCAATACATTTCAGATCGGATCATATGACAAGCATATTTGGGAGCAGTCTTCTGAACAGAAAGTCCTAAGGGTATGTATTTATTGTAAGGTGCATACTCAATAGAAATCAGTGACTGAATGTTTATAGTTATCTATCATAAACCTGAAGTTATCATTGCCAACTAATATCAGCAGGTGATTCACATATCATGTTACTCTACTTTGGGGCGTTTCTGGTCTCAGTGACAAGAAATGGTGACAGATTAAACAGATGAATATGTTTTATTGGTAAATATATAATTATTTCATGATTGCCTTAGTATTCCACGAATTTGTGCATGAATTATTTTTACTTATTACATACAGGTTATATGGTACATTATGACGTCACTTTGGACAATAGAATGAGGTCACAGATCGCATTGTGATGTGACAATGAATACCATACATATTGAGCAAACATCAAGTTTGTCCATTTTCTTTGAAAAATTTATCATATGATAAAAATTATCATAAATTTGTTTCCATTTGATAAATGATTTATAAAACTCGTCCAAAATGTGTGCCATTGATTGGTAAAATGAAAAATTCTTAGACTGGTTTCATAACTTTACACGGAAATACATGTAAGGTAATACAAATATACTTTTTATATAATTTTCATATTTGGCTAAAATGATAATGTTTAAGACCTTTCATCCCCAGTAGCTGACAACTCTTTTAAGTTTGGTTTGAAAATAAGTAGTGACAGAATTTCTTCTCCTCTCTTTGATGACTTTGGACTTTTTAGTATACATACAACTGGCACCAAAGACAAATAGTCATTAGCCTAATTTTTTGTCAGAAGAGGATTTTCTTTGATTCAGACTTTTTTTTTCAGAGTATACAACTGGCACCACGGAGAAGTGTTCGTCAGAAAACAGAACTCATTGATGTTGATCTTGTTCGAGGTGAAACTGAACACATGACATTTTTAGGGCTTTACAGGCCAATAATAAGCCCCATTCCCAATTGAAGTTTTTTCATATTTAAGCCAAATTCCTAAAATTAGCAATTTACTCCTGAAAATCTCCTTCTCAAGTTACCAAATTTTTTTCCAAAATGAAGCAAAAATGTCATGTTTGAGATATACATGTATAGCAATTTGGTTATAAAAAATGTCATGTTTGAGATATACAGGTATAGCAGTTTAGTTATGAAAAATGCATCATTACATGTATATATATATACAAAAGATATATGTTTATAAACTACGTAACAATTACATTAATAGTAGAGAGATCAAATTTGTGTAAATAAAAAATTTCCTCTGATTTCTGATATGTGATTGCCATGGTTACCTACTGAAAAAATGCTAAAATACTGCTAATTCCAACCTAACGCTACAACTTTATTAAGGAAATTTATTTCTGAACACCTGTCTTAAAATCAACAACACTGTCATGGTAACAAAGTACTTACATTTCAGCAAATTCCAACTCAGAAATCCTTCACAACATGACCACATATAAAAACTAGGAAAAAATCACTTCCTGTAAAGCTAGTATTTGGTGCATAGACACACGTTCGAGACTGCCCAAATAGTAATCTCCAAAACAAAGCTAAAATATTACTCTAAAAAGATGAAACAGCACATTGTCCACTTCAACATGACAATACCAATTTTAGCAAGGATTTATTTTTTAAATTTTGATTAAAACCTTTATAAACAGGTAATGAACAAAAATATCACCCATGGCCACACCAAGAAACTGTGTATTGCTACCCAAGAACTTCTTTCATATAAAAACCCTTTGCTTGTTCCCATAGTGATAGATATATAAATTATTGGTACTTGTTTTGATGTTTTTGTTAAATAATTGAAATTCACGAAATTTTAGTTTTGAGCTTTTTAGCAGAGATAGCTTTCTAATTCAAAACTCACAAGTTCAGATGTATTATGTTATGATTACTTCAATATCTGTATTCCTCCGGAAAAGGAACAATTCAGAAACATTGATTTTAAAATTGAGGTGATCCCAATGGAACTGTTAATTGTATAAAGTGAGAGAGAAAAGAAAACCATGTACGTGTGGCTTATTTCGATTCAAATTTAATCAAGAAAGTCATTTTTATTTCAGGTTCAACATTCTCCAGAGCCAAACCACAAGTGTCATGGACAAACATAACCCTCAAAGCCATTGTGAAAGTTGTATTCTTTCCTCTATATCACAAATGGTCAGTATGGATTTTCCCATAATACAGAAAAATTGTAGCTTCAGTAGGATAAAAAAAGGGGGTGTTTGTTAGCAGTGAGGTTTTCTTGGGCTCGATCTTCCATTCCCAGAAAACACTTTTAAATAAACCACCTTGGATTTATTTCATGAATTAAGATTCAAGAGGAAGTTTTGTATTGTCCATGTTTTCACCTGCTTGTGATTCAGAGAAACCAATTGAACTTTGTTAAAAAACAAACAAAAAAAATGTTGTGTAAGGGGATAAATCTCTGATACATTAAATAAAATAATGTAAGGGAATTCAGTCCTGATACATTCATTTATATAAGGGGACGTAACTCTGGCAGATGTTATTAGTTACGATCGTAAAACTTCCCATCATTTTCATCAATCTGCATCATTTGAAACTGTGTTACGAGTTTGCGCATCAGTTGACAACTTCTTGGGAACAGACCCTTAAATACCAAATCAACTGCAACATGTTAACACCATAGACTGGGGATGCAGGGATGTTGCTGAAAAAAAACAGAAGGTTCAAAAGTGTTTATGGCTTAGATACTTTACCTTCCATCTGGTCTCATTCTACTTGTACTTTTTTCAAGGGTCTCTGTGTTATCATTCATTTGTTCATATTTTGTCATAGTTTTATGGAATTTGAGTCTGAATTAAATTCTGTTGACTGTCTTCTTTTATTTCAATCGTTCAGGTGGCTGCAGCAGATGCCATTGAAAATGTTTGTGTTCCTCATGGTGCTATTCGTCATGCAGGTCATCAGCCTCATCATCTTCTTCAGGAATGTTGGAGGCAGCGTAATGAAAGATGTAAGAAGAAAAATGTCTGTTGAACTTTTGTTATCCTAGCAATTGTGTTGTCTTTACCGCATAGTAAACTGCTAAGATTGAAGCACATCTACCCGAAATTCATTCCAGACTGCAATTATGAGTAAAATTATATTGTAGGAAATGGTCTCCAGGACATTTTGCTCAGATAGTAAATTGTATTTAGGTTTTGGTAGGCATAGCGTTTGTTTTGTATCAAATGTTTTTATTTTAAACAACTTGTTGAAGATTTTTTATTTTACACAGGAGCAGACACTGTCTGAGGTTGTGATCCCTGCCTTATTAATGTTGATCCTGGGTCAAATACATTCCCAAACTGTTCTGTCCCACTTTTCACATCGATCTCAACACCGGGACAACAAGTTAGCCCGCAAGTCGTCCACTGGACTCATCAGGTAACACTGACTGAAGAATTTGTTGTTATCATTTGACAGGTATATTGACACCAGATGTTTATTATCTATATTGAATATAATGTAAACTTTATTTATTCGAAAACAATTGCAAGACAAGATTTTGCAACCTATACTAATCTCTCTTGTTGGTCTGGATGCAAGCCTGTGAGGGGCCTTACTGTGGGAGGAAACTGGAGTACTCGGGAAATACCCACATGGTCGAAAGGGTGACACCCTACCTTTCCACCTCCATTTTGGGAATCAAACCCCAGACAACTGTGCAAAGGGCGAATGCATTACCACTTTGCCACCCAACCACCCATGATTATTTATGTTTTATTTATATTTATATACTTAATACTTAGGTTATTTATTTATTCAATAATTTGATCTAACACAAGCCTCTAGGCAGATGTCATGTAAAATATTGTTGGAGGAGGGTTATCAAGTCAATATGGACAAGAATGTGATATTCTATTTATCATAATCAATAGAATATCAGAGAAAACTTCAAATTTATTGCCCTATACTGCATGCCTGTGACTTCTATCAAGCCATGGCTGAGCAAGCATGTAATTTAGAAAGGGTGATCATGAAATTGTTGTTCTTTAAAAACCAAAGGAAAATGTTTGTTCTCAACCACATATTTTTTAAATAGATGATATCTTGGTTGCAAGGAATCTTAAAATACGAAAGTCCAAAATGGCAAATTAAATGTGTGTACAAATTACTGATACAGATATTTTTCTTGGTTACAGGGAATCTAAGATTAGGAATTCCAAAATGACCGATGTAAAGCGCAGTTATTCTGTCCCAAGTCAAGCAGTCGGAACCATTTATGAAAACCTTCCTCAAGGCTCCAGTACAGATGTGAACCCAACATCGAAACAGAATCGAAAACCTCCACCAGACAGACTTGTTTCAAACAGTAAAGTAGACGTCAAAAAACAAAAAAATTCAATGGATAAAGTTAAAAAGTACAATTTTTCCGATAAAGGCACAATCATAAAAACTGGAGCAAATATAACAGAACAGAAATCTGTAAGCTGGAGTGATGCATACTGTGTCAAGACGTCACACATGAGTGGACACGAGAGTCCAGATAGTGATGCACGCACAGATGAGGAGGATTATCAAATGGAGAATAAAGAAATCACAGAAAAAGATCTCGGTTCAGAAGAAGAAACAGAAAATGTAAAGTGTTCAAAAGAAAATCTCAAAAGTTCAGCAGATAATTTAAAAAATAATGTTGGTGAAATTTCTCCCCAGACCAGTCAGATCAGTGTAAAAAGTACCAATGTAGTGAATCAAGATTCCAATACACCAGAAAGCATAATGGCTTCTGTTGACTTTGTACAAAAGAAAAAACAAAGCAACATATATCATATAAATGATGAATTTGAAGAAATCCTTGACTCTACACTTACAGAAGATGTAAGAAATGGAGAACCATTTGATAATCTAACTTCAGATCTTCAACATTCTAAACAAGTGACTGTAAGTAACGGTCAAATTGTGACTGACACAGAATGCCTAACAAAATTCTCAGACAACCATTTACCAGACACAACAGACAATATTCAAATCTTGCCCAAGGAAAATTTCTCAAATTCTCACAATGGCATAAAGGATAATATCTCGCTTAAGCCTTCGGTATCGACAATTTCCAATGGTAGTGATGATGTTTTTGTTGATGATAATTCCGCAACTGTGTTTAAAAATAATTTAATTGAAGAAAATGCCAGTGATTACAGCCCACAAGATACTGAGTCAGTTTGTAACTCTAGTCACGGCAGTATTGAATCGGGATCAATGAAACGTTTCATGTCATCATCTGTTACAAGTAAAAGTAGAACACAGTGTGAAACAGGATCAGATTCCGATGATACTCACAACAAAGCATTTTCCTACAAAGGCTTGAGGAGAAGGAAAAATGCCGGTTTGGAAGAATCTTCAGAGTCAAATTCTACCATTTTTCGATCACGACGTCCTCCATCAACCCTTAATATGAAAACCAGAGAGAGTAAAGGCAGTACAGGGATCAGTTCTTCGGAAGGAGAAACGTCATACACTCCTGATGGGAGCAAGGTATGGAGTCGTATTGATTTTGAAATTACATCAATTTTACTGATATTTTCCAAATATTTCTTTAAAAGGCCAATTGTTCTAAGTCCTGTGGGTTTTTTCTGAAGAAATATGATAGATATTGTTCAAGAAAACTTAATTCTTATCCAGTCAGAACATAGGTATAATTCTTACCCAGAGTCAGAGCATGGGCAATGAGATATCATTGGTTTATAATTGAAATGAGCAGAAATGTATGGGTGTTCTTATTCCCAGGCATGGTAATTACGGTATATCATGACAACAGTGTTTTTCCTTTGTATAAATAGTATCTCGGACAATACATATCGTATTTGTACATTTAGATGTATTAAATATGCATAAATAATAATGATATGGAAATTTGATAAATATTTTCATGACTTTGATAAAGGGACAAACTATTGAATTGTGTTGTTTACTCAAATGAATGAACCAAATTCATTTTCCGAATTTATGATGACAATCTTTAACTAAGTGCCTTTATGCTCAGGCTGGAGCAAGTTCCGAGGCTGAGTGGGAAGATCGGGTCCAGTCGGATATCACAACCTCAACGTACTCTAGCAGCTCTGCTTCGGACAATGATATCTCAGATAATGATGCACAAGACATCACAGAGGACTGTCCAACAGATCCTGGCCTACCTCCTACTACAGGCTCAGCAAGCATGACAGGGGACAGAAATACCAAAGTTACAAGCAATTTGCATGTAATTAATCTACTTCAGCCTGTATGTATCTCTTTATCTTCCTTCTCTGCATGCTTCAATAGATATTTCTTCCAAAAGCATGCATTCAGTATTTGCACTTTTGTAACAGCAAATTTCATATGTCAGACTTTTTTCATTAGATAGTGACCAAAATGATTTCATACTTTTTTCAGTACTCAGAATAAAATGTTACAGAATGTTATGTTAATATCAGGTTTTCTTTCATGATTTGCCAACATTATTTTTATTCAGTCAGAATAATTTTCATTAGATATTTTGATAAATTTTTGATATCAGATTTCACTTTAATTTTAGTATAAATATATTTCTATATATTTACTATAAATTTTCTTTATTTTTCCGAAAAAATAAAATGATAAGAACTAAAGAAATCTTGCTTTACAAAAATAAAGATGAAAATTGAAAAGTAGGGTTTTTGATAAAACGTTTTGGAACTAGCTGTTACAACATTTGTGTTATCCACTTGTGTGCATTTGCTTCATTTTGAACAATTCCCCCCCTCCTCCCTTTTTTTTTTGCATATACATGTAGTGAACTAGTTCAGAAATTTTGGAGCATGAGGCCTTTAGCATCCTAATTGAATTTTGTGTTTTTGTAAAAAATAATCATTATATGTGTCCCTTATAGTTTTTTTTTTTATTATTATTTTGCTGCTGGCTTGAAATTATAAAAAACAAATTTTTAAAAAATGAAAAACTTTCCTGATATGTTTCACACTTAAAAAATACATACATGTAGATTATTTGTTGAAGTTCAATTTTGAAATGAAACTTGATAATAGATAAATGAAATTTTAGGAAGTAAGAACTGAGATACAAACAGGATTTATATATTTATGTATGTTATATGCTGTGCTATGACTTAGATTTTGCTTGAATCAGTTTTGCCTTCAAGAAAAAAGAAAATTTCATTTTAACTTACTTATATTTATGACATGCATTACACATATGTATGAAAAATAATTGTAAAACAACAAATCTTTTACCGTGTCCTTTACTGACAATTACTTTTCATGGAATCTTCAATAAAAATGTTTTCGTAATGATCATTTTTTAAGGAAGTTGATAAACTACATCGGTAACATTTCACACCTTTGAAGTGATAGGCAGTTCACTTTCTGATGTGATATAGTTGTGTATAAGTGATAATTAGACTTTTTGTAACTTTATTTTCAAAGGGAAGATATCCTTCATTGAGGACTCGATCATACAGTATCGGGTGTTGTGTAAGCGGCCGAGGGCAGTCTGAACATGTTAGTGTCGGGTAGAGTGTGTGTCCGTGTGCTGCCTTAATCAATGTGGCCAAACGATGGTCATTTATGTCCATTTGACTGGTGAATTGATAAAGAAATTTTATGGTTGTCATTTATTGTTAAAAATATAGAGAAAAGGTTGATGTTGTCATGGGCTTGTTTTCATCCACTATTTATGCTGACGGAATAAAATTGCTAAAACTGAAATCCTTAAAAGTAAGATTGAGAAAGATTACTAAACCAGGACATTTTTATGCCTATGGTGACAAGTACATCTTTTCTAATTGAAAGTTTTGTTAAAACTATGACATTTTGAACCAGAAAAAAAATTATCAAGTACATATTTGGTTGTGTTCATTCTGAAAATTACAGAGATAATTGTATGAATCATTCATTTAATTCCATGCTTTTATGGAATATAACTTCACAACCCTAAACCTTATATTTCGCAGAAAAATAATTTTTCACGACACATGTTCAATAATTGATTTGTGTTGCTGATTTGATATCTGCGATGTTTACAACTTGTGAATAATCATGAAATTTCTATCAGTTCTCCGTATATGTATGTTATTTACATATATTTATCTTACAATCAATAACAGACTGAAAGGAAGATACAGGACTTCCACATTTTTTCTTTTTTAAACAAATTGATTAATTTTTTAGTTCAGTTTAAAAAATTGCCTTCCAGCTTTTTGTTATTCACTACAATTTTTTTAATTCTATGTATGATCAAAAATATTCCCTTAAAGTTCAAATCATATCAGATAAATTTTTTTCCTTACATGTCATATTCAATGTCGGTAATATTTCAGGGTGAAAAATTACTTCTATATATACTTTTCTAAATTAAAAAAACTGTTCAGAAAATTTTACAACTTAGCTGTAGCAGCCTTAACAGATAACTAGGAAAGATTGTTTTTGGAATTCCTGGATCTTCCACTTACCGTAAATCTCACAATATTGGTGAACAATAATTTTTCTAATATTACACTTTCTTTTCTTAAGGGTTTTCTTTTTTGTGGAAAAAGATAAAATATGCCTGGTGTTTTTCAGAGATTGTACTACTATACGCGAATATTTACGGTAGATATCGTAAAATGTGCTGGAATTCATCAATGTTTCTTCTGATTTCACAGAAAGGAAAGTTTCTTTGAAAAGAGAGATTTACAGTTAAATATTAATCATTCTATAAATAGTTGTTTAATGTTGGCAAAGTGCCAAAGATTTTTCATATCACCTTTAGTAAAAATGTCTTTCCTATATCATCTGAAAATAACCAACAAAATGTCTTCGTTGTAATTCTCCTCCCATTGTTATATTTCACATTTCTTAACATTTGGAAACTATTTTGGGGGTAGGGCTATTTAACATCATGAAACTTTTATAATTTTGGAAACATTTATTTTGGAGAGGATATGATTTACCTTCTGAAATTTCTCATCAAAACTAATTTGCGACTGTTTATTCCGAAAATTGTTTTTGAGCAAAAATTTGTTGATTTTTGGGGATTGGTACGGCAGTGTAATGGTATCACATCACTAAGAATGATAGTACATAGTCAGGACATTATAGAATATTGACCACAAAGCAGACATGGCAGGCAGTGATGGAAAGTTTTAAATATGCTTAAAAATTCTGCCATTGTGCTGCTGTACTCAAGTTTCATCCAACACTGAATAGGCTGCTTTCTGTCTGGCCCAAACTATACTAATACTGTCAGTGTTACACCCAATGTACCACACTAAAACTGTCTGTCTTACTGTGGTATTGTCAGTGTTACACCCAATGTACCATACTAATACTGTCAGTGTTACTGTAGTATTGTCAGTGTTACACCCAATGTACCATACTAATACTGTCAGTGTTACTGTAGTATTGTCAGTGTTACACCCAATGTACCATACTAATACTGTCAGTGTTACACCCAATGTACCATACTAATACTGTCAGTGTTACACCCAATGTACCATACCAATACTGTCAGTGTTACTGTGGTATTGTCAGTGTTACACCCAATGTACCATACTAATATTGTCAGTGTTACTGTGGTATTGTCAGTGTTACACCCAATGTACCCTACTAATACTGTCATGTTACTGTAGTATCGTCAGTGTTACACCCAATGTACCATACTAATACTGTCAGTGTAACACCCAATGTACCATACTAATACTGTCAAAGTATCTGTAGTATTGTCAGTGTTATACCCAATGTACCATACTAATACTGTCAGTGTTACACCCAATGTACCATACTAATACTGTCAGTGTTACTGTAGTATTGTCAGTGTTACACCCAATGTACCATACTAATACTGTCAGTGTTACACCCAATGTACCATACCAATACTGTCAGTGTTACTGTGGTATTGTCAGTGTTACACCCAATGTACCATACTAATACTGTCATGTTACTGTAGTATCGTCAGTGTTACACCCAGTGTACCATACTAATACTGTCAGTGTTACACCCAATGTACCATACTAATACTGTCAGTGTTACACCCAATGTACCATACTAATACTGTCATGTTACTGTAGTATTGTCAGTGTTACACTCAATGTACCATACTAATACTGTCAGTGTTACACCCAATGTACCACACTAATACTGTCAGTGTTACTGTAGTATTGTCAGTGTTACACCCAATGTACCATACTAATACTGTCAGTGTTGCACCCAATGTACCATACTAATACTGCTGTGTTACTGTAGTATTGTCAGTGTTACTGTAGTATTGTCTGTGTTACACCGAATGTACCATACTAATACTGTCAGTGTTACACCCAATGTACCATACCAATACTGTCAGTGTTACTGTGGTATTGTCAGTGTTACACCCAATGTACCATACTAATATTGTCAGTGTTACTGTGGTATTGTCAGTGTTACACCCAATGTACCCTACTAATACTGTCATGTTACTGTAGTATCGTCAGTGTTACACCCAATGTACCATACTAATACTGTCAGTGTAACACCCAATGTACCATACTAATACTGTCAAAGTATCTGTAGTATTGTCAGTGTTATACCCAATGTACCATACTAATACTGTCAGTGTTACACCCAATGTACCATACTAATACTGTCAGTGTTACTGTAGTATTGTCAGTGTTACACCCAATGTACCATACTAATACTGTCAGTGTTACACCCAATGTACCATACCAATACTGTCAGTGTTACTGTGGTATTGTCTGTGTTACACCCAATGTACCATACTAATACTGTCAGTGTTACTGTGGTATTGTCAGTGTTACACCCAATGTACCATACTAATACTGTCAGTGTTACACCCAATGTACCATACTAATACTGTCAGTGTTACACCCAATGTACCATACTAATACTGTCATGTTACTGTAGTATTGTCAGTGTTACACTCAATGTACCATACTAATACTGTCAGTGTTACACCCAATGTACCACACTAATACTGTCAGTGTTACTGTAGTATTGTCAGTGTTACACCCAATGTACCATACTAATACTGTCAGTGTTGCACCCAATGTACCATACTAATACTGCTGTGTTACTGTAGTATTGTCAGTGTTACTGTAGTATTGTCTGTGTTACACCGAATGTACCATACTAATACTGTCAGTGTTACACCCAATGTACCATACTAATACTGCTGTGTTACTGTAGTATTGTCAGTGTTACTGTAGTATTGTCTGTGTTACACCGAATGTACCATACTAATACTGTCAGTGTTACACCCAATGTACCATACTAATACTGCTGTGTTACTGTAGTATTGTCAGTGTTACTGTAGTATTGTCTGTGTTACACCGAATGTACCATACTAATACTGTCAGTGTTACACCCAATGTACCATACTAATACTGCTGTGTTACTGTAGTATTGTCAGTGTTACACCCAATGTACCATACTAATACTGTCAGTGTTACACCCAATGTACCATACTAATACTGTCAGTGTTACACCCAATGTACCATACTAATACTGCTGTGTTACTGTAGTATTGTCAGTGTTACACCCAATGTATCATACTAATACTGTCAGTGTTACACCCAATGTACCATAATAATACTGTCAGTGTTACACCCAATGTACCATACCAATACTGTCAGTGTTACTGTGGTATTGTCTGTGTTACACCCAATGTACCATACTAATACTGTCATGTTACTGTAGTATTGTCAGTGTTACACCCAATGTACCATACTAATACTGTCAGTGTTACACCCAATGTACCATAATAATACTGTCAGTGTTACACCCAATGTACCATACCAATACTGTCAGTGTTACTGTGGTGTTGTCTGTGTTACACCCAAGGTACCATATTAATACTGTCATGTTACTGTAGTATTTCATTCTTACACCCAATGTACCATACTAATACTGCTGTGTTACTGTGGTATTGTCAATGTTACACCCAATGTACCATACTAATACTGTCAGTGTTACTGTGGTATAGTCAATGTTACACCCAATGTACTGTCTTTCCTAGTCATGTGATATCATATACTACCATAAATCTACCATCATACTACTCGTGGTCAGTAATACAGGTAGCACATCAATATTAATTGCTGAGGTTAGCGAAAAAATGGTATTCTGTAACACATCGGCTTTAACATTGGTTTAACAGTAAGATCCAGCAGTACCTAAAACAACAGTATCACAGTAAATGTCCATACTACATTGAGGATTTTACAAGTTTTTTTTTTCCTTGATGGATCTGCACTGACTTTCTCATCGTTAATTTTTGGCTCTGGTTTAGTGCCAGCGAGGAACATGTGATAGGGCTTTATCAGTTTATAAAAGAAGATACCCAAGTCTACTGGTGTAGATTTTGAAAAGGTTATCTTGATTTTTAGAAACCAACCAAGAAAACACACACTTGTGAAAGCAGAAAATTTTGGAATACAATTTAATAGATAGAGTGATCAAGTATATTTCTACATGTTTTACATGCTATAGCAGATGTCTATAGGAATTACATGTAAAACCAAAACTCCTTAGACACACTTCCTGGTCTGTAATCGTCGTTTCATTTACACCCATTATAAAAATGTCAACTCATACAGCCTGAATGGAAGTGTGCATTTGGGCATGATGTGGGAGGTCATTGATCAACATTGAACACTCACATGGTTGGGCATGTTACTCAAAATTTAGATATCTGATGGGGAATCAGACCTTCGTCACCAAAGTGACAGTTGTGGGTATTCTAAGCCACCAACACATGCATTATATATGATGTGTGAAGTTCAGTTCAATGTTGACTTTAGGGTGTCTCACTTGATGGTTGTGTTGAAAGCTAGACTAGGTAGTTATTTAAGTCTTGATCATCAGGATTTATGGGGGGGTTTTTTAAGAAATAAAAAACGTGTCATTCATGGACATGATTTTCAAAATGCTTGAAGATTTTAAAAGTCAATCTTACAATTCCACTCAGCTTTAAACAGTTTTGTTTCCTCTTGGTATAGCTCAGGGTATTACAGGGTGTATGATATGTGAGAGATGTTTAGAGATTGGTCTCAGCTTGGCTGGTATAGCTCAGGGTATTACAGGGTGTATGATATGTGAGAGATGTTTAGAGATTGGTCTCAGCTTGGCTGGTATAGCTCAGGGTATTACAGGGTGTATGATATGTGAGAGATGTTTAGAGATTGGTCTCAGCTTGGCTGGTATAGCTCAGGGTATTACAGGGTGTATGATATGTGAGAGATGTTTAGAGATTGGTCTCAGCTTGGCTGGTATAGCTCAGGGTATTACAGGGTGTATGATATGTGAGAGATGTTTAGAGATTGGTCTCAGCTTGGCTGGTATAGCTCAGGGTATTACAGGGTGTATGATATGTGAGAGATGTTTAGAGATTGGTCTCAGCTTGGCTGGTATAGCTCAGGGTATTACAGGGTGTATGATATGTGAGAGATGTTTAGAGATTGGTCTCAGCTTGGCTGGTATAGCTCAGGGTATTACAGGGTGTATGATATGTGAGAGATGTTTAGATATTCGTCTCAGCTTGGCTATCTTTCATATCAAGCTCCATCCAGATGGAAAACATTTTTGACAATTTATTGACAAAATAAGTCATCTCTGTAGGGTCAAAAAGTAAAAAAAATTAAGTGAATTCACTTAAAAAAAACATTGATGCATAAATGCTTATTTCTTTAGCAGTTTTTGCTTCTTTTTCCTTTATTTTCCCCTCAATCTCGTTGTTTTCTGTAGTTTGTTTGTATTTGTGAATAGACTTTGTTTAAAATCTGTCTTTTTTATCTATTAATACGTTGTGTCTATGTTAAATCTTCCTTTCTATTAGTATTTCTGTTTCAGTGTTAAAGTGTATGTAAAACGAACATGACATTATTCAGAAGTCTGTGATATACCACACCTGTCTAAAGTTCTGTTGTATTCGTCTAACAAATCTACACTACCAGCGTTAATTTCATTTGTGGATGTGACTGTATTTGCCTGTGGAAATTAGACTTTCTACATTAAAACTGACAAACATATTTATTGTATTAAGAACTTCCAGATAAGAGAACTTGAATGAAGGACCTAAAGAATTCTCTTGAAGCTTTACGTTCTCTGTAGTTTGATATTAATTCAACTTGTGTGATCTGGATATCTGATTGTGTCAGTTTTTTATGGAGTTGGGACTTTTTTGGTAAATTTAAAAGAAAAAAAAGTAAAAAGAAAAAAATTTTAGAAAAAATACTACCTACACAGTTTTAGATAAGCAGTGCCAAAGATTTAAAATGTATTGATTAAATATTAAAATGTTTACTTTTTCATTACTTTGGTGATGAATAGAATGAAAATATGATATTTGAAATGATAAGACAGGAAGTGGACTAGAATTTTAAACTTTGTCAGTCATACTTGAAGTATTTTTTTATGCTTTTTATTTTGGTATGAGTTTAAAAGTAATTTTTCAGCCATTTTTATGTTGATGTTTATTTTTTCTATAAATCTTGTTTATCGTAATTACAGCCAACCAGTACTACGTCAGTCAGTCCTCCTCCAGACAAAGGTAAGTCTGATGTGAAAATGTGGCAGTGATTTCAAAAATCACTGAGCTTCTTTAATGGTGGAGAAATCAAAAATCTTGAAACATGATCCATTAACATCTTATAAGGTATGTGGAAGTAAGTGTAGACCATATTGCTTACTGATGTAAAATGATGTAAAATTTGTTTGAGATTTAACCTTGAGTTTACCTACATTCAAGGTCAAAATCCTCAAAAAATTTATTTTGCACAAAGGAATAATGCTGCTTGAACTTCAAAGCTTACTGTGAGGAGTTTAGATACTCAAAGTTACTATGTTAATTTTCTTCAAATGAATCATAAGGCCAAAAGCTTAGGATATCAAAATGCAGCCCTTATGCTGTGTTTAGATCATAAATTTATTGGTATGTAGATTTTCCAGAATGACTAGTTATCAAAAGAGTGACTGGTATTATAGATTTAATTAATTTCACTTCTTTTGAAAAAATTGTATAATGAAGTGGGACTTGACATAAAATAATGGTTTCTTTTTGTAACACTGGAAGTGATTCAATGAAATCTCCAAGTAGTGTTTCGAGAGATGTAGGTTAATGAAAGTGACAGTCAGTATCATGATCTCATTTTTCTGTTTCCTTATGGGATATGAAGTTTAAGGTGTTTGATGCTCGTGGTATACCTGTTAGTGTGTTTGTTTTTTACTGTGTTTTCATTTGGGAAGGTGACCTTACTTGACCAAGATTTACATGGTTAATAGTTAATGAATCAGAAGATGCTTACCCATCCATCACGTTTTTCATGCTTTTTCAAATGTCTCCCAGTAAATCTGTCTTTTGTTCGTTTCATTGATTTTGAATTCAGAATTTGTTAATATGTCGGTGTTTCCTTCTTGTTTGTGTTGTGATTTTTAAATTTTTTTAGTAAATATGTTTAAAATATGTTTTTTCAATAGTGAATTCTTTGATACTTTAATGTTGATATTTGTAAATAAATTTAAAAAATATTTTTCAGTGAGCTGTATGATATGGGAGGACAAAGAATGTAAAAAGGTAGAATTAACTGCCCTTGATATTGGCTGGACAATTATTGAGAAAGTGGACAATATTCCCGAGAGTTCTGACTATCTGTGGATCGGCCTCAGCTTCTCACTTTTTCTCGGTGTGGTGCCATTGATTTTCCGAGTATATCATGCCAAGGAGTACCCAGACTTCATCACTAAAGATGGCCTGTGTAGTTTGTGTCTGTTGTTGATTTCAAATTCGTGGAGGTATGTAACACACAGCATTCTGTCCCATGACACAGCTTTAATTATTTCAAAATCGTATTAACAGTGTATCAGGATTCTAATACCTTAACAAGTTTTGCTATGGTGCTTATGGTTGATAGAAATGACAAAGCTTTGTACGAAACCTTAAAATTAGCCATGAATACCATGATAAGTGCTTACATTTACATTTCCTACATATTCACTGTCCAATGCAGATCCTGACATCGATAATGTAATCCTTAAGAGGGACGGTCAATTTGACAGTGTACTGTTGCCTTCTCAAAAATTTTTCAATACTTCAACATCTATCACTTAAGTACTCCTAGATTTTTACTGTTGATGATGATTTTATATTCCATGTTTAATTTCCCTGTGAAATATGCATAAATATTTGAGAGCTAAAATATTTCGTAAGAATCCATTATTTTTTTCTGGTTTTTACAAGTTTTATATCTTATGTATCATTGTAAAATGTCTTGAGATTTTTCAAAAACTAAAAAATTGAGCATGTCCAACCTCAGTCCCACCCTTCTTTGATATTAAGCTTGTTACTTTCCACAAAGATTATTCTTTTATAGAAATATGTCTGTTGATTCAAGATTGATCTTTAACTCAGTTGTAAAATGTACTATTTTTTGTGATTTACTTAATACAGTGTATTTTCTCTGTAAGTATTGTTTTTGTTTTTTACAGAATTAATCTGATCATGGTGAACGGTATGATACAGAGACTATGTCTGGGAGGTATATTCTTTTTTCTCCTTTCTGTTGCTGACAGAACTTTCAAACAGGCAAGTATAGTTAATATTTTGTCAAGTAAAACTTCACTTGAAGAAAGTGATAATAAATGACCCAAGGTTACATATGTGACAGGTTTATGTTGTATGTATACAGGTATATTGTAATCTTGTTAATATATCTTATGTCATTGATCAATTGAATTTTTGAAACAAATATATAATGTTGAGTGGAAATGATTGCAGTTGTTTCCGTATCAGAATGCTTTCAGTAAGCATTACTTGTAAATATAAATTGGTTTTTGTTTCCTTGATTCACTCAGTATCTAGGCATTGTCTCATCAGTGAATGGCAGTGATCTGACAGCATAATGGTGTGACTTACATCCCTCTCATAGGGTAGTGCTGTTTACAGGGTGTCCAAAATGTAGGGTAGTTTTGTATATATATTGATTGACAGATAAACACAATGTATATTGACTTTGTATATATTGATTGACAGACAGCTCCTGGAGGCATAGATGATGTTTGCCACTTGAGTCTAGCCTGTCTTGTCAAAGGGGACGAGGGGTCGGGTGGGAACTACATAATTTTGATTGAATCTTACATCACTTTGACCTCCAAATATTGCTTTAAAAAGTGACAAATTTTATCATTAAAAACCTATTCTAGAAACCTCTTGATCTGCATATATATATTGATTGACAGATAAACACAAGGTATAATGACTGTTTTTATTGACAGCGCTTACTGTATGCCAAACATTTCTGTTACCTAACTTCATCACGGCGAGCCAAGAAGTTTGACATGCCTCACTTCCGTTTAAATAAAGTCAGAAATATAAAAATCTGGCTCTCGTTACGATCTTATCTCAAGGTATTTTCTTCCGTTTTATACTTACTTTTATCATTAAAAGTTTTTAAAAATCAATTTCAGTTTATCACCAACATTATTAACGTAAAATCACAACGATTACTGTATTGTTACATGTACAATATTTCTGATGAATTATATCTATACGTAAGTTATTTCATTATGGTCTAATTTTATATTTGAATGAATCAAAGAACTACTGGGTCTTTATAAATATTGTTGGTATAATGTATCGGTTGGTATTTGTCTGTTGTAGAAACGAGGTCCTCAGCGATCGGTGGATATCATTGTTTCTGTGACATTTCTATTGACAATTGTCATACTCACCTTGATGTGCCTTCAGGTTAATATCTACCATAACTGCTGTAAAATCATTCTATTTTGTTGGGGATTAATTTTCGTTCAATTCATGGGTGCTCTAAATCAACAAATTTGTATGTCCACAAAATGTTTAAATATTGACATGAATTGTGGTACTGATGGATTATATAAGCAAGATTTATCCTCAATATCAAGCACCAATGAAATTTTATATTGGAAACCACAAAAATTGAGTCTCAAGGAAAATCACTTAATTTACAGTAATCTGTGTCTAGCTAATTTCCCAGAGTGGGCTATAAAGCAAAATATATTCTTAAACCAATATTGTTAAGCTCCCTAACAAGACAGCAATCTTCAAGGAATCCGATTTCACATTCTCATATTTTGTTCACAAATACCCTGTGTTGTAGCTATTGAAAACCCCTCCTCAAATTTTATTCAGAGAAATCTGACAGTTTAGCTATTGAAAATACCTCCCCAGACTTATACAAACAGCTCCCTTGACATTTTACATTAGAAATACAATCAAAAGTTGTTACAGTACTTTGTGGCCCAGCTGTTCTATGATGTGGACAACTACCCTGAATTGAGATATATTTTTATTTTCAGCTATTGAAGGATACAGATACTTACCTGGATTTCCTGTGTAACTGGGAACTCCTCGTTTGGTGTATGGCCCTAGGTGTCTATCTGCTACGATTTATGACCCTTGGACTCAAGATAAACAAGAAGTATCGTAACTTGTCCGTACTCATAACAGAACAAATTAATCTGTATCTACAGATGGAACAGAAACCACATAAGAAGGAGGAGCTCATGGTAGCCAATAATGTTCTCAAATTAGCTGAGGATCTCCTCAAGGTAGGTCAAGGTCATGGAATGAAGGTGAAGGTTACAAGTATTATCAAAAAGGCAATGTTGATGGCTATGTTTAAATCACTTGGTGTTTGATATATGTAAGGATGTCACAGTGGCCATGTGGTTAAGGCCTCTGGGCATCTTTATCACTAGACATCCACCTCTGGGTTACGAGTTTGAGGCCTATTTGGGCAGTCGCTAGGAATTCTGGCTTTTCTCTCACCAACCAAACCTTCCACTTCCTTAAATTACCCTGGCTTTCTATAACAGTTTTTAAGATTGTTATGTTTAATTATACCACTGTCTGTAACAGGGGATAGGGCGGTTAGGTTTAATTATACCACTCTCTGTAACAGGGGATGGGGCAGTTAGGTTTAATTATACCACTCTCTGTAACAGGGGATAGGGTGGTTAGATATAATTATACCACTCTCTGTAACAGGGGATGGGGCGGTTAGGTTTAATTATACCACTCTCTGTAACAGGGGATGGGGTGGTTAGGTTTAATTATACCACTCTCTGTAACAGGGGATGTGGTGGTTAGATATAATTATACCACCACTCTCTATAACAGGGGATGGGGTGGTTAGGTATTATACCACTCTGTAACAGGGGATGTGATGGTTAGGTATAATTATACCACTCTCTGTAACAGGGGATGTGATGGTTAGGTTTAATTATACCACTCTCTGTAACAGGTGATGGACTGGTTAGATATAATTATACCACTCTCTGTAACAGGGGATAGGGCAGTTAGGTTTAATTATACCACTCTCTGTAACAGGTGATGGACTGGTTAGATATAATTATACCACTCTCTGTAACAGGGGATAGGGTGGTTAGATATAATTATACCACTCTCTGTAACAGGGGATGGGGTGGTTAGATATAATTATACCACTCTCTGTAACAGGGGATGGGGTGGTTAGGTTTAATTATACCACTCTCTGTAACAGGGGATGTGGTGGTTAGATATAATTATACCACTCTCTGTAACAGGGGATGGGGTGGTTAGGTATAATTATACCACTCTCTGTAACAGGGGATGTGGTGGTTAGGTATAATTATACCACTCTCTGTAACAGGGGATGTGGTGGTTAGGTATAATTATACCACTCTCTGTAACAGGGGATGGGGTGGTTAGGTATAATTATACCACTCTCTGTAACAGGGGATGTGGTGGTTAGATATAATTATACCACTCTCTGTAACAGGGGATGGGGTGGTTAGATATAATTATACCACTCTCTGTAACAGGGGATGGGGCGGTTAGGTATAATTATACCACCACTCTCTGTAACAGGGGATGGGGTGGTTAGGTATAATTATACCACTCTCTGTAACAGGGGATGGGGTGGTTAGGTATAATTATACCACCACTCTCTGTAACAGGGGATGGGGTGGTTAGATATAATTATACCACTCTCTGTAACAGGTGATGGACTGGTTAGATATAATTATTCCACCACTCTCTGTAACAGGGGATGTGGTGGTTAGATATAATTATACCACTCTCTGTAACAGGGGATGGGGTGGTTAGATACAATTATACCACTCTCTGTAACAGGGGATGGGGTGGTTAGGTATAATTATACCACCACTCTCTGTAACAGGGGATGTGGTGGTTAGATATAATTATACCACTCTCTGTAACAGGGGATGGAGTGGTTAGGTCTCTGTAACAGGTGATGGACTGGTTAGATATAATTATTCCACCACTCTCTGTAACAGGGGATGTGGTGGTTAGGTATAATTATACCACCGCTCTCTGTAACAGGGGATGCGGTGGCTAGGTATAATTATACCACTCTCTGTAACAGGGGATGTGGTGGTTAGGTATTATACCACTCTCTGTAACAGGGGATGGGGTGGTTAGGTATAATTATACCACTCTCTGTAACAGGGGATGTGGTGGTTAGATATAATTATACCACTCTCTGTAACAGGGGATGGGGTGGTTAGGTATAATTATACCACCACTCTCTAAAACAGGGGATGCGGCGGTTAGATATAATTATACCACTCTCTGTAACAGGGGATAGGGTGGTTAGATATAATTATACCACTCTCTGTAACAGGGGATGGGGTGGTTAGATATAATTATACCACTCTCTGTAACAGGGGATGTGGTGGTTAGGTATAATTATACCACTCTCTGTAACAGGGGATGGGTTGGTTAGGTATAATTATACCACTCTCTGTAACAGGGGATGTGGTGGTAAGATATAATTATACCACTCTCTGTAACAGGGGATGGGGCAGTTAGGTATAATTATACCACTCTCTGTAACAGGGGATGTGATGGTTAGGTATAATTATACCACTCTCTGTAACAGGGGATGGGGTGGTTAGGTATAATTATACCACCACTCTCTGTAACAGGGGATGGGGTGGTTAGGTATAATTATACCACCACTCTCTGTAACAGGGGATGTGGTGGTTAGGTATTATACCACTCTCTGTAACAGGGGATGCGGTGGTTAGGTATAATTATACCACTCTCTGTAACAGGGGATGTGGTGGTTAGATATAATTATACCACTCTCTGTAACAGGGGATGGGGTGGTTAGGTATAATTATACCACCACTCTCTGTAACAGGGGATGGGGTGGTTAGGTATAATTATACCACTCTCTGTAACAGGGGATGGGTTGTACGTGTACCTATCTATCTGTAGCAATACCCTTGTGTTTAATATATGTCAGAAAACCCTAGATAGAGTTGGTTCCTATCCCCACTAGTATCGTAACATCAGATTCTACATGCGACTTTTTTAGGTCATTGGTCAAGTTTAGAGAGTTAAAAGTCTCATTTGGCCATTTCTGAAATAAGATTCAGTTGGTATATATATCTGAACATTTGTCAGCTATTAAGTTGTTCATGTGATCATATATCTGTCATGAAAGTGAAAGGGTCAAAAGTTATTTCATGCTTAGTAAAGAAAACTTTTTTGTACATGATACCTTAGTCTCTTCAAAACCATTACGTTAAGTATCATTACAGCATTTTAAAATCTGTGTTTCTCACTGTTGAATATATTATCTTTGTTTTTGACTAGGAATCCTGTATGTAGCTGATCTATAAATGCACTTGCTTTCGTGGTACTCTTAAACAAATTTTGTGTATAATGTATAAATTTATCATCACACTTATCTCTTCAAAATTGACGTTGTGCTAACATTTCACTGCACCAAAATAAGTGAGTTTACAGAAATAGAATTTCTCTCTCTTTACCTGTAGGAACTGGAAAGTCCCTTTAAGATCTCCGGTGTTTCCGCCAACCCTGTGATATACAATGTAACCAAAGTTGTGGTCCTATCTGCCTTCTCTGCAGTCCTCACAGAACTACTGGGATTCAAGATGAAGTTGTACAAGATCAAACTCAGGGCATAATATATACGAGGCCTTCAGTGTTACAGATTAGGTCTTTACCGTCAATGTTTTTGTCTTAATGACACAAAGACTTGTTGCCTTCATAATGCTTCAAACTATTATTATGGTGATACTAAGACATTTTTGTATTGTCAACATTGTTTCCTATGTGACACAAAGATTTTTTGTCAAGATGACACTAAGACATGTTGCCTTCGTAATGCTTAGACATGTTGTCTTTGTGACACTAAGACATGTTGTCTTGGTGACACTATGATGTGTTGTCTTGGTGACACTAAGACATGTTGTCTTGGTAACACTATGATGTGATGTCTTGTTGATGCTAAGACATGTTGTCTTTGTGACACTAAGACATGATGTCTTTGTGACAATAAGACATGTTGTCATGATGACACTATGATATGTTGTCTTGTTGATGCTAAGACATGTTGTCTTTGTGACACTAAGACATGTTGTCTTGATGACACTATGATGTGTTGTCTTAATGACCCGTAAACTGATTTTCTTAATCAAATGTAAGACTTGTTTGTCCAAATTTATGGCAAAATCTTCACACGAGGTGAAATAGTTTTGGAAAAGAAAAATGACAATAAGTATACTTTGGGCCTTTAAATGCCCAAGTGATTTTTGTTTGTTTTTTACCCTGCGATTTCGTATGTGTTCAGGAAGATATTTCCAAGGACTTCTTTAATCAGGATTTTCAGAGTGAAAGCAAAGACTGTAAAATCCTGTATAATTATTTTTCCCTAAACATTAATGATTTCCTATAGGTGTAGTCAGGAGTTAAGATGGTATCCTATAGGTGTAGTCAGGAGTTAAGATGGTATCCTATAGGTGTAGTCAGGAGTTAAGATGGTATCCTATAGGTGTAGTCAGGAGTTAAGATGATTTCCTATAGGTGTAGTCAGGAGTTAAGATGGTATCCTATAGGTGTAGTCAGGAGTTAAGATGGTATCCTATAGGTGTAGTCAGGAGTTAAGATGATTTCCTATAGGTGTAGTCAGGAGTTAAGGAATTTTGTATGAAACTGGGACCAAGAGATGTGAATTTTCTGTCAAAATCCTGACTACAAATGGAAAACTTGTTTTGACTCAGTTTTTGCGCTGATGATAAAAGGCTATAGGTTTTTACACCATTAAATGGCTTGTTACAGTATCTTTACCCAAGTATAGATATATTGATGATGATTGCTGTTTCTAAGGTATAACATAAAACAGAATTATAACATCAACAAGTTTTCAATGCACTGCCCTTGCCGTTCGATTCATGTTCAGAAAATAAATTTATTGTATTAAATCCTAGTTTAATAGGACAAAAAGAGACCCAGTTACTTCACATGTCGCAATTAAAAACGATAGTTTGAGTTATGACAACCTTTGCATCGAAATAAAAATTTGGTAAAGTCAACCATGGTATATCAGATATGGATAGTCTACCTCATGATGTAGAGTTAGGGTTAGAACCAAGGACTTGTGTATCCTATTTATGTACAAGTGTGTAGGATTCCTTCATTTTGGTATTTTTGACAATTTTCTGGATCTGTGTGCAGTGTTATGAAAAGCTAAGTATAATATGGTGGTTTCTTTATAAATAGTTTCTTCCTGGTATTCTGACAATTCAATGTGTGTGTGTGTTGGTTTTTAAGAATATGCAGAAAAATGTCTTCATGGCAGTGAACCGTTGCTTGTGTGTTTAGTCTCCTGCATGGTAAGGTGTGAGACATTCCTACACCGACAACGATCTGTCTATGATCATACAGAAGATGATGGTAGGAAAGTAAAAATTCAAATTTTGAGGTAAGAAGCAAAATCTCAGTCCTTTGGATGAGGTTCTTTAATATCCAGGCCTTTATGTAGTCTCCAGATGGATATTTGATAATGAATCCTTTACAAGCTTTATTTGAAATGTATTACTTTTACTCCGAGAGCTGAGAACAATTATAAAGGATATTTTGTACCACCAGATAATCAACATTGCTAATACACTGTACATGTATTACATTGTAATTTATGAACAAAAGATTCCAATTTTATTCAAAACTTATAACCATTTACTCTGGATAATATTTCTTGGTTGTGAAATTTTTTTAAACATTTCATATATCATACACTGATGTTATTTGTTACATAATGTAATGCCCCACATTTTGCCGTTTCATTTATCTTTCAACAAGCCAATGTCTGGTAATAAGCCCATTCATAGAAATCATTATTTCGTAAAATAATCATCTAGTGCTATTCCAATACCTGCCACAGTCTCACCCTCTGACTTAGGTAGTGATGTGTTGGCCCATTATGCTTACTACAGAAATTGTAAAATGCTGACTTCCTAGCTGTTTCTATGATGGATCTCTCTTCTCTTGCCAAAAGTTTGCTGGACAAATGGTGGTAAGAAATTATGTATATATAGATATAGTATACTGTATGGAGTGGAAATATACTGTATTCAACTTATACATTGTTCACTGACAAATTACAAAAGGGTGCACTGAAAAATAATTTTCACAAGGGAATGTTTCAACATGGAAGAATTTTCAACATTTTGAAGAGACTTGTAAGTTACAAACCTATTACTAAGTGGCGGTGTATACAGGGGACAGGGGTATGTATATCAGTGGAAAAGCGACCTATTACAAGGTCTTAGTTATAGCTACTATCTCCCCCCCCCCCACCCCCCTCAGATAAAAAGGTAGAGGTGAGGACAGAAATGTTTATTAGGTAAAATACTGTATACAATCTTTTGTTTCTTTTCAATTTGATATTGATGAATCAAGTCTTCAGAGGTTTTGCATTAGATAAAAATTAAATTTTGAAAAATCTCTTGAATTTTGTATGAAACAGACACTTGGATCCTTTTTATAAAAAAAAAAAAACTATTTTTTTGCTATTATTTCACAAAACACACTGTCCATGTCATTTGTTGCCGTTTTATGACCTCACAAACCCACAAGTCCTATAAAACTTGTGTCATATTGACAGATATGATGTTTCATTGAATAACATGGCAACCATGTTGTATCTAGAACACAAACTGCATTATATACAAAGTATATAACAGAAATTTGTACTTTTTTCATGAAATGTTTTAGCCCTCCATCAAATGGTGGGCTGTTCAAATCACCCTGCATACATGGTCCGTCTTCTATCTGTTGTTAGTCTTTAAACAAATCTTGTTTTCGCTTTGTTTTTTAAAAAGTATTGGACAAATATTTCTGAAATTTCTAAGGAGAGTTTTTTCTCCGGTTTTATGTAGTTCTGTTTCAGTTTTTAGACTAACAGGGAGCTATCTTAGGTTTTGTCTGGTGTAATTTTCAATCTCTGTTTCTTGGGGATTTAGTTTATTTAGCCTTGGCTTCTAATTGTGCATGATTGATTTAGGACACTGATAACAGAATTAAAATGAAGATGCCTGCTGCATGTGAGTGCCAAGTTCCCACTGGGATACCTTTTTTCTTTATTTTCCTTTATTTTTTTGTTTTTAATATATATATATTTGTATATGAAACTTGTTGTTTCTATATTATTGTTTACAATGTTACACTATACAGGGTATGTAATTGATGTTGTTTTATAATGTAAACCACATGTACTGTAAAAAGCATTATCTTTGTTGGGTTTACTTTCTTTTGTTTGGAATTTTGTCAAATTTGTCCACAACTGAATAATGATGTAAAACAGATGTTGAAGTATTAGTGGACTTTGCGAGTACTTGTAATACCAACAAAATCAAGTGTCCACTAAATAGTTTTTTCCAACCGCAAAAGTTGAGCCCCTCAAAAAAATTTTTTTTTTTTTGGAGGGGGGAAAAAAAGTGATTACCTCATAGTATTTAATTCTTACAGGGTCAAAACTCTTCCGCTGTTCTGTAACATGTTTCGTGGGATTCAGATTTTGCACAGCAATGAAAGACAAAATTTTCAGTTAGGTTGAAAGGCATTCAATATATCTGCAAGTTACAGAAAATGAAATATAAGCTGTAATATTATTGTAACAGTCATTTTAAGGCAGACAGCTGGAATCAGTATTTGTTCAGAAGTAAAATGGGAAAATCCATTGAAAATGAATTCACTTTTCAGAAAAGCATTTTGTATGTTTTCTTACAATTATTAAGTTTCTTTGTTTGCACGTTATGGTTTATGTACTGGCAGAAAAGTCAACATTTTAATATCAATACAGTGCTTGAAGGTATTCCGGATATGTTAATATGACAGTGATATTGAACGGTTTTATTTTCCGTTTTAGGGAAATGTACAACTATGTATTGCACAACACATATTGTGTTGCAGTAAAATTGAAGTTTTGTTACATATATTTATTATTCCTAAAGTTTTGTTAAGTGAGTTTTTTCCTTTAATTTTAATCAGATGGAGAAGAATCTGCCTTGCCGCTGCTCGTCAGTAACTGGTAGACAAACTTTTGTTATGTGGTCTGTAAATCATCCATGCTGTATTCATTAGACAATAAGACCATGCCTGGTAATAAGCCCACCCATGTGTTGTTCATAACGGTTAATGAATAAGAATTTGTTATGTAAGACTAAGATGAGAATTCCTTATTATTGGGAGATATATATAGTACCATTCTTGCCATGTTTGTTTAATGTAATTGCCAAACTTTGAGAATCTCATTAATTCAAAGGTTTATTTTTAATACCCCTGGTAATTACCAGTGACTTTTTGTTATATGAAGAATTTCTTTTGGATTTGTTCTTTTTTTCTCTCTAAATTTAAATATTTTGTCCTATTATAGGTTTTTTTTCCCCGTAACTTTGTAGAAGTGGTCCCTATACAAACTCCCTTAGATTTTACGAGGATGCATCCAACTCATTCTTGTGATAACCGCAATCTATTAGATCCTTAAATGATGAAATGGTAACTGGTACGTCTGTCACATATACTATCATTGTACAAAGTTAATATATTATCTCAGTGATGGGGTCACTAGCCTGAACAAAATATGGTAAACTATCTTTGATGGTTATTAACTTCCACAATTTCTTCATCAATAAATTTGCCTAGGTAAACTTTCGCGATAAAAGACGACATTATACTATAAACACTGTTAATTGTTCTTGTCTTGATTCATAGTGTTTAAATTTTGCGACTTTGTTTTGTTGACAAAATTTTCATAGTTTAATCATGCACAAAATGGTTTACTGAAGCAACCATTTAGTTTTCACATGCAACACTCTACCAAAAATGACACAAATTCAAGCTTTATATCACTGTTATGGGTTAGGTGTAGTTACATTTGTTTTATTATGTACTTGTATTTTTGGTCAGTCAATCCGAAATCGTCTTTGACGTTAAATGTTACCCTTCGTTAGCTTTTCCGTGCAAAAGAAATAGACACATAATAGGTCTTGTGTTTAGCTCAGTTTCTCAAAAAATATATAAAATTTTCAGTTCTAATTTTCAGGAAGAAATTTTTTAAAATGAATGATTTTCCGATAGATATAACTTTGTGGGCACTTGCAATAAGCAGTTATGCTGGGTATACATATAAAACTTCAGCTCAAACAGTTCAGTCAAAAAGGAAAAGCAACAAACATGAATTGGTATTTAAATTGGCTGCACACTTATTTTTGTGGGGTTTTTTTTTTAGAGAAAAGTAGGGTATTATCAAGTGTGACCCATACTATAATACCAAATTTGATTTCTGGAGGTACACCATATAGATTAATAAGTCTGCTGAAAATAGCCATTTCCAACAATTTAGAAAAATATCTTTGCAAACCATAAAATTTCCTAAGAATATTGTTCAATACATGCCGAGTATGTCCTTGCCATGACATACTTACATGGAGATTTGAAACAATCTAATAATTTAAAGATTATTTGATAATGTGTTAGTTTGTTGATCTTTTTCACAGATTTATGTTTTGAGTTAGAATTAAGTGCACCAGTCACAATTCATTATAGTCATGAGACGCCTTAATTTGTATCACTACTATCCATAAACAAATTCACTGTGTTATCCCTGTTTCAATATTTTGTTGTTGTTTTGTAGCTATTGAAATAAAATAAAAATATTCAATGACTTAATCTTTGTTTCCTATTTACTCTTGCAATTTTGGAAATAAAAGTAGGTCAAAATATTTGTTTACGATGCAAAATAAGAACAGGACATGGATTGAAATCTGCTGAAGAGTTGGGGACAAGTAGCATTTTAGAGCAAAATTCGGTCAAATTTTGCCACCCAGAAGTGTAACAAACTGTCTGAATGAATGAATTGAAATCACTAACGAGGTTTCCGACCAGATTTGGTTGAAATCTGCTCAGTTGTAAGGGAAAAGTGGCATTTTAAAGCAAACTATCCAATTACCCATTTGAGTTCCTACTCCCCAGGGGTTGAATAAACTTTCTGAATTTAAAAATTGATTGCCCATCTCCAATGATGTATGCAAATTTGGTTGAAACATGCCAAATCATTAAGGAAAAGTTTATAAAGCAAAATTCCAATTACAGCCCTGCCTCCTACTTTGGGACCTCTCTTGTTTGCTAACAAAATCTTTACCCTTGGATTGAGGTCCCCAAACTCACCTTCAGAGTGCATGAACATATGCTAAGTCCATCCCTAGAAGTAGTGATTGACGAACATTGATGAACTATGAATGATTAACCAGCTGACAATCTGACAGGCTTAACAGTATCAAAAATTTCAAATTTATGTAAAATTGATCTTTATTTACATTCATCAACACAGTCTTTATATACATTCTATACATATGCAATACAAGGCAGTTCATTTCATGTACAATGAGGTCAAACCTGCCTTGTGGGCCATCTATACTTTGATTTCCCAAAGTCACACCAATTATGACAATGTAACCTCTATATAAAGGGCACCTCTTAATATTGAACTTTTCTCTCTTGAGTGACCTTTATCCGTCTCATTGTATAGGTTGTTCAAATTCAACAGAGTAGGTTACTGTTGGCATTTTTAGATATACAAGGCAGAATTCTATCATGTCTTAACTTGAGTCGTCTATATTACAGTACAAATATCTACAACAGGTAACATCCTCATATATGTAATTAGGATATACCGTCTTCACAGAAAGAGTCAATTAAATCAGGACTCCATATCTTGACAGCTAAACATGATAATATCTGTACATACATTGCACTTCAGTTGTATTTCTAATAAACAGTCAACTGTGACTCAACAGAATTCATTCTGTATCAAAAACCTGAGAATGAAATTGCATTTGTTTTAAGAGAAATACTTATCAAATGTTTTTCACAAATCTACAATGCACATAACATGCATATTAGTGAGCACTGTGTACAGATGCGTGTACAAATATATAAAATGTGTCTATACATGTAATAATTTAATCATTATTGTGGTGTAAGTGTGGTAGTCAATGTGGTATTAATAGAGCACTATAAATTGTCTTTATCTTAACCCATTTTTCTCAATTTTAGACCATAGCACATAGCTCCAATGGAAAGTACTGAAGTAAGAAAAACATTTCCCAATACTCTAAGAATATTGATGCAAAGTCTTGGCATGTTTCTTGGAAAGCATTCAGATCTGATCACATTCAATGTCACATTTATACTCCTACATGTTTCAGTGCTGGTAAGAGTACTTTTCAAAATCTGGAAAATTGCAACCCTGAATGATGCCATGGGTCAGAAACTTCTCTAATGTAGACACTATATCAGAAACATTCTCTGAATGTAGCAACATGTCAGAAACATTCTCTGAATGTTCACACCAGCTCAGGAACACCTCTAAATCAGGAAAACCACATCATCTGCCAACATCACTTGGTTTGCATCCATCATTTGTTCCAAAGCTGAAAACACATTGTCCTCTGAAAAGTCGCCCTCTGTAAACTCCTTAGCCACATGGGCTTTCACCTTATCTAGTGACACTGACTGGGCATGCTCTGCTTTGAATAAATTGAACAATGCTGCACGGAAAGTCTTCATCCTGCAATAAAAAAAACAAATTGCAAACATCTTTTTCAGCTTGGTCACCGATACCACTTATCTTCTCAATTGATAGAAATATTGAATGTTTTCTGTATACTCTTCATGTTATTTCCAGGTTTAAGTGACATAACGTTTTAGTTACCTGTACACCAAATTTAACAGACATAAAAGCCTCCGACGCGAAGATGGTAATCAGGGTGCCATTTCCTTTTCATTACCCACAAACAATTATGACACTGCACAACTAGGACTAAAACCATGTCCCTGTATTAAATTTGAAAAGGTCACATATTTTCTCCAATCCCCAGAAAATGGCAACAACAATCTCTGTACCCAGAATCTGACTTTGGCAACCACCTGGAGTTTTTTTTTGTCTCTGAATGATATTATTTATCAGTGTTTACTTCATATAACTTTGACAGAGTCAATATTCTACAAACACTAACATAACACTGAACACACTTACCTGGCTTCATCCACTTTGTCAGCTTTCTGTGATGGTTGTGTGTCCATGGGAGTGTCCCCATCCTGAGATTTTGTTCTCTTTTTCCTTGGCTTTCTTTCTGTCATTTCTGAATCTGAAGAAAAATTAATACAAACTTGAATGATCATTATTAAAATTGACATCAGCTTGAAAGATTAGGCCAAGCAATCCTATCTATATGTTACCTAAGTGTTTAATATCAGTCCCACAGCATGCTGCCTACAGGAACTGAACCAGATCTGTATTAAAATTGACATCAGCTTGAAAGATTAGGCCAAGCAATCCTATCTATATGTTAACTAAGTGTTTAATATCAGTCCCACAGCATGCTGCCTACAGGAACTGAACCAGATCTGTATTAAAATTGACATCAGCTTGAAAGATTAGGCCAAGCAATCCTATCTATATGTTACCTAAGTGTTTAATATCAGTCCCACAGCATGCTGCCTACAGGAACTGAACCAGATCTGTATTAAAATTGACATCAGCTTGAAATATTAGGCCAAGCAATCCTATCTATATGTTAACTAAGCGTTTAATATCAGTCCCACAGCATGCTGCCTACAGGAACTGAACCAGATCTGTATTAAAATTGACATCAGCTTGAAAGATTAGGCCAAGCAATCCTATCTATATGTTACCTAAGTGTTTAATATCAGTCCCACAGCATGCTGCCTACAGGAACTGAACCAGATCTGTATTAAAATTGACATCAGCTTGAAATATTAGGCCAAGCAATCCTATCTATATGTTAACTAAGCGTTTAATATCAGTCCCACAGCATGCTGCCTACAGGAACTGAACCAGATCTGTATTAAAATTGACATCAGCTTGAAATATTAGGCCAAGCAATCCTATCTATATGTTAACTAAGCGTTTAATATCAGTCCCACAGCATGCTGCCTACAGGAACTGAACCAGATCTGTATTAAAATTGACATCAGCTTGAAAGATTAGGCCAAGCAATCCTATCTATATGTTAACTAAGTGTTTAATATCAGTCCTGCATCATGCTGCCTACAGTAACTGAACCAGAGCTTATTCCACTGAATATATTTGTCATTTATACCACGTTCATCTACAAGCTATTTCTTCTAGAAGTTACCTACTCCACAATATAGGAGGCAAACTCAAGGATCAATGATATCAAGTTTGCCCAATATCAATTTCCAAGTCCTGCTAACAATAACATCAAAGTTTTTAAGACTGGATGACAGACTGATGGTCAACAATAAAATTATGATGGTGGAATAAAATATACGACAACAGATACCTCGCGAAACATAATGAAACCAATCTGTCTTACCGTCTTCGCTGGCAGTAGCCTCGCTCTCGTCAAAGTCATAAGGATCGTAACCCTCATCTCCTTCCTGTCTGACAGGTCGCTTTGCTCGCATTTCCTTGGTTTTCCTCCTGTGTGACAATTATATCATTATAGTCTGTAAGTTTTAATTTCTACATTGATACAGATTAGATTATGTCTTCACAGTAGTAGTCAGTGCTCCAGATAACTTTTTGACATGTGGGGTTTTCACTCCTACCTTTATAAATTGAGGGTTTTTTTCACCCCTGCCTTCATCAAGTGTATGGGTTTTTCCATATTAGGGTAACACTGAATTTGTAAACATTTTTGACAGCGCCATATTTGCTATGCGACTGGTTTATAATCACGATCAAGAAAGCGCTTGTTACGAGTTTCGTTTACTCGATAAGTGTCTGTTTGACTTAGATTATTGAGTTTTCTAACTATGTAATATTGGAGCCGGACATTGACGCAGAGTCCGGATTTCGCACGGGTTAATGACGCAAATCTTATTTTTTTTCCTAGCGTGAAATTAGAAATATTGTGCGTGAAAACGCATTCACGCAGGCTATCTGGAGCACTGAGTAGTTATCGTGAATAATCACCCTCTGAATGAAAGCAATTTTGTTATGTTTAGGTGACAACTCTGTAAACAAACAGGACAGCAAATATCAAAATATTGGTTGATGCTGTTCAACATCATCATCAGATCTTATGTGTCTGATATTGCCGGGAAAAATTCAATCGACGGGAAATTAAGACAAAGGTCGCTCGTTAACTAAGTCCTAAACATCACAACAAAGCAACTAATATCTGACCAAGCCTTTAACTTCAGTCTGGAATTTCTTGTTTCATACTCATTGTCTACGTGCATTGAGGTATTATCTTTAACTATGAGAATAAAAGGAAAAGTTGAAATGTTTGATCTTCTCTCTATCAGACTCATCAAAGAACTCCTCTATAATTGGTAAGTCTCTTTCCAGATTCTGTTTCACATCTTCAATATGTTTTCAAACCTGTTCCACTATTTATTCTACATATACATGTTGCACTTGAATTGAAGTTGAATTTATATTGTCAAACATTATACTTTGGTTTCACGCATAAACATAAGAGATGTAGTTTAGGTAGTTAAAATTGATTTATTCAGAGATTTTATCATAATTTAATTCAATGTTCCTTTATAGCTGACAGGTGTTAATTTCAAAGAAAACCATCCAGTGCACAACTGATAAAACAAAACATTTGGTGAAGTCTGAGAAACTCACTGTTTTTTCTTTGTTGGTACTTCTCCATCGACTTCATCAGCAGCTTCATCCTGACTGCTGTCGTCTGTATCATCACTCCGTCTTTTTTTCGTCTTTTCCAAAACCTACAACATAAACCAATACGTATAACCAAATATTGGCGATCTCATTGAATATTGTTGCACAAGTTCTTTACTTTCCACGGTACTCCATAAACAGAAATTAAATTCACATTCCAAAATTTCAATTAATTTTTCAGATTATTCTTTAAGTTCAAATACTGAATACAGCATAGCAGTGAACATTTCACGATTCAAAAGTTTGTCATACTGGAAAACATTGATATACCTTAAGCTATTTTCACACAAAATCTATTCCATTTTCTAACATCTATAGGTTTATATATCAAACTTGAGTCGACGACATCAATCATCAACTTTTTACTCGTGATTAGAAAACAAAATGTGAAAAACAACCAGCTTTCATTTTTCCTACTTTTTTAAAAACTGATTTGATTACTTGGCTTTTTTTGGTCAATTTTGTTTTTATTATGTTTTTTTCGACACGTCAATAGGAACATACCTTTTTGAAGAAAGCATAATGTACAAGCTCAACACATGCCTGTGCATCTTCCAGATCTACCGTCTTTGATAGACGTGCCTTGGCATGGGCAGTCGATAAACGAATCATTGTCTCCAACGCTCGAGCTGTTACTGGCTGTGTCTGTGTTAAAAAAACCATGAAGAAACCATTCACTAAATTTGGTGTAATTAGCCATAATTCTTTCTCACACCTTCAAATTAAATTGCAGTTCTTCAAAGGAAAACTTAAAGCTTTATCGTTATCTTTGGTACAATACACATTTACACTTCTGTATCAGTTACGAATAAAATCATTCAGAAAAAATACACACTCTTGCAATGTTGTCATTTTGGAAGTTGTCCTGGTTGCGAAGTTTTGCATATTCATCAGCAAGGAGATCAGCAGCCTCTCGTGTTAGTGAAGGCTTCAGTGCCTTAGCTACATGGATGTACTTCCTCATGAACTGCATACTCACAATCCGATGGCTGGAAAAATATACATTGAAATATATTGTTCTGACAGGAACATTAACAGAAACTTCCTAGTTTGTTCTATTCAATATATTAATTTGTAACAAAACCAAACACTTACTTTTTTACCACTTATTAAGTGCTATGAAAAGAAATCATGCAAATTTTATCTACCGACTTGGAACTGACTAGTTATTAAAGAGCAAGTCAGTAATTTCACAAAGTTTAACCACCTTCTTTTGGGATTAAAATGACTTTTATTCACCTTTTACCCTTGTTAGCTCCATGCAACATTTTGTCATGTTTTTCAAAAATGGGTGTTTCCCGTTCTTCTTCTCGTTCAAGGTCAGGATCTGTTGTGGCTAATAGGTCGACTGCGCTACCCAAGGGTAATGCTGTAATTAAATGTGAATTTGATGAGAAATTAATAATGAAACTACAGAAAACATCAATATTATCAAATCATTATGTAGCAAAGTATAAAAGTTTATTTACTTGATGAAGTGCACGCAGAAATTAAATTTCTAAGTAATAGCAATTTAGTTTTGACATCATGATCTTGAATTACATTTTTCATAAATCATGAAACTTGTTATAGTTGTACAGACTTAACATACATATAGTAATTAACTGAACAATCTAGTTATACTCTGTTCATGCTAACTCACCATCTCCGTCTTGTTCACCAGCCATTCTGTAACGGTGCATTCTCAACACATGGTCAGATATCGAACGGTCAAGCTCTGGGTCCATCTGTAAACATTGTGGACACATAAAGTTTTTCACAGCGAAAAAAATTTCCTGAAAGGAGGTTAGATTTATTTCAATTGTTCTATTGATGTTAAATAAAGTTTGAAGGGACTGCTCAAAGTACATGTGTAACTGAATTGGGTAAAATGTAATAGATTCGCTTGGGTTAAATAATTCACTAATAATCAAATACAGAAACCAACAGGTGAAAGTTAAACTTTTATAAACAAAAAAAAAGTTCTTTCTGTTCATGGGGAATATAACCTTATCATACCTTATCTAGTACAATAAACAGAAGATCAAATCGAGACAGAAGTGAGTCCTGGAGGCCGATGTTTTCCATTGGAGTCTTGTATTGGTCATACTGTAAAATGATTTCATTAGTAATGAATAATTTCATAATAATTATCAAATTTACAAAAAACTGAATGTGTAATGGTTTTCACCATGACAGTGCTGTAATTCAGAGGAGAGACCCCCATAACCAAAAGGCCTTACACAAATTTTAACTGGAATAGCAAAATATTCTCAGTCAAATCTATTTGATATACTCTATTTATCTACAAATAGTCTGATGCTGGATAATAAGACCACTCTTAGGTATTACCGTTTAGTAGACTTAACGACAAACAATTATCAAGTCTGCCATCTAACTCTGAAATAGACTTAAGATGTAGCCCAGTAAACAAAGAAGAATGTATTGATACAACAAACACATGGTTACCAGCAGTCAATACCTACCCTGCCATATACAGGGTTTGCTGCAGCTAGAACACTACATCTGGCATTGAGTTTGGCATGGATACCGGCCTTGGCTATCGTTACACGACCCTGTTCCATCACCTCATGGATGGCAGTACGATCCATGTCAGACATCTTGTCAAACTCATCAATGCAGACTACACCGCGATCAGCCAACACCATAGCACCTGCCTCCAGCCGACGTTCACCTAAAACCCGTTTTCACACATCAACATTGTCAAAATAATCTAGCAGTCAAATATTGACAAATGGAGGATTATAAAACAGTAATACTAAAGCTTGTAAGTAATTCTGATAAGTACCTACATCATTTGTAAAATTGGATTGGTCTGTAAATTCATCAGAAATACCATTTCTTACCTAATGCTTGTAATATTCAGCCTTTTAACTCTTAACCCCCACTTAAGCCAGCAAGTAAGCTATCCAAGTACTTTGAATGTAACTTGTATTTTTTCATTTCACTGTTATTTTTTTCAAAACAGATCTTGTCATTGCCTTTCCATGTTACCTGTCTCAACACCTTTGATGGTCAAAGTTTCCTTGTCTGATTGTTTTTATAAAGCACATCTTCTCATCCTTTTAAGGTCATTTTAGACAGCAAAGTACTTTTGAAAACAGAGTAATCTGTGTGAAGGTTGTGAATACCTGATTCCTGGTCTGTCGTCACAGCAGCAGTGAGACCAACACCTGATGACCCTCGACCTGTTGTTGGGATGGCTCTTGGTGCGGTGTGCAAAACATATCGTAACATCTGTGACTTTGCTACTGAAGGATCTCCTATCAGTAGAACATTGATGTCCCTAAAATTGGAAAATTAGATTATTTTTTTTCTCCAGAAATTTATACAACACTAGTGTCAGGATCAACATATCACTTTTCATATACAAACAATATTAGACATTTATTATAGAGCTGACAGCTATTCAAGTAAACATCTGCACTGTCCGAGGAATCCAGGTTTCGTTTAGGGGTACCACCCATTTAACCGAATAGGAAAGAAACTGAACCAAGGACAGAAATGATTTATTTTCTGTGTCTAGGCATTGAGTCAAGTTAACGTTTTAATGGAACAGAACTAAATCAGAGTCAACATATACATTTTTCTTTGTAAATATTACTCAAACATTAATCATTGTATTCAGGTGTTTCAAAGATATCTCAGCAATTACTTCTAAATTCAAGAAGTATAGCTTAATATCATAAATTAGTGGTGCAATTACAACATCCTAGATAAAAACAGAGTGATCTTTTGTATCAGTTTTCAACATTTGGAGATTCATTTACACACTGGGTTAACTTAAGGTAATGATTCAATGAAAAACAACTCTCGTACTATCATCTTGCATTTTCTCTGGTCAGAACTTACAACTTGATGTGTGTACCATTTCCCTTTTTCTTTCTCTAGGCAGAACTTAACACAATACATTAATTGTTAGCCAGTACTTACTCCAGTGAGAACCTTCAGTGTGTACTGTTAGTCAGTTACATCCAGAGTCAGAACTTACCCCCTGATACGTGTTCCATTAGCCAGCACTTTCTCATTTCCTCCGAGCAGCATACACAACACTGCCTTTTTAATGTAATCATGCCCATGGATTGAAGGTGCCAGTGATCGACCAAGAACCTCAAACACATCCTGTAACATTTTGTAAATACAATATTCAAACGGGTGTCCAAGGTTATTTTGTAATTTTACAATCTCTTCATTTTCTCTCCTTTTAAATTTGACCAATGCTTTCTTATTCTTCTAAAGGGTTGTTTCAGAGCAAGTCTTTTGCTTGCATGGCGCATTAAGAAAAGCTATTTTTGCAACTGGAAAGAAATCTACAATCACATACAATATAAATTTTGTTGACTAGTATACTTACCGTGTTTTTCTGTCTGCTGAATTTCTTTATTTTGGCAACATCATCTGCTGAAAACATGGGTGCCACCTCTTTACTCAGAAGCTGGACATTGTTGGCTATCATTATTGTCCTGGAAAAAAAGTCCTTGCTATTGACCATAGTTCTTGATTAAATACTGCGATAAAAAGTGATCACAAATCAAATGGTGACCTGTTAACCCGATATCCAAAACAAATTAAATCCTCAATTTTCAAGTCACCTACAGAAATTTTTGGAAATGTTAAAGCCTTATCCCCCTCTATTGGTGAAATGTTTAAGTCTGAAGGTTAGTGTTTAAACAATACATCTCCCCCTCTTTTGGTGAAATGTTTATGTCTGAAGGTTAAATGCATTTATTGGTGAAATGTTTAAGTCTGAAGGTTAGTGTTTAAACAATGCATCTCCCCCTCCCTGAAGGTTAATATTTAAACAATACTGAAGGTTAATATTTTAAACAATGCATCTCCCCCTCTTTTGGTGAAATGTTTATGTCTGAAGGTTAGTGTTTAAACAATACATCTCCCCCTCTATTGGTGAAATGTTTATGTCTGAAGGTTAATATTTAAACAATACATCTCCCCCTCTTTTGGTGAAATGTTTAAGTCTGAAGGTTAGTGTTTAAACAATACATCTCCCACTCTTTTGGTGAAATGTTTAAGTCTGAAGGTTAATATTTAAACAATACATCTCCCCCTCTATTGGTGAAATGTTTAAGTCTGAAGGTTAGTGTTTAAACAATATATCTCCCCCTCTATTGGTGAAATGTTTAAGTCTGAAGGTTAGTGTTTAAACAATGCATCTCCCCCTCCTTTGGTGAAATGTTTAAGTCTGAAGGTTAATATTTAAACAATACATCTCCCCCTCTTTTGGTGAAATGTTTAAGTCTGAAGGTTAGTGTTTAAACAATACATCTCCCCCTCCTTTGGTGAAATGTTTATGTCTGAAGGTTAGTGTTTAAACAATACATCTCCCCCTCTATTGGTGAAATGTTTATGTCTGAAGGTTAATATTTAAACAATACATCTCCCCCTCTTTTGGTGAAATGTTTAAGTCTGAAGGTTAGTGTTTAAACAATACATCTCCCACTCTTTTGGTGAAATGTTTAAGTCTGAAGGTTAATATTTAAACAATTCTCCCCCTCTATTGGTGAAATGTTTAAGTCTGAAGGTTAGTGTTTAAACAATATATCTCCCCCTCTATTGGTGAAATGTTTAAGTCTGAAGGTTAATATTTAAACAATACATCTCCCCCTCTATTGGTGAAATGTTTAAGTCTGAAGGTTAGTGTTTAAACAATACATCTCCCCCTCCTTTGGTGAAATGTTTAAGTCTGAAGGTTAGTGTTTAAACAATACATCTCCCCCTCCTTTGGTGAAATGTTTAAGTCTGAAGGTTAATATTTAAACAATACATCTCCCCCTCTTTTGGTGAAAAGTTTAAGCCTGAAGGTTAGAGTTTAAACAATGCATCTTGTATTGCTACTATTTGATTAAAATTATATCAGAAACTATGAGGAAAAACAAGGGCCATTTTCCCCCTGAATCAATACTGGTCCTTAAAAAACCCTACTAGATGTCACGTTGCAAGTACATGCAATTGATTGTGTAGTTTGCTCGCTTACAAAACCATACCCTAGCCTCTATTGGGTAATTACCTAAACGTTCCTGTGGTGAATCCATTCTTTTTTCCAGGCAGACATCTGTACATTCCAATCACCTGTATTCTGTCTCCAGGCTGAAGGAAAGGGTGACATAATTAGTACAACAGAAAGACTAATAACCTTTGACCTTTTCTATTCCATTTTCACTGCATGATTCACAATTGTTATCAAGTATGTCAAGTTTACACTTTTTATTGTGTAATAAATTTTTCGAAACATGCAATATTCTTTTTATGAACTCTACTACTTGGAACAGTATAGTTTCACTCGCCAGAAATTCAATTTACTAATGCCATAATTGTGAAACATGGTGTGTGGAGCATGACGTGTATAACAAATCAGTTACCATGTAATACTAAACATAAAATTCCACTAACCTTACAATTGTCTACCAGATCATTATCTGCAACGATGTCAATGGATCTTGGCAATTGTCCAGCTGGGGCTTTCTCTGGCATTTCCTACAACACAAGGCAACTTACATCTTCATAATGGAACCAGGTACTGATAAGGTATTAATTTGCAATTTTTGGAAAATCAAATTTGACACCATTAAAACTAGAAAATTTTTCAAAATTATAAATCAAGTATGTATATCTACAACAAATTAATTTTGGAAATCCCTACAATGTCACTTGTAACCCTTTCCATAATAATAACTGTCAACACAGTGGCTGAAATGCTTTTAAGTTGGACTAAACAGAAAGGAAAGTAACTATAGAAAAGGTCTTTCCATCCGTGTGTAGCATGCTTGTAAAAATGACAATTCCTATCCACAATTATTTTTTGAATGCTGACCAAAGCTCACATACTTCACCAACCTTTTATAGGGACAGGGTTCTGATCGATATCAAAAAGTTGATAGAATAATAAGTTATACACGTATCAGATCTACACATACCTGTATACTGAACGTCTGATGATCTTTGTAAACAGACAACCCATATTCTGTCTCCAATAAGTTTCCATCTTCATCCTGAAAAAAGAAGTATTGTCAAATTTTCTGTCTTTTTCTATTCCATTATTTTTGTCCGATTTATTGGTTTCAAAAAGCTATAAGAAAGAACTTGACTTGCACTGACTGTCATCTCACCTTCGTGGGGTAAGCTGCAGATGATGGAAATGCTGACAATGAGGTCATGTCAGTGTAACGTCGCTCCATGGTTTTCTTGGTGCTTGGACAGTAGTGGACACTTCTCACCACCTTCGGTCTGATCAGAGAGCACTTGGTAACAATGCCCTCCACACAGACCATGTTACCAAGGTAACGTGATGTCAGTGTTCTCGGGGTCACATGTTTTGCACCAAAGCTGGAAGTTAAAATGCAAGATTTTTCAAAATAACCCCAACGTCTGAATGACTTTGCTATTATTGATCAAACAATATCCGATAGTTACCTATCAGTTAACACAGGCCTTGCCATGAATCATTAGAACTTCATAAGCTCTATAGAACAGGTTGGGAACATCTACAAATCCAAGTTCAATTCATGACTTTTTGTGAAATAAACACACCATGTGACAAGTTGTAGACACCCACTAAACCAAAGAATTTCTCTCTTTCAGCAAAGATTTGATGTTCGACTTACCTTCCCTCAAAGCCTACGAAGAATTCTTCGTTCTGTTTGCTGTATATGGGGTCTGCTGAAGCAACAAATTCCTTCAGTGCTCTTTGAAATGCCACAACTTCTTCAAATGCATCGTTCAACAGGCTGCATAAATCAATCATTTCAACATTTACAATACATCTGTCTAAACCAGAACCTCAAAATATATTACATTTCATACATACGTCGGATTTGATTTCCATTAATGTTCCGAAACATTCCATGAATTATGTACAGTAATTCATTGATGATTATCAAATTATCTAGAATTCATATATCAAATAGCTTTCAATAAAACGTATTCTTAAGTTTCTTCCTCTACTTCAAACATCATTCATTGTTCAAAAACGACTTCACAATATGTCTGCAATTTCATCACACATGGAAAAACTATTATATGAACTAACCTTTGAGCCCTCTTTTGGTTTTTCCTTCGAAGATCATTGATGTTTACGTTAAGTCTGATGTTGTTGTTTGTTATCATATCCCGAACTTTTTGCTGGTAGATTCCTTGGTCCTCCTAAAGATAAATAAACCCATACTTTTTAAAGAAAACAATCATATTGGTGCAGTTGAAGGGTCGACATATTACGATATTTCGTAATTTGGAGAAAAATATATCACTTCCTCATCATCTTTTACAGTTATCAAATGCAAGTCAAACGTAATATAGCGGATTTCACATGACAAATAACCGTAAAAGCGTTGATCATGAGGCCCCTACCTATGTCCATACAAACAAGTTGTTTCGGTAAAATAATGCATCTCATTACAACTATTTTGTTGAAAACTCACCCCATCATCGAGAAAGTCTAAATATTCTCGCTGCATCTCAATTAATCGTTGATCAATATCAGTTGCCATTTTCTACAACTTTTTTTCGGCCTGCACCCTTGTTGTCACGTTGTTGTCTTTTCTCTGTCTATTTCCCGCCGTTTATAGTCACGTGACTTCGGAAACGCAAAATTTCTTTCGGACGTTCTCGGAAATCATCTTCGTTCGAGGTAGGGTAACTCTAAAAACTTCCGAAATTCTAGCCTTGATAGTCCAGCTCATAAAAACTTTTATTTAACGTAAATCAAATAGAAACAAATATGGACATAGTTTCCTGATATTTTCTTTTTAATAAATACGATAGTTATATATTTTTTCTTCAATTCAAATACGTTTTAAACATTTTTACTCCACAGTAGCACATCACTTCAAAACAATATGGCAGCGCTCATGGACATAAATTTAGGAAATAAGAGACACGAGTTAAACAGCGCTTAAAGAGTTTTTAGCTATACAAGGTCCCAATTATTGGGATATTTTATGTGAAATGGAAGAAAAACATAGAATCGATTTGTTTGTTTGTAATGACAATGTTTTAGTATGGAATGCAGAAGGTAAATATTTGTCGGGAACTTTGATGATGAAACTCCATAAGTGCATCACATCCTTTCAGCTTGCAGTATTGAAATTATATCATCACAGACATGTTGTATTTCAAATAGTTTTAGAATATTGTTAAGAAGTAACCCGAATTAATAGCATATTCATATTCACTACTGATATTAATAAACTACGTGTACGTTTTTGTATTAATGGTAATGTTTACTTTAAAAAAAGTTGTATTTTCTGTTGTCTCTGGTACAATGTTGTTTTACTAGTTTCAAAGAATTTCCTCGTATGCTGCTGGACATGATTATTTTAAACAAATTCAAAATAACTTTCTGGTCATAAATTCCTTGCAAATTTTTAAGATGTCTCCGCGCATTCATCTGAATTGCAGGGTGGATAACTTTAGGCACTTTAGTTGTTGTTCATAGTTCATATCTTTCATGCTAGGTAATATCTGTTTCTATTTCAAATGATCCTGCATTTAAGTAACTTATCTATTGCTCAAAGCAGTAACTATCCCTTTTATGCAGGACTATCATTGTTACCCATATACAGGGTTCTGGTTCTGTCCAGCCTGTCTACTGGTGCTTTAGACTTCTGATAGTGGCAGAGTTGAGGGAATTATTTACCTCTGAGTTGATGTGCTCCTGCACACTTTCTCAGAACAAATAATAGTCTTAACTAATGTGACAGATTTTAACATCGCTATTTTTTTTTCAAAAAGTAAGAAATTACAGATAGATTATCAGAATCACTAAACATTCAATATGTCATACTAAGAGGTCTTATTGTTTGTTATGCTACCTAATGTTAACTTAAAGACCACTACATTTCTTGTAATTAGCTTATACTGAGATCAGGATTAGATCAAAGTTGATATCGTTCTGGGAATCACTATTATTCAATAAAATCAAGGAGACAACTTTTGTGATTTTCAGATGCATCTTTCTTGAGGGATGAAATGAGAATTGTTGGGAACCTGATTGGATGTTTGCCAAGATTTCCAAGACAGAACAATTTTTTAGGGCTTCCACTGTACTTGATGCCAGAGGAAGTTTCCTTACTATTGAACAAAGGTAAGCAGATTGTATTTCTTAATTTTGATCCACTTTGGGGAGGGGATGGTGAGTTGTAAGAGGAAAGAGAAAAAAAGAGAGAGAAACAGAAAGTATTGAATGGGTCAAGAAAAACAAGGAATCTAAATTCAAGAGTAACTGTTTAGGTGAAGCAGAATTCTTTTGCTTAAGTCAGTATCAGACATCCTCCAGGTGTTGTGTACCAGTCTGATATCCTAAACCTCCAGGTATAGTGTACCAGTCTGATATCCTAGACCTCCAGGTGTTGTGTACCTGTGTGACCTCCAGGTGTTGTGTACCAGTGTGATATCCTAGACCTCCAAAAAAGGTGTGTACCAGTGTGATATCCTAGATCTCCAGGTGTTGTGTTCCAGTGTGATATCCTAGACCTCCAGGTGTTGTGTACCAGTGTGACCTCCAGGTGTTGTGTACCAGTGTGATATCCTAGACCTCCAGGTGTTGTGTATCAGTGTGACCTGCAGGTGTTGTGTACTAGTGTGATATCCTAGACCTCCAGGTGTTGTGTACCAGTGTGATATCCTAGACCTCCAGGTGTTGTGTACCAGTGTGACCTCCAGGTGTTGTGTACCAGTGTGATATCCTAGACCTCCAAAAAAGGTGTGTACCAGTGTGATATCCTAGACCTCCAGGTGTTGTGTTCCAGTGTGATATCCTAGACCTCCAGGTGTTGTGTACCAGTGTGTTATCCTAGACCTTCAGGTGTTGTGTACCAGTGTGATATCCTAGACCTCCTGGTGTTGTGTCCCAGTGTGATATCCTAGACCTCCATGTGTTGTGTACCAGTGTGATATCCTAGACCTCCAAAAAAGGTGTGTACCAGTGTGATATCCTAGACCTCCAGGTGTTGTGTACCAGTGTGACCTCCAGGTGTTGTGTACCAGTGTGATATCCTAGACCTCCAGGTGTTGTGTACCAGTGTGATATCCTAGACCTCCAGGTGTTGTGTACAAGTGTGATATCCTAGATCTCCAGGTGTTGTGTACCAGTGTGACCTCCAGGTGTTGTGTACCAGTGTGATATCCTAGACCTCCAGGTGTTGTGTACCAGTGTGATATCCTAGACATCCAGGTGTTGTGTACCAGTGTGATATCCTAGACCTCCAGGTTTTGTGTACCAGTGTGACCTCCAGGTGTTGTGTACCAGTGTGACCTCCAGGTGTTGTGTACCAGTGTGATATCCTAGACATCCAGGTGTTGTGTATCAGTGTGACCTGCAGGTGTTGTGTACTAGTGTGATATCCTAGACCTCCAGGTGTTGTGTACCAGTGTGATATCCTAGACCTCCAGGTGTTGTGTACCAGTGTGATATCCTAGACATCCAGGTGTTGTGTACCAGTGTGACCTCCAGGTGTTGTGTACCAGTGTGATATCCTAGACCTCCAGGTGTTCTGTACCAGTGTGACCTCCAGGTGTTGTGTACAAGTGTGATATCCTAGACCTCCAGGTGTTGTGTACCAGTGTGATATCCTAGACCTGCAGATGTTGTGTACCAGTGTGACCTGCAGGTGTTGTGTACCAGTGTGACCTGCAGGTGTTGTGTACCAGTATGATCTCCAGGTGTTGTGTACCAGTGTGACCTCCAGGTGTTGTGTACCAGTGTGATATCCTAGACCTCCAGGTGTTGTGTACCAGTGTGACCTCCAGGTGTTGTGTACCAGTGTGACCTCCAGGTGTTGTGTACCAGTGTGATATCCTTAATCCTTAGATTATGCTCAATTAGTTCTGGATAGTCACTGAGTATGACAAAATCTATCAAGGAAGCATTCTTCAGAACTTTAAAAGCTAATTAGAAAATAATCTTTTTCCTCAGGTGTTGCAGTACTTGTTAAGGGGGATGACTTGCTGCAAACACCAACACAGCAACAAATAGAAGAATATCATGAAATTTGTGACAACAACTTTCAGGAACAAGTAAGGACACAACAGAATAAATTCCCTTTTCTTGTAATTCTCTGCACTATATTAGAAAATTTTAAATGATTTAAAGAGCCAGACCCACTCCTCGACTGATATTGTTTTATATAAAAAGAATTCATGATTTTCTAATTTCCTCGGGTAGCAAAAGTTCTGACTAATCCTGTAATACCGCAAGTTTAAAGTAAATCGCAACCAATCTAACGTAATAAATAGTTTTAAAAAAGAATTTGAAACGACTCAGTGCTAATTCATAATTATGTGGAAAGTCCTGCCCTCTGTCGCATGCGCAAAGAACTGTAAACAAATCTACCGTCTTCCAACATGGCAGAAAGCGTGCAAGGGAAGCGGGGAAGAAAACGTGTTTTGGCAGACTCTGAGGCGAAAAGAAGGAAGATGGCGACTGGTTCATACTCTGTATCACTCTCTGTTTGGTTCTCTCATGTAGTATCACTCTAAAATCATATTCATAAATACTCTTATCATCGAATATTCGCTTTAGATATATCCATTTCGCAATGTTCTATATGTTCATTACCGTATTGTAGCCCCCATTTGAGGACATCTTTGCAATTAATCATAGTTTTTCTCGTAATCTGCACGTTTTTGTGTCATATCTAAGCATTGAAAGATGTGATCAATACATACGTTAGATGATTTCCATACATGATATATAGAGTATTGATTGCATTTATTGGTAAAATATCTTTACAAGCAATGTCAAATGGACGTACTACTCACCTTTTCCTCCATTTTAGTTTTGGTTCTGACCGCGTCTGAACATTCATATCCTGGTGTTGATTAATGAGACTAATTCCGGCACCGATATCTCCGGTACCCTTTGAATTTCAAGTTCGAAACTTTATACAAGACTTTATTTATATATTGTCTATTAGTATACAACAACATTTCCTGTCAGTAAAATATGAAAAAAATATCTATAACAGAGTGGGTCTGGCTCTTTAATGTGTGCAAACATTGTTAAATTGATTACATTCGGGCAATGCAGAAATGCTATGTAATTATAATTATTGTAGCAATTTGCTCTGCTGCCTATAATCAAGCATTGGTCTAGAAGCTTTCTAACACAAACAATTGGATAACGTTGATCAGTTGTTTTTATTGTGCAGGTAGAACTCTTTAGAGATGACAGGAGAAAGGAGATCGAACAAAATCTACCAAAAATTGTTGAAGGAAAGAAAGAAAAAAGGAGAAAGGAAATAGAAGAACGGAAGAAAGCCGGAGAAGATGTTGATGAGTCAGAGTTGGAAAAGGATATCATTATTGATGCTGACAGTATTCCTATTCCAGCCCTTCCACGTAACCATGCATTGGTCCAACTATTTACTGGTGAGTTGGACAAACATTTTCATATACAATTTCTTGTTGACATTGCTCCATTACAAACCCTGCCAGGTAACAACTTATTGGTTGAGCTTTATACTGATGAGATGGACAAACACATAGCTTTTATTGAAAGTGTTCCCATATAGGCCTTACAAGGTAACAACTTATTGGTGGAACTTTATACTGATGAGATGGACAAACACATAGCTTTTATTGAAAGTACAAGTGTAAGCTGGTATTTAGAACACCTTATTTCATGCTTAAAACACATTACTAATGATATGATAACTTACATGTATCATGTTTGATGTTTTGTAGACTGAACTTTCTCGTAAAAACTAAGGTAAAATACCAGAATATTTACTAGAATTAATATATTAAAAGAATCACCTTGGAAAGTTGAGGATTCTGAAGGAGGTGCAGAAACATGGAAGTTTCCATCAACAGAGATAGAGAAAACACGCTGTCAGGTGTTCCAGGATCTTTGGGAGAAAGGCTATTTCCTGACCTCAGGTGCAAAGTTTGGTGGAGATTTTCTTGTTTACCCAGGTAACTTGTCATGTCTGAGCTTACTTCATATTGTTATCAGAAGCGTTATTGCATCATAAGTTTATTTTTTTGTTTTTGTCTTTTTTTTTAAATCTCAAAATTCAAGATTTATGAATGAAAAAGACAACTTAACTTAGTTATTATATAAGCAAGAATGCACTCCCCAGATATTCAAATTTGGTAAATCATACGAATTCAAAATTGATAGAAATATGACTTCGGTAACAGGGATATAGACAAAGTGCATGAGTAGTTCTCTGTGTTAAAAGACTTATGAAATTGATAGTATAGATAATACCATGCAGAGATTTTAAATACACACCTTGTTTTCTATGGTTAAGATAAGCCCTTCCCAGGTAATAAGACCGCTATTGCTATTTGCTATTCAGTAGCGTTATAAACCAATGTGTTTTTTCATTTTGCTGTAATAAACCCATCCTCTAAATAGTCCCCCAGCAGATCTGGGTTGGAACAATAGTTTTGTATTGAAGCATCTGGTCCTTACTTTCCGTCCATTCATCCATCCTCCTTCTATCTTGTTTCTCCTCCTTGCTGTATCTCTTACAACCACACCACTAGTCACTTACCTTCATTCATGTAGTAAGGGTTCATTTTGGTGAGGCAGTGTATCATGTGACAAAAGTAGGTCACTCATTCTTTCATTGTGAATTTTTACATTCACTGGAGAACTGTAATTTGTCAAATTGTCTTTTTTTTTCAAGTAAAACAACCACCCTGGGCAGAACTCTATGTCTGTTTTAGCTTTACTGCACATAGAACTTAACTGTTTATTTGATCAGGAGTTACAGACAAACTGAGCCATGATTTAATTAAGAGTTCTGGAGTCCTAGATTTTGTGTTGGTATAGGTCGTGTTCCATCTTTCTGTCAATTTAGTTTAAATTGTTTTTTGTTTACTTTTTCAGGGGATCCCAGTAAATTTCATTCACATTTTGTTGCCATATGCCTGGAACATAAGAAAACTTTAACCCCTCTTGACATTGTTGCCATGGGGAGACTGGGGTCAAATGTCAAAAAGACAGTTGTACTGTGTTCACTGGACCAGGAGGCAAAGATTCAGTACACCTCTCTTCAGTGGACGGGAATTACATGATGTTTACAGGTTAATTATATAAATATATGAAAGTCTGAATGTCGTTGGTCAATTTGATGATTTCAAATATGTTGACAAGTTAAGCCACAAATTCTAGAAAAAGAATCTCCAGTGTCTTCAGTGTCTTCAATTGGGCTTGTAGTTCATGTGGATGTATGCATTTTTTCTAGAAAAATCCTTCTCAACTTTTGAAAGGTCAAATTAATCTGACCACAAAGCAGGAATTTTGCTTTAAGTTCAAAGGTCATGAGGTCAAGTATTGAAAAGGTCATAGCAGAAAATGTAATGATGTACAAGTATACTGTCATGAAAGATTGCAATTTCAAATTTGAAACATAGAAACAGTAAGTAAACTTAAAAGGGGTGATTGAAGTGGATTATCATGTGAAAAAAATGTTTAACTCTCGGAAAAGTGGAAAGAAACACAAGACTGAGTTGGTACTGAACTAATCTATCCCAAATATACTGATAGCCATTTTAAAATTCAATATTAGTTGTGCAGTAGAACTGTACATAACAGAAAAAAATTCAGACCACTTCAATAGTACTTGAAGAATGGTAATGACATTCAGAAATCAAATGCCATCTTGATTTTCTTTTTAAATTAAGTAAGTGTCACTGGTGGCCATGTCGAATACCTAACAAAATTAAATGGCTGCTTATGGCCATTTTGAACACCAAATCTAACTCAAAACTCAGCATGCACATCTAAGAACAAATGAAAAGTGCTGTAACCATGGTACCACCAGTACTGAAAATGAGGTCATGGTGCTGAGGCCCATCGTCCTGTCCTTGCTGAAATGTTGCATTTCTGACATTTCAACTTCAGAAATGGTTGTCAAGTTGAAGCCGATCTAGGAATGTTCTTGGCAAACTTTTTTTTAATTTTCTCATATTAGATTCTTTTTCAAGTACAGTCATCTGTGTCTGCTTGACTCAGTTTCTTCTCTTGTGTAGACTGTGATGTGTTTACTTACGCACACAATAGCCAAACACCAGTATTCTAAGTTTAGTGTGTAAACAATGTCACAGAAAAAACCAAATCAAGAACTAACAAGAAATGTTTTATATAAATTAAAATTCTTTATTTTCCATCATGTAAAAAAATAAACATGAAGCAGATATATATATAAAAAAAACTGTGTGTATTGAACAGTTCATGCTGATTGCTGAACACATTGTGGTAAGGACATGGTGATATGTCGTCAAAATTTGGCAAGGGGGATAACTTATATACATTTGTACAAATCTGAATTTAAAATACACGGATTCATTCTCACTCCAAACAGACACTGCATAATCATGCTGTCTCCATCTAGCTTCATAAATTTTATATACAATGTATCATTGAATGTAAATTAATTAAAACCTTTATAGAAACTAGAGTATACTCGAATTCCTTTCTCACAATTTTTCAAACAAAAACAATTGTTTATTGGTCCTCCTAACACACACATATATATATATATATATTCAATTTATGATTAATTTGCAGAGATAATTAAAAAAAAAAAACATGCAACATCCTAATTATCAATGGTTATTAAAATAACATTGATCACTCTGTGATAGAACACATCTACATATTACCACCTGGTTCAAAAATAAGCATATCAGTTTTAAAATAAAAATGTGAAATTTAAAATCTGTGGTTATTTTGTCTAAAATTGAGAATTTTCATGAAATCAGAAATATTGTGGGATCACTGTATATATTTCATTTCTGGAGAATGCACGTCTGGTCATACATGATCATCTCGTGTCATGTTACAGGTACTAGTACTATGTTTTGTGTGACTCAAAGTCACAAAATATATCTGTATTAAAAGATCCCCCAACCCCCCCACCAAGAAAAGGTTAAGTCTTTTGATTAAAAAAATGGCAGTAACAAATTCATAGATTATTTTCAAATTTTTGTCACTGAAGTATTTTATGTACAATGTAAATGCAAAATTTCAAAACTTGTATAGGATTTTAAAAAAAGCCAAATTTTTTTAAACGAACTTCCTGAATTTGAGTTACATGAGGGGGAAAATGGTTTTAAAACATGTGTGGTCCTTACTTGGTCAATGTGATGGGAATGTATTTGCTTAAAATAAAATATGTTCAAAAAAATAAATTCAAAAAACATAATTATATGTTGAAATAATTAAAGATCAGACATTGCACATATCGCCTCTTCTACACAGTCAAGATAGGGAAGTTAGCTCTATCCCACCAATGTCTCGGGCACAGAGTCCTCAGAGCTGTGAATGACTCCACTAAATCACTGTAAATATGAACTACATTCAATACTTTTTAATCTCATTGCTAATAAATAACTTTATACTCTGCAGGTACTGGCCAATCATGCTGCCTGTTACCACTGAGCAATACTGGCTTTTTCGTTAAGTAAATCATACCATCTGAATCTGCTTCAGATTTAGCCAATCACATTGCCTTCTGATGTTACTGTTTAGCCAATCACATTGCCTTCTGATGTTACTGTTTAGCCAATCACATTGCCTTCTGATGTTACTGTTTAGCCATTCACATTGCCTGTAGCTGTCTAGCAGTGTATCCTGCTGATGTTACAGGTGAAGCTAATCACATTGGCTTCTGTCTGGTGATGATGTCACATATTCATCAGATCACATTGCCTGTGGTTGTCTGGTGATGATGTCCAGCCATTATATTGTCTGTCGCTGTCTAGCCTTGGAGTCACTGGTTTTGCCAGTCACACCATTTGTACAGCGACTCTCAGCTGAAGAATCGATGGTTGTCTGGTGATGATGTCCAGTCATTATATTGTCTGTCGCTGTCTAGCCTTGGAGTCACTGGTTTTGCCAGTCACACCGTATGTACAGCAACTCTCAGCTGAAGAATCGATGGTTGTCTGGTGATGATGTCCAGCCATTATATTGTCTGTCGCTGTCTAGCCTTGGAGTCACTGGTTTTGCCAGTCACACCGTATGTACAGCAACTCTCAGCTGAAGAATCGATGGTTGTCTGGTGATGATGTCCAGTCATTATATTGTCTGTCGCTGTCTAGCCTTGGAGTCACTGGTTTTGCCAGTCACACCGTATGTACAGCAACTCTCAGCTGAAGAATCGATGGTTGTCTGGTGATGATGTCCAGCCATTATATTGTCTGTCGCTGTCTAGCCTTGGAGTCACTGGTTTTGCCAGTCACACCGTATGTACAGCAACTCTCAGCTGAAGAATCAATGATAGGGCTTGAGTTGCAAATAAATGTGACCAATATCCAGTCATTATCCTTGATGTTGCACCACATCTGCCATTTAAATGTCGCATCTGCCAGCTAGCACCTTCTGAAAATCCATCACATGACTGCCTATTTGAGGATTTTATATCCTTTTTAAAGGCTCATGCTTCAAACATTTTGACTTGCATTGCAAGTGGAACTGATGCTATAAACGTCTTAAATTCTTTTTACTCTTACGACTTCCAATGGAAGAAGTCTTTGGTCTTTTAGCAGATGTTGGAACACAGGCCTGTTCAAAGTGAAAGCTGTTGAGGCATTTCACACAAAAGTCAAAGCCACACTCAGTCTGTACACACATGCCTCGATCCTGGACATCCAGGACTTTAGATGGACCCTGACACTTTGGACATCTTCTGAGACTTTCGTAGTTTTTCAGTGTGGATGCCACCTGTAATTACAGATGATAATAGTACTTTCAGAAATATAGTGGTAATTTCACAAGCTTTGTGATAAATTAACAAATGTTGTGAATATTAAATACATTGTGGTAATTTTGCAAAAATAAATTTGAATAACTCTGTTAGACTGATTGAGGTTTATAAAAAGATCAAAGTCGTAGTAAATTCATTACACACAATGTATTATTCAATCATGGTAAAATGGAGACAGATCACAAAATAAGATTTTAATTATGTAAACAACCTTTTTTCTTTCCTATCAACTGGCCCGCATTGCTCAAAGGTGTATTGGAGAAAACCAGTGGTTAGGGGAAAAAAAATAGTGCTACTGAAAAAGGGACATTAAAAGCAAAACTGGCAATAAACGTGGAACTGTTGAATGCTCCCCAAAAACAACTTTATTGAACACAATATTTAAACATACTCCTGTAATCAAGGGTTTTTAGGCACTTAATTTGGTACACTGCACATTTCCTTAGTGTGACAAATATATGCACCAAGTTTCATGATCCTAGGTTTAATGCAAGCAAAGTTTTGCTTATGACACAAAATTTTAATAAAGGGTTAATAACTCTCTACTGAGGGGTCATGGGCCTGACTTTGCTACTCTGCACCATGCTTCATGTTTCAATACCTTAGTGCAGACAAAGAAATGCTATGGACACAAAATTTTAACAAAGAAAAATAACTGCAGTTATGGGGTTTTGGACCCGAACAGAAGTACACTGCACATCATCTTTTATGATCAATGTATATACCAAGATTCATGGTCCTGGCTTAACATGGGCAAAGTTATGCTCAGGACAAAAATTTTTAACTGGCAGTAACTCTGTAATTGATGGGTCAAGGGCCCATAATTTGGTTCACTGCACATCCCCTTATATAGTATGACCAATGTTTACGCCAAGTTTCATGATCCTGACTTAATTGTGGGCAAAGTTATACTCCCGACACCAAAGGATGGATGGACAGATGAAGTGGTGACTAAATTACAGGGAGCATAAAAAATGTCAATCTAACCTGTCTGCAAATCTACAACTGTTAAATGATGAAGATTGTTTCCATTATGGTTTAATTCATATGTGAAAATTTTCACCAGCCATTATTTTCATTATGGTTTAATTCATATGTGAAAATTTTCACCAGCCATTATTTTCATTATGGTTTAATTCATATGTGAAAATTTTCACCAGCCATTATTTTCATTATGGTTTAATTCATATGTGAAAATTTTCACCAGCCACTGGTTAACTCTAACTAAGCTTTGACATCTCTCTTGAGAAATTCAATCCATTAAAAAAATATACCTGAAAGGTAAAAATAAAATATTCTGGCCAGTTAAAAAAATATATCTTACAGTGTGGAACCGGTTCTCAGGGACTAGATTGGTGGCCTTAGAGGAAGGCACAGTCTGTTGTAACATGCCAAACGTCCGTTCTCCTTCTGTCAAACCTCTCTCTGAACGGTATTCAAGTCGCTTCCCAAAATTTTCCTACAAGGAAATGAACTTATTGTAAGGGTAAAAAAGCATAAAAGTTGCATTTAACAGATGAAGTTTTAGTTAAGATCACAAAGTTACATTCATACACCATGATTTGAAAATTATGATATAATGGTGGATTTCAGGTTTCTGATAAGAAACAACAAAAAATTATCAACAGGACTTTTTTTTAGTTTGAAACAAAATTTAAATTGCTTGTCATCGACAAATGTAAAAGTTTTTCAACAAACATACTTTTTCCTGTTTATTGGCCTTCGCCTTCTGCAGTCGCTGCACATACTGGACACGACGATCGGTTGCTCGTGTGTCTTCATCACAGATAGACTTCCAGTCCTGACTAACTTGACAGAAACTGAAGAAAAAAAAAACAATGACTGTAAATGTTTAATGAATTGGAGGTAGCCAAACATCTTTTTCATGGATCTATATAATGACATATTTCATTTTTTTCTAAATTTTGAATTTTTAAATTTACAGAAAGGTGCACTGTAACATATTTACCAGGTAGTATTAATCGCTCTTTCAAATTTCCAGTGAAGAACAGAACTGTCAATTCCACTCAACATGTCAGAAGTTATTACAGAAATTTCACATAATCTTTCATAACATAATTTTATTTTCGTGTAATTTATTAACATGCACGAAAACAAAGCAAATATAAGAACACGTTTAATTTTCTTCACTTCATACCAGTATATAAAAAACCCCAAACTTAATGCGTATAATAGATTATGGCACTTTACTTCGAACAATATGAAGATTGAAAACTAATATTGACAGGAGCTGAAGGCCGAGATTGATTAAAGTAATCTGAGCTCACTGAATCCTGTGTCAATCAAAACAAAGAGCTGTTACTCTTTTGAATACAATTCAGCATCTAAACCACAGCAAAAATTAACAAAGTAAGGTCCCACGCCATTCATATTGCTTCTTATTCTGTAATATTCACTGCATCGTCATGTACATCTTTGATGAAACATTGTATTGTTTTGATAAACATGATACTGCGTTCTTATGCAACTTCCCAGATGTGTCTGATTAATCGGATTTGCTGAAATTACGCAACATTACAAGATTCTACATAGAGCATGCAATATAACGTTTTATCACTGTAACACCGAGCCATTTGATGTAAAATGGAAAAATGTGATTAGATTAAGTCCGATCAGTATCTGATATAAACCAAAAATATAACCATTTCTTTTATATGTAGATTAAACACATGTTTGTAAACAATTTTTTATGTATATGTATACCAACCTGCACAGGTCTTTTGGATCCAAATAATCCAGGACCACAGACAAAGCAGATATGTTCCTCATTGATAGCTCAAACACAATGTCCACACAAAGTAGTCCCATCTTTCGACCAATCAAACGATCTGGTTCTTTTGGTGAAAACTTCTGCAACACTTCATTGAAGCGATCTGCAAGACTTGAAGCATTGAGACTAGTACACGTAGAACTGAGTTCGCTGCCTTCTGAAGTACATGTGGTGTTTGAACATTGACAATCACACTGAACTTCCTGTTCACATTCAAAACTCAACCTTGAAAGTGGCGAGTCTGTCAGTATTTTCTCTCCTTCCTGAACATGACTGATGAGTTTGGAGTTTTTATGTTCCACAAAACTTGAAGTCTCATCGATTTCACTAATACTTTGATCATCAAAGCTGTCCCTTTCATCTTCATCCTCAAAGTTCAGTCTGTACTGAGGTATAGACCTATAGGATTGGTTAAATTCAGACTTGCTTTTCAAATCAGCCTCAGGAATGTCCCATTCAGTATCAGGTTGGGTATCTAATCCACTACTAACATCAGAAAAGGAAGGAAGATACTCTACTGTTCTTTCGCACGGAACTGGACTTAGAGGAGTAAAAGCTAGCTGTCGTCCAGGATGTGGAAAAGGCCCTGAAACAGGGGTTTGAAATCCATGGACAGAGGAACTGTCGTTAGTCCCACAACTGGTGATTGAGGTGTATCCGCTGTCATCAACAGGTGACAAAGAGTGAAGGTGACCATATTTAAGTTTGTGGTAGGGCGTACTTGTTACACTTTGTGTACGAAACCTTAGGTCAATATCGTCATGATTTCTTTTTTCCAAATTTGAAATTGCACTAGACTTGTTATTGGATACTCGTGGGTAAAATGTGTTTACTGGTATTCCAGACATCTTGCTGCAAGGAAAAAATATCTAAGTGTAATACATCTTAAGAAAAAGGGAGGGAAAATGGTCGTTTGCAACAAAAACATAGATAAAATGTTTAAGATGAACTATTTATCTTAGCATTTTTGTTCCACATTATGTATAGGACCTCCAAAACAAAAAACACTAAGCAATGGACTATTCTCAAAACAAAACAATGAAAGATTGGTAATGTGTCGATAGAGATAAAATAAAAAGAAAAAACACAATCTATTATGAACATCTTCAGAATGAACTTTCTACCGATCTTACACAAGCTTATATTGTCGATGACATTTTAATGTTTGAAATTAGAAAGGAGAAACAATATTTTAACATCATTTTCCCATAAATTGTCGTATTGTGCAATAATACTTGATCAAGCCCCAATGAATTGTAACTTAAGTAAAAAGCATCTCTGCATTGTTTTTATATTGTGTTCAATAAGCTGATATTACCAATGGGAAACCCATTTAAACTGTATTATTAGCAAAGCAAATTCGTGATCTATTTTGATGAAGGACGCCTACTCAAAGAGAGCCGTGTGTAATAAATAAGATTTATATGAATCATATAACATCTTCCTATTTTCGATCATATTATATATATAAAGATTTACCTGTTAACGTAATACACAAAATATTGAAGATGCACAATATTCAGTCGTTCTTTGAAAGAATTGAAAATTGCAAGCATGTTTCCTGTTGGCCAGTAGGATGGGCGGGCGCGATTTTTTTCAGTCGCTCCACGTCAATAAATAAATATATTCTCTCCGGTTTGTAAATCACAATTGCAAAATGAAATTCTTAATTATGATATCAACAGTCATTATTCTTTACTTACCAATAAGATATATTTTATGATCATGGAAAATTTGTTTAATTAAACGCATGTTTACGCAAGCGAGCGGGAATGTAATGTAGGGCAATATGCAATATTTGGATGAATGGGATTGAAAGCTAAAAATAGGAGAAACTCACCTTCAATGAATAATTATTAATTGAAACAAATATTGGCAATCGAAACACTTCAAGGGGATACATGGACATCAAAATTCAACAACGTGTTTCTAAATCGTTCGGATTAGACTTATTTGTAGAATTATCGTGGTAGCGTCTTCTCGAGTTGTTGTCAGAAATTTTCTGTTCAAATCGGTCGCCAAAACCGTACAACCAATCACATTCCAGCATTCAATTGACATAGGATTTCTAGATTGTTGGTGTGCGAATAATGATAAAGTCAGAAACGTTCGAAGTCTTAATGTTTACATATCGCGAGAATTCGTGCCGAGACTTCCGGTTGTAAACTCACATGGCGGATTACAGTTAATGCTGAAACATAGTAAGTGCTCAACATAGCCGTTGATATTTTTCTTTGGTAGGAGACGCTTCCAATTTTTTAGAGACATTGAGCAAGCCAAGCAGAAGAACATTGTTAATTCATTGTTTTATCTACAAATATAGCCATTAGATGCCCACACACACGTAAACTCACAAACAAATCGTAAACTGTGAAACATAAATCTTGATGTTTTTCATTCAGAGAAAAAATTATGGACCAAACAAAAGACGACCCCACTACAAAAGCAGCTGTTCCTGGGAAGCAACCAACCATGATCTACATCTGTGGAGGTAAACATATGTATTTACTGAAAAAAGAAAACATTTAAATTCTAATTACTTCCATATTGTCGAATACCTACTATTGGTATTTTTTTACTTCAAGATATTTATTTATAGATAGGTTTGATATTCATATAATAATTTATTTAATTAGATACAGTTATGATCTTTTTACGCCTTTTGCACATAATGCAATTAGGACGAGTTCAAACTTACAAAAAGTCTAGTTCTTCCCTTGCAAAAGTGCATGTGCTATGTTTTATAACATCCTTCAGAAATGCATTCAAAATACAAAAGATAGGTACTTTTGCCAGGAACAGTAAAATCAGATAAGTTTTATATTTTGTGTATTATACTGTACTTCTTTATTCCTCATCATTTTTACTCTATCGTTTCAAGAATGCCATCAAGAGAATGAGATCAAGGCACGTGACCCTATCCGATGTCGAGAATGTGGATATAGGATCATGTACAAGAAAAGAACGAAAAGGAGTATCCTTGACTAAGTGCTAAATGATATATACTTACATGTACCTGTGAGCATGGGTTTTCAAAATTCTTCTGTCTCCTATTTTGACTTTTTTTAACTTGAATGTATAATTTCCTCACAATCTTTCATACTTCTTCTTAAATGATGAAGTGTTTAAATTGCATGTTATTTAGCTCTTCATTCCATCCCTAAGCAATGTAATGACTGTACCTTTCTCAAAGTTTGTTTTAATTTAATTGTAATGTTGTTTCGACTAGAGAGTGATATGGAGATCACAGACTTAATGGTCACCCACGAAATGGTTGAGAATATAGTGTCACTGACGGTTGCTATTTAATCAAAATTTACTGTCCCATGTGGTGGTGATATTGAAATGAAATTGCTGTCCAAAGTTATGACCCAATACAGTAAATAGGTACTGTAACACTTAAACCACTTTCAGATACTAAATAAACTATTTTACTAAAAGTGGTTCTCAATTGTTTTGGTATGAAAGCCAAAGGTTAAGTTCATTTTAGCCATAAATAGAAAACTAGGTTATACAAAACGCCAAGGTAACAGTGACTATGAAAACATGTTTTCTGTTCAATAACTCTAGTTCATTTTGGTTCATCAACTTCAAATTTGTAGGTCATGCTTTTGCTTGGGAATGTTTATACCGAGTGTGTGCTGTGTACAAAAGTAATGGATCCTGATATTGTGGATAGAGAAATCAGTTTCTGAATTAAGACTGAAATGAGACCTACAAATTGTACATACATGTACCAAATTTTGTGTTTTAGCCCACTAGACAAAATTGCTTAGGGTAGAATTTCAGTCTGGTCTTACATTTATCATTTAGGTCATTTTAATTTTTCAGATAAGGCTATCCTTAACTCATTTCCAGTGATAGTATTTGATGCAAGATGAAGAAGAAACCATGACAATATGAAGTTTATGTATCGATGATTGCTGTCTTGAAGATTTTAAATGAAAGATCATCAAAGTGACAGACATTTTCCTTCAGAGAGAAATATGATACTTTCAAAGAGAAATGTTTCTGAAAAAGGAAAAATCAATATTTAGTAAAATTTTACATTGTTAATGATGCTTCACATTTAACTCTTTTATGGAAAGTGATTTGATATTTAGCTGTTTTCAAGGAGTGAATACTGAAGACTATTTACTGGAATCCCTCTGACAGGGAATATTTTTCAGACTGTTTCCTCATCTTAGGAAAACAATATTTCTGCTTGAGTAAAAACACTATAGTTTCCTAATGTCAATCATGTATTTTTCCAAACTTGGTAAACATGATACCAGATCTCACATCAAACACTTTGTCACATTGTTCATTGTAAATTGTGGATTGAAAGGTACAGATATGTTAAAATGAAAGAATGTGTGATTTGTGCAACAGAAAGATAAGAATAGATATTGTGTGCAACAGAAAGATAAGAATGGATGAATAAAGAGAGATTACTATCAACTCAGTCTTTGTGTTAATTTATTACAGCATATATCATCTTAAAATGTCTTTTTTTTTATTAAATTCATAATTTGTATTGCTTTCAAAACATACATTGAGTTGATTGGCTTCCTTTAAAATTATTACCATATTAATTGAACCTGCATCATTGTGATCTATTAAGGAAACCTTTCTGACAGCAATTTTTGACTTAGACCACGTCTTTGAAATCCAAGGATTTTTACTATCAGTTTACCCATCTCTTCCAACCCATGGATTAATAGCTGAAAGTATTGAATTACATGGGGTGAGTTGTTGATAAAGCAGAAAAGGCTTACTCTTCAGGAGTACCTGGTCTTCTTCTCCTTGTACTCTTTCAGAAGTCACCATGTAAATATTTCATTTGTTCAAATTTTTATTTTGATGGCAAACTGCATAATTATGCAACTGACATATGCAATAAGAGTTTCCAAGTAAATTACACTCTTGAAAATATATGCTGGTAGCACTTCAACAGAATGGTGTCTCAATGTTATTTTACACCATCTAAATGAGCATGAGACTATTGTTCAGCAACGTGACATGAAGAAGCGGACAGTTTGGAAAATTAAGGCACAAGTATACATTTCATCAGAAAACACCTTTTGATTTGGTATGGAAAGAACAATTTAGGTTAGTATATATATATGAATTTGTCTCCCCTGCCCATCAGGCTCCTATTGTGTTGCACAGAGGCTGATTTACAGAACCAACAGAGATCAAATGTTGCATAAGATGAAACTAAAACACTGCACACTTTATCATCCCTGGAATTGTCCTTTCTCTTGTTCCATTAGTGATGAGTGTCTGGTATGTTGTCATCGAGTTCAAACATCTTCTCAATAACCAAGAGGCTCTGGGCCATGAAATTTGGTCAGGAATATGCTGGTATAAAACGTTCATCAGGTTCGTAGAAATGTATAATATTGACTCACATGAGTTAAGAAATGTATGATATTGACACACGAGTCAAAAAATGTGGTACTCGCAGGAGTCAAGAATGTTTAAATCTTAAAAAACATCACCCAAATAACAAAATTACACCGACTCGTGGGCATGCCTAGATGAAGGGCTAGCACATTTGCCCCTTTTCTAGGTGACCCTGGATAATTAAATTACTTTTTATGCTTTTTGCTGTAGCATGCATTGTGAAATTTGCTTTCAATATTGCAGAATTTGCAATTAATTTAGGTGGATTGTGCCTTTGTTCCAAATTTAGCAATGCCGAAATTTGTGGGTAAGCATCAACAAAACGCTGATGAGAGTTCTTCCGTTTTATTCCGCAGACCAAAATTGATTTTTCCTGAAATTATACAACAGTAAAATATTTACCATTAGAATGAGCAATACTCAATATATAGCACGATCTAGTTAGAGAATATCCAACTTGTAGTGTTACATCTAAAATAAAATTGTTGAAATAAGAGTTTCTTGAATATTTACCTCAAATAGATTCTATACATATACCTTATATTCAACATATATATAAATCTTAAATATATGTAGATATATACAGAAGACAATAAATATACATTAGGAATAAGTCATTAAAAGTAGTTTATAAACAATATGGCAATATAATTGTAATCGCACCAATTTATTGGAACATGGGTTATTCAGTAAGGAGTGCACTCTCGTTAGCATTACTGGAACATGGGTTATTCAGTAAGGAGTGCACTCTCGTTAGCATTATTGGAACATGGGTTATTCAGTAAGGAGTTCACTCTCGTTGGCATTATTGGAACATGGGTTATTCAGTAAGGAGTGCACTCTCGTTAGCATTATTGGAACATGGGTTATTCAGTAAGGAGAATGCACTCTCGTTAGCATTATTGGAACATGGGTTATTCAGTAAGGAGAGCACTCTCGTTAGCATTATTGAAACATGGGTTATTCAGTAAGGAGTGCACTCTCGTTAGCATTATTGGAACATGGGTTATTCAGTAAGGAGTGCACTCTCGTTAGCATTATTGGAACATGGGTTATTCAGTAAGGAGTGCACTCTCGTTAGCATTATTGGAACATGGGTTATTCAGTAAAGAATGCACTCTCGTTAGCATTATGTATGGGTTATTCAGTAAGGAGAGCATTCTTTAAACAGATATAAGTAATTATATCCATTCTGTTAAACAGATATAAGTAATATAGGGAAACGTATATCAAATCACGAATGAACAAATATAACATGAAAGCAAACTAACTACCTATTTATTTATTCACTTATGGCCGTCTGTTAAACGTCCACAGAGACTTGACAGCAATCTCTACCCACTGCCACAGGGACCTGACACGAATTCCCTACCCACTGCCACAGGGACCTGACACGAAATCCCTACCCACTGCCACAGGGACCTGACACGAATTCCCTACCCACTGCCACAGGGACCTGACACGAAATCCCTACCCACTGCACGAATTCCCTACCCACTGCCACAGGGACCTGACACGAATTCCCTACCCACTGCCACAGGGACCTGACACGAAATCCCTACCCACTGCCACAGGGACCTGACACGAATTCCCTACCCACTGCCACAGGGACCTGACACGAATTCCCTACCCATGTTTATATGTATGTATTATTGTCACTATAATATACCATGTGCCGCTATAATCGACCATGGATAGGGAATTCGTTCCCGTTTGTGTTGAAGCAAAGCTGATTTTTGACACTAGCGTTCTTAAAAATGTTGACTTCTGTCATGTGTTGATGCTGGATGGACAGCTGACATTCTCATTAATTTGGTTGGACAGATTTTTTGTATTATCTGCTAAAACTTATATTATTGGATAAAAACGAATTGCGAAAAAAAATCAAACGCACGTCTGCTTCAAAACATAAGTCAAACAGGTTTAATTTGTCACAGCACAACACAGACACACATGTCCACCCACCATGACCTATGTTGGATTTTGAAACTCTATTAGAATAACAATCCCGTGGTTTGTCCTTTGGTATTGTTACAGCCTCATCTGCAGTTTCTCGAATTTATAATATACATGTATACCAAATTGTCACTGTTGTAACACCTTAGTTTGTATTTATAATAATTTTCACGTTCTCATTTGGTTGTGGCAATTTTCTTCCAGAGTGATGTCCATTATATTTGAGATTTTTTCACAGAAAAGGTGTGACCAAAATTATATTCACAAAAATATAAGAAGATTTTTTGATACACAGAAAAGGTGTGAAATCACTAACTTTAAGCAGAGAGTAGCACGTCTCTCAGCGAATGACCTTCTGTAGGTCGTGCACACAGAATACACATGTGCACACATTGAAATCACCTCACCATATTTGGAAATGTTACCATGAAATACACGAACCTCATGTCTCCAAACAATATATTTTGCTTTTTGCTATGTCGGATCTATTGTTACTTGTTTTTAAAGGTACATAGTACCCGAGAGGGAAGCAACTTTCGTTTCGAGTTTGTTACGTTTACACAAAGTTACGTAATAAAGTGTCTAGTCTATGTGTGAATTTACCAAATTATTAATGTCAAAATTTAGAAAATATCCAAACAGAACTGCAAAATATTAACAGATGCTACTAAATTATCAAGTGTTAATTTATTGTACAAAGATGTGGGTTGGCAAAAACTTTCTTATAGACGGAAAAATTATAAAATGTTACAGTTTCATAAAATGTATCATAAGAAAACTCCAATTTATCTGTCAAATCTAATTCCAAATAAGGTATAAGGTACCCATAGACATAATACAAGAAATTTAAATAACCTTTAATTAATTGCATTACTCAGTTTTATAAAACATCGTTTTTAAATTTTTCAGAACATTTATGGAATTCGTTACCAATCGATATTCTCGAGAATCCGTCTGTCAGGATAATTAAAGGCTTTTTACAAAAAGACAATGTACTGATCCCTCAATATTTTAATATTGGAAGTAGAAACCTTCAGATTTTAAATACACGATCGAGGCTCAAATGTAGTAATCTTAAACAACATGTATACTTAAGAAATCTGGAAGAAAGTCCATTATGTTCATGCGGGTTAGTAGAAAGTTCCCACCATTTCTTATTGTCTTGTGTTAATTATAACAAAATTCGACAAAATACTTTATTTCAGCTAGATATCACTTTAACCGAAAAAGTCCACTATGGAAAAACGATACTTACTCAGAAAACAGAAAAGTGAACAGATATTCTTGACAGTACAAAGTTATATCAAGCTTAGTAAAAGTTTTAGCTAATATTCTTGTAGCTATTGTTCTATTTAGCAAACTGTACACAATGTATTGTTACATAGATTAGAAAGTAGCTCTAAAAGGTAACCTTTTTTACAGACCAATAAGTTATGGCGTCACTACTTATGTTAGAAATTGCATTTTGTTATTCTACTTACCATATGTGCCTTTGTTTATAGATGTTATTGTTATGTTGCAAGTATTACTTTTTTTCAAATGTTGATGTTAGGTGTTCCAGTTCCAAAGATTTATATTTACCTTTGTATATATACGGGAAAGGAATTAATATAAACTCTAAGCTTGTTTTCCCATTCCATAAAATTATCTGTATCTGTCAAAGTGCTGATTATTGAATAAAATGTTGTTTTAAACTAAATCAACCTCATGTCCACAATATATTTTTCGAGTCCAAGTTTCAGGCCACCAAGCTGCTGATGTTCTCTGTAACGTTGTCCATGTCCTTTCCATCGCGTCCTGTTGCTTCGTTAACAGATTTTGGTCAAGTTTTGTATAAAGATCAACCATGAGCTACTTTGGACAACCTTGTGTTTTAGGGGCCCAAAAAAATTATCAACTGATTCAATTTAAACACTTTAAACAACTTTGGATCAAAGGCCAAGGCCTTGGTGGCGGGAACATTCATGTCTAATATGTTATCTAGTTTTCTTTTCATCCGCCTGCAGTTGGATTTATGGATATTTGGAAAAGCCGAAAAATGGCAAACATTTGATGAGCTGAAACAATCGGTAGAAACTTGACAGAAGGAAATACCGTGTCATGAAATTATCAAAAGTAATCCAATGCATTTCAGTTTTTTTTATCTTAAAGTGTTTCGACATAAATTCTTCCCAAAAAGAATATGTTTTATATGTTACGGCATGGCATAAAGTGTGTTTTGAATTGTCTGCGAAATCAGAATGACAATTTCTTCAAATGCATTATCAGGAAGATCTCGGTTAGTGTGTTCTTGATGTAATAACGTATTTTCTTCACAAATCGATGATTTCGAATTCTCTGTTTACGTCCTAACGGTGTATATAAACCCTAGAAAGAAGAATTCATTATATAGTTATTATTAACACAATGACATGTACATAGTTATTGTATTCTGTTTGTTCTAAGACCGAGCCAATAACCATTAATCAATCGAACACGTGTACTAAGAATGTTAATGACATATGTGTCCCATTTCCTGTTCTATATTATGACCGTCGTCAAGATGTTTTTTATTCGTAGTTTTCTGTACAGCGAAATGCTCCTAGTTTATATTAGCAACCAAAACACAAAGACATGTCAATTAATCTCCCATGGTGATACTATTTCGGTGCGAAACATATTCTAATGTTTTTAATTGACCCCATGGGGAGCCTCAACAACAACCACGCGTTTCCAAGATGAAGAATGAACAAACATGGATGTACACACTCGCAAATAATAACTTTCAAAGTTGGTAAACATGTATAACTTGTGCAGGAACCCAAAGGTCATGACCTGGAACCTGTGACCCATGACTTTTGACCTTACGCTTACTGTAAAGCAAGCGTGACGTTCCAGCTACACTTCTACAGACGGACAAAATGTTTCAAGCTTTGGCCCATTTTATGGGCGTACCCTTGATGCAGGTAGGTTTAACGCATACCGAATACGATAAGTAATATATATACGTTTCCCAGGTGAATATACTTTGCTGATGGTACCTAAACATCCTCTTCGTTGTTGATAACATGCCAGCATGGTCATTGGGTGTGACTTGGAATCAAAATAAGCTTATGTGTCGTCAGGTATTTTGAGAAATACAATATGCTCTGGTCCTTATGATTCAAACATTTATCTGCACGAGACATTTTCAAACTTTTCAAACTTTTAGATTTCCTTGTCTCTCTACACCTGCGTGTTTTGTATCACACATTGTCAAACCCTTCTGTACGAAACTTTCCTGTGTCGGCATACATGTGTGTGTGTATGTACAAATGTATGTGTGTCATATTTACATTTTTAGTCATCACTGATACATACAATATAGGCCTGAACCAACTACGGACTTGATTTGATTTTAAAAGCATTTCCTTATTACTAAAAGTTACTGGTAAATGAAGTTTAAAAAAACTTATTCCCTCCATATGTTTTCAGGTATGAATAGCTATTGAAGCATACATGTTGTCAAAGTAAAGCTCAATAGAAATCTTCAAGATTAAATCGAGTCTCGTGAGTCGAGTACAATCTTGTTTATTGATACCAGCAACCTGTCCCCACCATTAACAACACCTGTCACCAATATCAATATTACACCAGCTTGGTATAGCCCGACTTTGTATAGGACAGGTGTTCGAAATGGTTGGGAGCTTAAGGAATTTGAGGATATACCTTGCCAACAGCCAGTTAAGGGGTCAGAATTAATTCTGGACACAGAGCTGGACAGCCAGCATGGCTCTCGATCTGCCAGATTTGGGGCCGATATTTGGCCCCATTCCCAACGCAAAATAGTATCATTTTTTCCCAATTTAGACACGAAGTTTTCCCAATTCTAAGGAAAACACCATTATTTTTCCCAATTCTAAGGGCCCGGGCACCAGTCCCAAAATGGGGTGTGAGGGCCCTGGCCAGGGGTCTTTAATTAGTATAAATGATGATGTATGGGCATGGCTTGTATGCTGAATTTATCTGGCAGTAAAACCATAGAGTAATTCGGTGGAGCAGTAATGCACTTACTTTTTGCCAGGCGTCCGGGGTTCGATTCCCAGAACAGATTTGAAACAGTATAGGGTCATTTGCCAGACTGTAGAGTCTAAAGTTGTATACTCCTGTTGGCTAATTATAGGATACATATGGTGTACTTACCTCCAAAATCCAGGGGTTCCACTGATGTTTCATATCCTTCTCTGCTCTCTCATGGTCCATGTCTTCTGGTTTTCTACCAGTAGAGATGAAAGATGAACGTCAACATGAATTGTAGGCTTTTATCTCTACTGGTGGAAAACCAGAAGTGCTTTTATCAAGACTTGATAACGCTGTCTGTCCATCTGTCCATTTGATAACCTTTAACCGTTAGTACTACTAGACTGGACATCAGTTAGTGAGAAGAGTATGGTCCACAATCTGTCCATAATATATAGATATGATTTTGAACCATTTAATTTTCAAGACGACCATCTTAAAAAAAGTTTTACTGCTTCTCCTATATGTGGAAGTAAAGAGTGATACTTACAAAATTTCCATCATTGAATAGACTAGATTGAGTGTAAATAATTGATTGAAATGGTCCTAACTGAAATTCAGACATGACAACCATATTGAAAATCAGCATTTGTAATTTTTCCCCACCACCAATGGAGAGAAATCAGAATGAATACTTTCAGCTGTATAAATTGAAATTTAGGTGTAATAAAGGTACTGTTTTCAAAATGACAGCAATATGATAGCGCCATCTTGAAAATAGAAATTCTTGCATAAGTCAATGTAACATGCGATTTATTAGGCGGGTTAAATAATTTGACAGGTCATGAGCGTTTTGGAGAGTGATTTGCCAAATTATTTAATGCCCGTAATGAATATTTAAATTCTATCTATCATTTAACATGTATTTCTGAAATTATTGAAAGCACAAAAATTAATTCCCTCATAAAACAGACTTTTTGTCATGAAGACATGACTTATGACATTAATGGATTCTCTTGCCTACGATATTTATGACAGGCATGGTCATATGACATGACACAAAAGCCCAATTGTGTGATGAATCTTTTTAAATCTTCTTCTTCTAAATTAATGACAAAGACGAGACTTACACTATGTAACGAGGACACAGTCTACAAGTTGATACTTAACAAAACACAAATTCATGCATAGGGCATGTTCAAGGTGACGTCCATTATAAACATCTGGAAAATCTTGACATCACTATATTTCTCCTGACTTCTGTCTTTTGAGCAGAAAGTAATTCAAAGGTGACTTCAACAATAGTGTGCTGTATATGATGTGTAAGTTGTTCCAATGTTTGGATATTTGTAAAATTAGAAATATCTTGTTTTCTCTAATTTGTTGTAAATGAAAAAAAAATGTTCCCTAATCTATAGATTGTATCAACTGAATTTTGGTCATGTATATTCTAAATTAGTTTTGAAAATGTTGTCTTAACAATTTTTCATAAATAAATAGATATTAAGTCAAAGAGCCAAAAGTAAAAGGATTGGTTGTTTTGATCTAGCAGACACAAAAGCAGCTGATATTCACGATATGTTGTAACCCATATTGTGATAAAATGCTTATTGTAAGACTCTATTACAATAAGACGACCTGATTACAATAAGTTGAAAATTAATTCAGTACGGTGAACTGTAATGTAATTATTATTACAATAAGCATGGCAACCAGAGACACACAGAACTACTTCCTGCAGCAGGACAGAGAATGATCAGCATATCTTATAACATCAAAAAGAACACGATCTCTATGGGAACAGTGCCCAAAGATAAATGTATCTGGGCTAGTTGTTACATCTCTCTCAAATGTTAGCCCTGTTTTGGCCCTCGGCCAGTCAGTAGCTAATAGTGCACAGTATAATAGTAAGTGAACCTACTTTTAAGATGTTTAAATGGTCTGTCACAACCAATTGCATTTGATAAATAAATTAAAGGAAAAGCAACGTATGACAGTTCAGGAGAATGAAAAATCAACCTTTGAATATTTTTTTTTTTGAAAACTTTAAAAAATGTGAGATATTACCATGTCAATAATTTTTATTTTTATTTGATCATAAAAATGTCTTACATGGTATTTACTTCAAATATATATTTACATATATATATATATATATACATCTGTATATTCTCACCGAGGCAGTCTGTCTTTTCTTGTTTATCTGAAATGATGATTATGATGTTGTTTGTTAGGTATCAGTGTTTGTGTTTACTTGTTTGTATTGTATACACCTCATTTAATCTAACGATCAAATTAATTGATAAAAAACACATCTATGAGACCCATCCCTGTAGCATACCAGCATCTTTTCACAGTTTAAATTATATGTAAAATTTTGCCTCCACATTTTCTGATAATTTGATAAAATAGAATATTGTGAAGGTGAAATTCTTTATTTCTTATTGGTTAACGAATTAAAAACCTGATTGGATATAGCAGAGTTACATGTAATGTGAGATCAGTCACATGACCTCTGAAGCATGTGACCAATAGATGATGAAATTCTTACAAGATCACAACGGCAGCTGAAAAAATTAATCAGATAGCATATCTATATAATATATACTTATGTCCTTGGCTGTTTGTAGACTTGAATTTATCTTTGACTGAAGTAAAGGATTTAGTGTTGATACAGTATAACAGAGTATAACTTTAAATACAACTATATAACAGAGTATATCCTTTGTTTTTTTTTTGAAATTTTTATTGTGAATTGATCCCCTGTCCCCTCCCCCTCTCCCCCTTCACTTAATTGTGATCTTTACAAAATTATAATATTGCCAAATATTTACCTTATGTTTAAATACAGTTTAAATACAAATGAAGCAAAGCTAAGATTTATTGGTTTTAAATTTTTTTCTGACTTCTTGTCCATTTTCTTTATTTATAATGAGTCTTACAAGGACAATCCTCGTTGATTCAGGCTATGTAGGTATTATGAGTGTGTTATACTTGTTACTTAAATCATGTTTATTTAAGTCTGAGCCAATCTGTCAATAAACCATTCTGTGTACAATCTTTTTCTGGTGTTGACTCAAACTTTTATCCTGTAATGTTATAAGCATGCTCATGTTTCCTACTATAACAACTCTGTACTGATATATATACACATGTACATGAATTAAAAGTTATCAGAAGTAAACAGAAAGCTGTAATCAACACTCAGGAGGTTTTTAAAATTTAGAAATCTATTTAAATGTCTGGAACAATTAGAACATAAAGGGATATGGAATTATGCCCTTTATGAGAGAATATCTAGGATCTAAACGTCTCTTATCTATGGTGTTAATGCATAGGAGCCCAGGAAGTGACATTTTATTGTGTATCGGAGACTTCAGGGGATCTGAAAGTGTCTATTTTGTCTATGTGAAAATGAAGAAGATATGAAAACGTCTGTTTTGTCGATGGGAGACTTCAGGGGATCTGAGAGTGTCTATTTTGTCTGTGAGTGAATGAAGAAGATTGAAAACATCTGTTTTGTCGATGGGAGACTTCAGGGGATCTGAGAGTGTCTATTTTGTCTATGAGAGAATGAAGAAGATATGAAAACGTCTGTTTTGTCGATGGGAGACTTCAGGGGATCTGAGAGTGTCTATTTTGTCTATGAGAGAATGAAGAAGATATGAAAACATCTGTTTTGTGGATGGGAGACTGCAGGGGATCTGAGAGTGTCTATTTTGTCTATGAGTGAATGAAGAAGATATGAAAACATCTGTTTTGTGGATGGGAGACTGCAGGGGATCTGAGAGTGTCTATTTTGTCTATGAGTGAATGAAGAAGATATGAAAACATCTGTTTTGTGGATGGGAGACTGCAGGGGATCTGAAAGTGTCTATTTTGTCTATGAGTGAATGAAGAAGATATGAAAACATCTGTTTTGTGGATGGGAGACTGCAGGGGATCTGAAAGTGTCTATTTTGTCTATGAGTGAATGAAGAAGATATGAAAACATCTGTTTTGTGGATGGGAGACTTCAGGGGATCTGAGAGTGTCTATTTTGTCTATGAGTGAATGAAGAAGATATGAAAACATCTGTTTTGTGGATGGGAGACTGCAGGGGATCTGAAAGTGTCTATTTTGTCTGTGAGTGAATGAAGAAGATTGAAAATGTCTGTTTTGTCAATGTGGAACTGCATTGGATCTGAGAGTGTCTATTTTGTCTATGAGAGAATGAAGAAGATTGAAAACGTCTGTTTTGTCGATGGGAGACTTCAGGGGATCTGAAAGTGTCTATTTTGTCTATGAGAGAATGAAGAAGATATGAAAACATCTGTTTTGTGGATGGGAGACTGCAGGGGATCTGAGAGTGTCTATTTTGTCTATGAGAGAATGAAGAAGATATGAAAACGTCTGTTTTGTGGATGGGAGACTGCAGGGGATCTGAAAGTGTCTATTTTGTCTATGAGAGAATGAAGAAGATATGAAAACATCTGTTTTGTGGATGGGAGACTGCAGGGGATCTGAAAGTGTCTATTTTGTCTATGAGAGAATGAAGAAGATATGAAAACATCTGTTTTGTCGATGGGAGACTTCAGGGGATCTGAAAGTGTCTATTTTGTCTGTGAGTGAATGAAGAAGATTGAAAATGTCTGTTTTGTGGATGGGAGACTTCAGGGGATCTGAGAGTGTCTATTTTGTCTATGAGAGAATGAAGAAGATATGAAAACATCTGTTTTGTCGATGGGAGACTACAGGGGATCTGAAAGTGTCTATTTTGTCTGTGAGTGAATGAAGAAGATTGAAAACGTCTGTTTTGTTGATGGGAGACTGCAGGGGATCTGAAAGTGTCTATTTTGTCTGTGAGTGAATGAAGAAGATTGAAAATGTCTGTTTTGTCAATGTGGAACTGCATTGGATCTGAGAGTGTCTATTTTGTCTATGAGAGAATGAAGAAGATTGAAAACGTCTGTTTTGTCGATGGAAGACTTCAGGGGATCTGAAAGTGTCTATTTTGTCTATGAGAGAATGAAGAAGATATGAAAACATCTGTTTTGTGGATGGGAGACTTCAGGGGATCTGAAAGTGTCTATTTTGTCTATGAGAGAATGAAGAAGATATGAAAACATCTGTTTTGTGGATGGGAGACTGCAGGGGATCTGAAAGTGTCTATTTTGTCTATGAGAGAATGAAGAAGATATGAAAACATCTGTTTTGTGGATGGGAGACTGCAGGGGATCTGAAAGTGTCTATTTTGTCTATGAGAGAATGAAGAAGATATGAAAACATCTGTTTTGTGGATGGGAGACTGCAGGGGATCTGAAAGTGTCTATTTTGTCTATGAGAGAATGAAGAAGATATGAAAACATCTGTTTTGTGGATGGGAGACTTCAGGGGATCTGAAAGTGTCTATTTTGTCTATGAGAGAATGAAGAAGATATGAAAACATCTGTTTTGTGGATGGGAGACTGCAGGGGATCTGAAAGTGTCTATTTTGTCTATGAGAGAATGAAGAAGATATGAAAACATCTGTTTTGTGGATGGGAGACTTCAGGGGATCTGAAAGTGTCTATTTTGTCTATGAGAGAATGAAGAAGATATGAAAACATCTGTTTTGTGGATGGGAGACTGCAGGGGATCTGAAAGTGTCTATTTTGTCTGTGAGTGAATGAAGAAGATTGAAAACGTCTGTTTTGTCGATGGGAGACTTCAGGGGATCTGAAAGTGTCTATTTTGTCTATGAGAGAATGAAGAAGATATGAAAACATCTGTTTTGTGGATGGGAGACTTCAGGGGATCTGAAAGTGTCTATTTTGTCTATGAGAGTATGAAGAAGATATGAAAACATCTGTTTTGTCGATGGGAGACTTCAGGGGATCTGAAAGTGTCTATTTTGTCTGTGAGTGAATGAAGAAGATTGAAAATGTCTGTTTTGTCAATGTGGAACTGCATTGGATCTGAGAGTGTCTATTTTGTCTATGAGAGAATGAAGAAGATATGAAAACGTCTGTTTTGTCGATGGGAGACTTCAGGGGATCTGAGAGTGTCTATTTTGTCTGTGAGTGAATGAAGAAGATTGAAAATGTCTGTTTTGTCGATGGGAGACTGCAGGGGATCTGAGAGTGTCTATTTTGTCTGTGTGAAAATGAAGAAGATATGAAAACATCTGTTTTGTGGATGGGAGACTGCAGGGGATCTGAAAGTGATTGTTTTGTCTGTGAGTGAATGAAGAAGATTGAAAATGTCTGTTTTGTCAATGTGGAATTGCATTGGATCTGAGAGTGTCTATTTTGTCTATGAGAGAATGAAGAAGATATGAAAACGTCTGTTTTGTGGATGGGAGACTTCAGGGGATCTGAGAGTGTCTATTTTGTCTGTGAGTGAATGAAGAAGATATGAAAACATCTGTTTTGTGGATGGGAGACTTCAGGGGATCTGAAAGTGTCTATTTTGTCTATGTGAGAATGAAGAAGATATGAAAACGTCTGTTTTGTGGATGGGAGACTGCAGGGGATCTGAAAGTGTCTATTTTGTCTGTGAGTGAATGAAGAAGATTGAAAATGTCTGTTTTGTTGATGGGAACCTGCAGGGGATCTGAGAGTGTCTATTTTGTCTATGTGAGAATGAAGAAGATATGAAAACGTCTGTTTTGTGGATGGGAGACTGCAGGGGATCTGAAAGTGTCTATTTTGTCAATGAGTGAATGAAGAAGATATGAAAACGTCTGTTTTGTGGATGGGAGACTGCAGGGGATCTGAAAGTGTCTATTTTGTCTATGAGTGAATGAAGAAGATATGAAAACGTCTGTTTTGTGGATGGGAGACTGCAGGGGATCTGAAAGTGTCTATTTTGTTTATAGGAGATTGTATAGGGTCTCAAAGTGATTTGTTAGTCTTTAGGAGATTACTGGTGATTTGGAAGTGACTATTGTTTTCAGGGAGAATGTAGTAGATATTCACATGAGATTATAGGGGATCTAGAAGTGACCTTTTTGTCTAGAGGAGATTGTAAGTAATTTGTAATTGACTATGGTGTATCAGATGTTTTAGCAGATTTAGAAGTCTTTTTGTCAACAGGAGTTTGTAGGGAATCTAGAAATGAGACATTTGTGTATAGGGGATTTTAGGCGACTCTTTGACAGTCTTATGTCTCTAGGGAAATGAAGGAATTTTGGAAGTGTCTTTTGTCCATGTAGGATTAGGGGGTCATGTTGAAAGGATTCCATATCCATCAGTGCATATATATTTAAGGAGAATATCTTGCAGTACAAAGTGAAGGGTACTTGATCATTTTATCATGGAGTTATAAGCAGCTGTTGTGACTGATGTGTAAGGCATTTGACCTCATCATTCAAATATAGTGATAACCATAACAGTTCTATCCAGCACTGAGTATATAGCTAAGTTGATGAGAGGATGACTTGTTCTTCCATTAAATTCATCACATCAGTGTCCTGACTCCCATCAATGTCCTGACTCCCCATCAGTGTCCTGACTCCCATCAGTGTCCTGACTCCCCATCAGTGTCCTGACTCCCATCAGTGTCCTGACTCCCATCAGTGTCCTGACTCCCCATCAGTGTCCTGACTCCCATCAGTGTCCTGACTCCCCATCAGTGTCCTGACTCCCCATCAGTATCCTGACTCCCCATCAGTGTCCTGACTCCCATCAGTGTCCTGACTCCCCATCAGTGTCCTGACTCCCCATCAGTGTCCTGTCTCCCTATCAGTGACCTGACTCCCATCAGTATCCTGACTCCTCATCAGTGTCCTGACTCCCCATCAGTGTCCTGACTCCCCATCAGTGTCCTGACTCCCATCAGTGTCCTGACTCCCCATCAGTGTCCTGACTCCCATCAGTGTCCTGACTCCCCATCAGTGTCCTGACTACCCATCAGTGTCCTGACTCCCCATCTGTGTCCTGACTCCCCATCTGTGTCCTGACTCCCATCAATGTTCTGACTCCCCATCTGTGTCCTGACTCCCATCAATGTCCTTACTCCCATCAGTGTCCTGACTCCCCATCTGTGTCCTGACTCCCATCATTGTCCTGACTCCCCATCAGTGTCTTGACTCCCATCAGTGTCCTGACTCCCCATCTGTGTCCTGACTCCCCATCTGTGTCCTGACTCCCATCATTGTCCTGACTCCCCATCAGTGTCTTGACTCCCATCAGTGTCCTGACTCCCCATCTGTGTCCTGACTCCCATCAATGTCCTTACTCCCATCAGTATCCTGACTCCCCATCTGTGTCCTGACTCCCATCATTGTCCTGACTCCCCATCAGTGTCTTGACTCCCATCAGTGTCCTGACTCCCCATCACTGTCCTGATGCTAAGATAGGTAGGGATTTATTCAGGTATTAAGACTGATAACTATTCTTTTTGTTTCTTGTTTCAGATAAATGTGATATCTGCTGAGATTCTTGCCCTCGTCTTCGCTTTCGCCTATCGTCATTATCTATGTCCAACAAAAGTTTCTGTTCTCACCAGACAAGTATCAGCAGCCAGTCTGGGAATGTGCTTGCTGTATTTTGTGTATGGAAGGTATGAAGATATCTGATTTCTTATCATATATTATCATAAGCACAGTCTTTATTCTGGCTGTGTTACTGTAGTATATCAATTATTTTTCATAAATCATAAATATCAGAAATGGCATTTTGTGAAATATGTAATATAACAAAACACGAAACCTGAAAATTAAACCAACAGTATTTAAATAAAAGAAGAAATATTGAAATAATGTTTCTGTACAAATAAACAAAAACATCTCTCATTCTCAGAATGTGTAGATATATACATAGTAATTTTTGTCACCACCAAGTATCAGAATTGGCACGTCAAAAATTATGTAATGGAAAAAGACATACAAAACCTGAAAATAAAGCAAAGAAAAGAAATGAAACAATGTTTCTCTGTAAATTAAACCAGAAATTCCCCTAGCAAATTCAGGCAGTTTGTTTACCTACATGGATGGTTTTAGATGTTAATTATTTTTCTCTTAGTTTCGTATGCCACCAAATGCAGCATGCCAGTGTCACCACTACTTCCTTCCTAGAGTTAGAGAGTATGGTTGTGACCATCTCTATTTACTGTTAGATGGCTGTATTCATTGATGTTATAATAAATATCTGGATTTACCTTCCAGTCAAAGTATCCATGTGTTTATACACTCAGCAATTTGTTACACGACCCTGCTGTTATTACCAACGTCTATCATTCACATGTGAGTATAAACATCAACATGCCATTCAAGTACTGTCTTACTTTAAGGATTTTTATATTCAGTGGTTAAAATTTTTGTGACTTAACCAAATTTTTATGCCAAATTGGGAGTAGTTATGATAATTACTCATAATCTGATGACCTATCAAAGTCACTTGGTTCAGAATCGATGACATCATTAGACAATATTTTAAAATGACAAATATCCCCATAGCTTGTTAAAGAAAGAAATGTCATGGTTCATTGAAATAACTTTGACCTTTATCAAGGTCACAGGGGCAATGAGTGTCAAAGGAAACCTACCTGATAAGTGACAGAAAACATTGCAGTGATGGAGTCCTGTTATTTCATGGCCCTAATTCTTACATAGTAGTTGTATCTACTTAATTATGGAGGCATACCTGTTTTATTTCTCCAGTGCGACCTTTATACTATCGATGTCGTATCTCATGTGTATACATCTGTGGAGGGTACTTGCAGTTGACATCCAGAAATATCCCCTAGATGTTTCAGGGTAAGTTTACAGACAACCAATAGAGTTCAGCAAGCCTGGAAATAAATAGGGGTGGGCTTATTACCAGTCTTCTGAGGTCAAGGAACAGCAAGATCGTTAATTGGTTTATTAATCTTTATTCAACACAATCAGATTCAAATTTTTTATTATCATATCATGTTTTATCAAAATGTTGGAAAATTTGAAGAGATAAAATTTCAACAAAACTATGAACAATATTTCTTGTTTTTGTTGCTAGTCCGCTCATGTTGTCCACACTGAAAGTGACCATTGTAGCATTCGGATTACACGATGGTTTACATCGCAAACCAGAGACATTGATTGATAACCACAAGAGACATTCTCTCAGGTATGGTCTGTGTAATCTCTGATGTATGGTAGATATACATGTGGTTCCATTTCTGAAGTGTTTAATAGTCCATTTGTTCTTCCATTATTCTGCCATCTTGTCAATGTCCTATGTTCTGCACAACTAATCACAGAAACTTTAAACATAGTATATGGGTCACCTTGGTGAAACAATGTGTCACATATAAAAAGTAGGTCACTTTGACCTACATTTTGAACTAAGATCTACATCAAAGAAACGGAAAATTGAAATTTCATACTTGAGATATTTCTTCTCATTCGTTCATTAACTTATCATCTGAGCACATCTATAATCTCAGATCGTATGTGGGACTGTAATTCTCCAAACTGTCTTTTAGAAATTACTTGAAAAATATTACAAAATCAGATTTAGCTCTTGAAATTTTTTAATGTTTTTGACAAAAATTGAAGAAAATATGAATTGTTAACTTCCTTTGTTCAAATAAAAAGTTGGCAGGTGTAATGCAAAGTATGTTATTGTAATGGACAATATTTGTTTTGAAAATGGGTTTCTCAGAAATCATATTTTTAATGCATAAAGCAAAAAATGGTAATTACCTTTCAAATATTTGTCCTTAGTTACAATGAAATATCATACATTCCTGAGTTAGAGAGCTGTTTTCTCATGAGCTGTACATACATATGTTAAATAGTGCACCATTAGAGTGTTAATCTCAACAAGCTGCTTTTATTTATACTATGATTCAGTATAATATCAAATGTGAAAGATCTATGTTATCATGCATTCCTGTTTAGAAATTTATCACTTTTTCGAAATCAAATCTTTTCTTTTCCAGGCAAAAGCCATCTTTTCTAGAATACTTGAGCTACATATTTTACTTCCAAAGTGTTGTGGCAGGTCCACCAGCCTTTTATTGTGACTATCAAGACTTTGTGAGAGGAGAAAATATTCACCTTCCAGTCAATTCACAAAGTGATGTAAGTGTCATGTTAATTTATTCATCGTTACAGTATTTATCCAACAACAAACTACCTGATAAGACTGCCCCTATATATTGCTGTCAGTAAACAATGATAAAACACTGCTGTTTTAGTCTTCTGTAGGATTGTTTTTGCTGGGTTTAGCCCTAATGAACAGCCAGGGTCATTTTGAGGCAGAGTCTCCTTGTAGTCGTTTGTGGCTACCTCACTGAACAACATACTGGAGATCTGTCGCATATCTTGTCTAAGGAAATAACCATGCCAATACAGATTTCTCCATTTCTCAACTTACTGAGAAACACAAACGGCCTTTATAGACAGATGGCCTTAATGGAAAGGTGACCTTAATAGAAAGGTGACCTTTATAGAGAGGTGGCTTTATAGAGAGGTGGCCTTTATAGAGAGGTGGCCTTTATAGAGAGAATATATTTATAGAGAGGTGGCCTTAATAGAGAGAGTATATTTATAGAGAGGTGGCCTTTATAGAGAGAGTATATATATAGAGAAGTGGCCTTTATAGAGAGAATATATTTATAGAGAGGTGGCCTTTATAGAGAGAGTATATATATAGAGAGAGATGGCCTTTTTAGAGAGAATATATTTATAGAGAGGTGGCCTTTATAGAGAGAGTATATTTATAGAGAGGTGGCCTTTATAGAGAGAATATATTTATAGAGAGGTGGCCTTTATAGAGAGAATATATTTATAGAGAGGTGGCCTTTATAGAGTGAATATATTTATAGAGAGGTGGCCTATATAGAGAGAATATATTTATAGAGAGGTGGCCTTTATAGAGAGAATATATTTATAGAGAGGTGTCCTTTATAGAGAGAGTATATATATAGAGAGGTGGCCTTTATAGAGAGAATATATTTATAGAGAGGTGGCCTTTATAGAGAGAATAGATTTATAGAGAGGTGGCCTTTATAGAGAGAATATATTTATAGATAGGTGGCCTATATAGAGAGAGTATATTTATAGAGAGGTGGCCTTTATAGAGAGAATATATTTATAGAGAGGTGGCCTTTATAGAGAGAATGTATTTATAGAGAGGTGGCCTATATAGAGAGAATATATTTATAGAGAGGTGGCCTATATAGAGAGAATATATTTATAGAGAGGTGGCCTTTATAGAGAGAGTATATTTATAGAGAGGTGGCCTTTATAGAGAGAATATATTTATAGAGAGGTGGCCTTTATAGAGAGAATATATTTATAGAGAGGTGGCCTATATAGAGAGAATATATTTATAGAGAGGTGGCCTATATAGAGAGAATATATTTATAGAGAGGTGGCCTTTATAGAGAGAATATATTTATAGAGAGGTGGCCTTTATAGAGAGAGTATATATATAGAGAGGTGGCCTTTATAGAGAGAGTATATTTATAGAGAGGTGGCCTTTATAGAGAGGTGGCCTTTATAGAGAGGTGGCCTTTATAGAGAGAGTATAATGATAGAGAGGTGGCCTTTATAGAGAGAGTATATATATAGAGAAGTGGCCTTTATAGAGAGAGTATATATATAGAGAGAGATGGCCTTTTTAGAGAGAATATATTTATAGAGAGGCCTATATATAGAGAGAGAGGTGGCCTTTATAGAGAGAATATATTTATAGAGAGGTGGCCTATTATAGAGAGAATATATTTATAGAGAGGTGGCCTTTATAGAGAGAATATATTTATAGAGAGGTGGCCTTTATATAGAGAGAATATATTTATAGATAGGTGGCCTATATAGAGAGAGTATATATATAGAGAGGTGGCCTATATAGAGAGAATATATTTATAGAGAGGTGGCCTTTATAGAGAGAATATATTTATAGAGAGGTGGCCTTTATAGAGAGAGTATATTTATAGAGAGGTGGCCTTTATAGAGAGAATATATTTATAGAGAGGTGGCCTTTATAGAGAGAGTATATTTATAGAGAGTTGGCCTTTATAGAGAGAGTATATTTATAGAGAGGTGGCCTTTATAGAGAGAGTATATTTATAGAGAGGTGGCCTTTATAGAGAGAGTATATTTATAGAGAGGTGGCCTTTATAGAGAGAGTATATTTATAGAGAGGTGGCCTATATAGAGAGAGTATATTTATAGAGAGGTGGCCTATATAGAGAGAGTATAATGATAGAGAGGTGGCCTTTATAGAGAGGTAGATTTCATAGAGAGGTGACCTTTATAGAGAGGAGAGAGTGACCTTTATAGAGAGAATAAATTACCTATATAGAGAGATATATTTATAGACCTTTATAGAGAGAGGTGGTTTTACAGAGAGATATATCCTTATAGAGAGAGTATATTTATAGAGAGGTGGCCTTTATATATATTTATAGAGAGGTGGCAGATGGCCCTTTAATATATAGAGAGTGGCCACTGAGAGAGTATTTTATAGAGAGGTGGCTATATAGAGAGAGTACATATTTTGAGAGGTGACCTATAGACAGATGACCTTTATAAAGAGGTGGTTTTACAGACAGATTATCCTTATAGAGAGGTAGACTTTATATACAGATGGCCCTTTAATATATAGAGGTGGCCACTGGTTTGACTGTACATATTTTGGACAGGGAATATGAAACAGTATGCTCTGCCAAAGACCTCCATTAACATTTCTCATCAGCATTTGAAAGTTTAGTATATAACTGTGTATGTGTTATTGATATATAAGAGTTAGAAGGTCATTTTCTGTATATTCTGTATGGGGTTGGTAATGTATAAGATGACGACCCCAATTCACACTGCTTGAATCAAACTGGAAAAAGTTATTTTATAATTAACAAACTTCTTTCATTAATTTTTCAGATGGAAATAAATTCAAATGACAGAAAAGATGGCGATATAAATGTTGAACTTGTAAGTTTAAATTTGAGTGAGTTACAATTTCAAGTGATTTTCTGGAAATATTGCTGTGATTTCTAACATTGTGTTTTGCAGTAGCTTTGCTTAAAAAATTTACCATCAGCAAAAATTATATTCCAGTTTTATTTTTACAAAGGTACAATATCATGTTATTCCTTTTGCAGGTGAAAAATTCCAAGAAAGTCTATCGTCTTCCACCATCGCCACTTGTAAGTAAAGCAGTGTGATCCTTCATTTAAAAATCTCTAATACAAACTGATCACCACAAGTGGCACCTACAGAGTTAATACAATGTTTTCTGTATAATGTTGGTTTGGATCAAGTGTTAAGGTCACAAGGGCAATTCCTGAGACGCAAAATTTTAAATATTTGAGTCAGAGACTCTCGTTTCTGTGGATGATTTTGCTCAAATGTAGTAAGAACTTACCACATACAGGGTTTCTCTTAAAACTCATGACCATTTTGAAAGTTCTAGTCAACTGGAAAAGGAAGGAAAGAAAACGGTGATTGCTGATGAAGTAGATGAACAAATTTAATTGACCTGTTAGCATTTTGACACAAAGGTTTAGATTCTTAATTACAACATTGTATTGACAAAATCCTGTTAGTTATGCTTTAAAAGAGGAAGGTGATTTTCTCACATAACCATCTAACAATTTTGAAAGTTTGATAAAGTTTTTTGATGTCAATTCACAATTAGTTTTGTCATCACAATGAAGATGATAATGAAAGTTTACCATTTAACAAAATGTGTGGAAACTCATCATATTTGACACTTGTGTTTGTTTTACAGAAACCTGTGTGTTTAAAACTGTGTGAAACTTTGTTCTGGGTTATAATCCATGTCCGTGTGGCACCAAGCTTTCCTGCCTTGCTCAACTCAGGTGTGTTTTAACTTAGTTTTTACTGTAGTCTTCCAGTAACAGGTCTTTTGATTGCTCTTATGATACTGGTTAGAATAACAAATATGGAAAAAAGGTGTAGAATATTAGAGTTTAATGTCACCCACAGGCAAATATAAGAGATGTGTGCTTTGATCCCAACCCAGGATGGTTTGTAATTTTAAGGGAATCAAGATCACAGACAATAGCATTGTGGCATTCTCCATATGTTGTTAAATAATGTAGGTACAAGCCATTCCTTGGAGTAAATACAGTCAAAATTCATTATCTTTAACTCCTATAACTCGCAGACCCCATTTGAGTCAAAGTATTCGTTGGGCCTTAGTGACTTTCACATCAAACATTTGAACTCGTTAGAGTAGAATACTCAGATAACGCTAAGATTTCCCATGATCAAGCCGATTTCAAGATAACAAGGTTCCAATACACATCAGTAATAAGTGTTTAAAATATTCTAATTATAGGGAGGTTCAGAATAAGTGGAGAAAAGTCATAATGTAAATCTTTACATCCTTTCAAAGTCTGTGTTCTTGACAGGGGGAGTAATGAGTAGATGTCCCTATCCTCACCTCTAGTGAATGAAATAAGCAGTCACCACTTCCATCAAACAACTGTCACAACTGTCAAACAACTGTCACAACTGTCAAACTATCAACATTGGAAAACAACTGTCACGACTGTCAAACAATTGTTACTACTGTCAAACAACTGTCACTACTGTCAAGCATCTGTGACAACTGTCAAACAACTGCCACTAATGTCAAACAATTGTCACTACTGTCAAACAAGTGTCACTACTGTCAAACAACTGTCACTACTGTCAAACAATTGTCACTACTGTCAAACAACTGTCACTACTGTCAAACAACTGCCACTAATGTCAAACAACTGTCACAATTGTCACTACTGTCAAACAAGTGTCACTACTGTCAAACAACTGTCACTACTGTCAAACAATTGTCACTACTGTCAAACAACTGTCACTACTGTCAAATAACTGTTACTACTGCCAAACAACTGTCACTACTGTCAAACAACTGCCACTAATGTCAAACAACTGTCACTACTGTCAAACAACTGTCACTAATGTCAAACAACTGTCACAATTGTCAATACTGTCAAACAAGTGTCACTAATGTCAAACAACTGTCACTACTGCCAAACAACTGTCACTACTGTCAAACAATTGTCACTACTGTCAAACAACAGTCACTACTGTCAAAGAATTGTCACTACTGTCAAACAACAGTCACTACTGTCAAACAACTGTCACTACTGTCAAACAATTGTCACTACTGTCAAACAACTGTCACAATTGTCACTACTGTCAAACAACAGTCACTACTGTCAAACAACTGTCACTACTGTCAAACAATTGTCACTACTGTCAAACAACTACCAATACATTCAAACAAAGAGTCATTGCTCATGAGTCATTACTGTCAAACAATGTATCAGTTTTGTTCTGATCTGTTTAGAACATGAGGATAAGTGAGTTAATGTAGAAATCAGATGGCACTGGGATAATGAGGATTTTGAAATTTATATGCCTGTTTGGTTTGATACAGTTGAATCAACTTGGAATTTTACAGATCCAGCATTCATTGCTTCCCATGGATTTTTGTACAGAACAGGTTACATGCTGATTTCCATGACCTGTTGTAAGGTCAAATACTACCTCATTTGGATTCTCGGTGAGTTCTCTTTCCATCAATTTCTCTCTCATTTCTTGTATCATTATTTTTTTTAACGATTTACTTTTTACCAAATTATTTCATACATTAACAACTCTTGTCCAGATGGTCAACCTGATAAACCAAAACGACCTCAGTGGATATCAAATTAACATTAGATGAGTCAGTAGTAGCAGGATATATATCTAGATTTTTTTTATGTCCATATCCTGTGAAGAAAGATTGTAAACAATATTTTCCAATTCTTATTGAATTTGTATTAATTGTAAGTGTTCTTGAACTATAAAACAATACATGTTTATAATAATATGTATACGTGTAGCGGTGTTTTGGTCTTTAGATTCATTTTGTATGATGAATTATGAACGTACCTGCAGGATAATAAATGCTTTTGTAGGTGATGCCATCAACAATGCCTCAGGACTTGGGTTCAATGGCTTCACCTCCTCAGGGCAGGCTAAATGGGATCTCATTACAAACATCAAACCATTTTCACTAGAGGTAATTTTTTATTTCTTTGCAAATAATTAATTGGAACAGAAATGATCTTAATTTTGAAATGATAATTAATAGATATTGATCATGCAATTAGATTTAATTATTACTTATCATGGGTTATTTAACCTTTGACCTATTGGTTAACACATTGTTGGGTTATTTAACCTTTGACCTATTGGTTAACACATTGTTTGGCCTCTGATACTTGTTTATGACTTTGTGATTGTTAAAAAACAATTTAATAACCAATACATGATTGAACCTTTGACCTTTGGATTGTAATCAACATATGATTTGACCTCTGACTTTTGGATTGTAACCAACATATGATTTGACCTCTGACTTTTGGATTGTAACCAACACATTATTTGACCTCTGACCTTTGGATTGTAACCAACACATCATTTGACCTCTGACTTTTGGATTGTAACCAACCCATGACCTCTGACCTTCATTGCTGATCCTGTCTTGATTGGTTATCAGTTTACCTCACAGCCATAGCTGTTTTCCTTTACAGTTGTCAACGAGTGCCAAGATGTTTCTTGACAACTGGAATATCCAGACGGTGTCGTGGTTCCGATACATTTGTTACACGCGGATTCCATTTCAGCGCACACTATTTACATTTATTCTGAGTGCGTTGTGGCATGGCTGTTTTCCAGGGTACTATTTCACATTCATCTCGGGGGCATTCATGATCCAAGCTTCAAGGATGGTAAGTCAAACAAACTTTCTATCACCTTAGCCCAAGGTTCTTCTGTCCCCTATAGCTCCTACAATGAACCTCAGACAGTTTGATGGAAATCTGACCAGTATGGGCTAGAAATCTGTCCTGCGAAATGTCCTATGTCTATTGTAGGAACAAGACAAAACTCAGGCTAGCCTTAATCCTTTTGTACATACAAAGTCCGCCTCAATGTCAGGGGTGGGCTTATTGCAGGATAAAGAAATAAGATTTGTTTGTAAATTTCCTGAATAGCAATAGATTTGGATAGGCCAATTACTGATGAGTAGGATAAATTAGGGACCACCCATAGATCGGGTGATCCCTAATTTATGGGCAAGTGTATATCTTATATAATATATATATATATAATATATCTTAAATAATGGTCTTCACAATAATCTTATCCTACTCATCAGTAATTGGCCAATCCAAATCATATTTAAATATTGTAGGCTGAATATTGTTCACAATATTTGAGGAAATTTCAACAGGATATATGGGAATTTTTTTAGGCATCTGACGAAACTATACACAGCTAATACGGAAAGAAATTTACAGAACCGAAGTGCCGTATCATGTTAAAAAGATCTGCTCAAAAAACTAATTCCCAAAGTCTAGAAAAAAGTTTAACTTTAACTGTCTTCTATTAAGATGTGCATTATCAATTCACTAAAAACATATAACTCAATCAAGAAGATTATCTAATTAACGAGTTCTGTTGGGTATGAAAATATCAGTATCAGGTATAGGCTCTAGACTTCTGGTACAATTCTTGCGTTCGTCTTCTCATACCATTGACTAGATGCTGAAGCATCGAAGCATGTTGTGGGGAAACCTCTGCCAATTTAGAATAAATGTAACTTGTAGTATTCCAATTGTTGGACACTTCAGATTCTATAAATTGACTTCTTGTGCGAGATACTGTAATCCCATACACGCTCAATAGTGTTCATATCTGTTAATATTGAAGGCCATGGAAGTGTCATTATTATGTGTAGGCCGTCCGTAAACTTTTCATTCAAACGACTTCTTCTCAATAATTGGAAGGCCCAGGCAACTAATATTTGGCCTGTAGCTTGCTTTGATGAAGCCCTACCAAGTTTGTTAAAAAGAATGACCTTGACCTTCATTCAAGGTCACAGGGGTCAAATGTCTTAAAATCTTCAAACGACTTCTTCTCAATAACTGGAGGGCCCAGGCAACTAATATTTAGCCTGTAGCTTGCTTTGATGAAACCCTACCAAGTTTGTTCAAATGAATGACCTTGACCTTCATTCAAGGTCACAGGGGTCAAATGTCTTTAAATCTTCAAAGGACTTCTTCTCAGTAATCAAAAGGCCCAGGCAACTAAAATAAGGCCTGTAGCATGCTGGGATGAATGACTACCAAGTTTGTTCAAGTGAATGACCTTGACCCACGTTCAAGGTCACAGGGGCCAAATATATATTAAAATCTTTAAACGACTTCTCCTCAATAATCAAAAGGCTCAGATTGCTGATATTGTGCCTGTGGCATGCTGGGATGAAGGGCTATTAAGTTTGTTCAAATGAATGACCTTGAACAACCTTCAAGGTCACAGGGGTCAAATATGTTAAAATCTTTAAATAACTTCTTCTCAATAACCAAAAGGCATAGAGTGCTGATATTGGGCCTGTAGGATGCTGGAATAAAGGGTTACCAAGTTTATTCTAATAAATGACCTTGACCCACTTTCAAGGTCACAGAGGTCAAATATATTGAAATCTTTAAATAACTTCACCTCAATAACCAAAAGGTATAGAGTGCTGATATACTTGGCACAGAGCATACTGGCATGGAGCTCTACCAAGTTTGTTCAAATGAATGACCTTGACCCACTTTAAAGGTCACAGGGGTCAAATATGTTAAAATCTTCAAACAACTTCTTCTCATTAACCAAAAGGCTCAGAGTGTAGATATTGGGCCTGTGACATGCTGGGATGAAGTGCTACTAAGTTTGTTCAAGTGAATGACCTTGACCCACGTTCAAAGTCACAGGGGCCAAATATGTTAAAATCTTTAAACGACTTCTCCTCAACAACCAAAAGGCTCAGATTGCTGATATTGTGCCTGTGGCATGCTGGGATGAAGGGCTATCAAGTTTGTTCAAATGAATGACCTTGAACAACTTTCAAGGTCACAGGGGTCAAATATGTTAAAATCTTTAAATAATTTCTTCTCAATAACCAAAAGGCATAGAGTGCTGATATTGGGCCTGTAGGATGCTGGAATAAAGGGTTACCAAGTTTATTCTGATAAATGACCTTGACCCACTTTCAAGGTCACAGTGGTCAAAAGTCTTGAAATCTTTTAAGAAACTTCTTCTGACTAACCAAAGGCCTTCAGTATTAATATTTAACCTTTAGCATGCTGGGATGAAGTTCAAACAAGTTTGTTGAAATGAAAAGTCTTGATCCACTTTCAAGGGGATGGCTGAGTGGCCTTGATTCTTAAATCAAGGTGAAATGAGTTCAAATTTTATATCTTGTATCTAATGTCAGATGACCGTTAAGGCCCATGGGCCTCTTGTTTGAGATAAATTGTCATTCAGGTCCAAAGGTCAAACTGTAAGTTAAAATCAGTTTCTTTGTGATAACTTGAGTTTGCTTTGCCCAATCTAAATCAGCCACATATAGCGGGGCCCTTGATGACCAGTCAGGGTTCTAGTTGCATATGTCACTGGCATGACCTTGGGGCATTTTCATTGGCTACGCCAGTCAGAAATTAAAAGTGATACAAAATGGCTGCCTTCTTATGATTTTGTCTTCTACTTTAAAGCCCATCAAAATGTAACATTTTTGAGTTGTATGATCTTAAATTTGTTTTCATTTTGTGTAAGATTTAATGAAATTTGTCTCCAAATTTGAATTTTTGCAAGCTTTAAAAACTTATCAGACTTGTGTCACAAAATCTCATGTGAAATGTACACTTGTTTTTACATTTATTTCTCAATACAGTTTTCAGATTAAACAGGATCACTTGTCTTGTTTTGTAGGTTCGGCGGAAAGTGCGTCCATTTTTCTTAAGATCGACATCGTTGAAGATGTTCTATGATTTTATAACTTTCCTGATGACACATATTGCCATAACATACACTGGGGTAGCATTCAACCTGCTTTATTTCAAGCCTTCCATGATGTTTTATAAGTAAGTATTGTACCTATGTATAGACATTTTTATCCAATACCTGTGTTTAACAGTGATTGGAAATCGGCTAAAATCCATAACCGATCAGTTGTAATTGGATAGATTTTCCGATGTAGTTAATTGGTTACATAATCGGCTAACTTTGTGTTCAAAATTCAGATATTTTCTTTTTTTTCGTAACTTTAACCTATAATACCTCATTAACCTAGAATTTGCCTAAGACTGAATATCATTGGCAATAAGCATCTCTACTATTCATACCTAGACTGAATTTTGTTTTTGTTAAAACACAAGAAAATTTTAAGGTACTGATGATTGATTATGAAAAATTGTATCATATGAGGTTAAATGACTAGATATAGATTTTATCCAATCATCGTTCCTTCACTGGTTATAACAGAAATTATTTTATTAGGCTTCAAACAATCTCTTTCTGTTGGCTTAAACTTTTGAAGTTTTGAATTTTGTCAATATGCTTTTTGATTGGCTGGTAGTTTTTAACAGAAGGGGTCTGTTAAAAGAAGTAAAAATCTGTGTTGTTTTGTAATATCTTCTATTTTAAGTAAATCATTGTTTTGGAGTCATAAGATGTTCATTTGTGTTTCAGTCACATGAACTGGTGGCTACATATCGTGTGTGTGATCGCAATGCTGGTCTGTTTAGTTCTACCTAATCAACCACGACAGCAAGAGGGCAAGGTCACGATGAAGAATGGACACACATCAGAGACAATAAAATCCAGTTAGACTATGATATATATCTATGTTGTTTACTTACTTTTCTACGCACTTTTTTTCGAATGTGGTGCCATAATTTTGAGGCAGTGTACCATATTTTATGTTTGAATGTAATGTCACGAAATTTATATATATTTACATTTAAGGTAAACACTGCTAGCGTTTAATTAACTGCTGTGAAATCATAAATGTGAGGCTGTTAGTTATTTTCTAAATTAGTGTTGCTTTGGTATAGAACAAAATCTGAGGTGTTTTTATATATTTTAAATTAAATTGTTGATTCTGTTATTTTGATGGGTAGTTCAATGCGTAGGCTTATTCCATTATTTGGATGGGTAGTTCAGTTTGTAGGCTTATTCCATAATTTGGATGGGTAGTTCAGTGCGTAGGCTGATTCCATTATTTGGAAGGGTAGTTCAGTGCTTAGGCTTATTCCATTATTTGGATGGGTAGTTCAGTGTGTAGGCTTATTCCATTATTTGGATGGGTAGTTCAGTACTTAGGCTTATTCCATTATTTGAATGGGTAGTTCAGTACTTAGGCTTATTCCATTATTTGGATGGGTAGTTTAATGTCTACACATTCAGTCAACATTTTGTGGCCTTACAACTAATGCAAGATAATACAGAATATATAATATTTCATACAGTAAAATAAAAATAAATTTTAATTTTTTTCTTTTCCAAAGTTTCATCCTTTTTTGGACTTTGACAAGTTTTTCTGTACATCGTCAAGATATGATATGGAAGTGTTTGTGATGGGTTTAAAGTTTTCCACTTTACAAGTTTCTTATTCATGAATTAAAGAGGTGAAACTATTAAATATTTTATGCATCTAATTTCAATGTTTGCCTTCCGATTAAATATTTAGGTATCTCAAGACCATTTTGCAATCGAATACAAAATATTTGATATTTAAATTTATATGTGTCAACATACTGCCTTAATGATGTCAATGATTTTACATCTGTTCTGTAAGAAAGAAATTAAGGCTTCTTCTAGTTGATAATTATAATAGTAGTTTAGTAAAACATTTCAGATAATGTAAGCTTAATTTTTTACTGCAAGCTTGCATTCTGTCCCGATACCAGTCAGGTAATTGTGTTGTCCTGTATGTCAATATACACATTACTGGCAGTCAGTGTATTATGTCAAAAGTAATGGAATCGAAGGGAGTGTTTTGTTAGGCCAGCCTTTCACTACTATAGTGCTCTGTTGTAGATTTAAAAAGAATTTAGTGGAGATGTAAAAATCAAAATCAAACAATTCTGTTCAGAGATTTGTGTTCACTTTGAAAAATTGTCCAAAATGGATCTAAATTAAGTAATTATGTAGTGGAAATCAGACATTTTCTTAGCTAGGAAAAACTGTTTGTAATTTTATATGATATGACTACCTGAAATGATCAGATTTGACCTGCTGTAGGAAATGGCCTCATTACAAGACAATCAGCACAGCATCATAAAACGTTACACTAAGGCATACTGGCAGACAGGAACTTAATGTTTTATCAAAAGGGTAAATAATTTGGAGATGATAGGCGAGATGATGAAATCTATTTTATAACAATTTTATTTATTGATATATGAAATGTTTTTAGATACATAATAACATATTTTTTTTATATTTCATTAATTTTGCTGAGCGTTATAAACTTTTTCTGATATGTTTATTTGCATGCTACTTTAGTATCTGACCAGATGTGATGGTCCGCTGGGTTTGTGTAATGTATATCATCTTGCTTTGTTGTAAATAAGTCTTAAGATATAATGTTAGATGGATGGTAGAACAATTTGTCATTGCAAAATTAGAACAATTTCCAAAATTGTTAGAAATTATGTAATTCAGATAGATAAGTTCAAATTCAATGAAATCATATCAAACTGGACCATGATCTCTTAGAAATACACATTTTATAATGTTTTACAGTTTAATAGCTCATTTTCTTTCCATTTCTTGAAAAAAACCCCAGCTGAAACGAAAAAAGGTGCCATAACTCCATTAAATAAACACTCCTAATTTACCCATACTTAAACCGGTGTAGCCAACTAATTATTTATTGTCACACAGCAAATAAATATGCATTATTTTAATGGATGACGATGTTGCTTTGATATTAGATGATATATGCTTTGGTTTTATACTAGCGTATATAAATGCTTGTATTTCTGTCAGGGTATATATATAAATGTGCACACGATTTGTCGTCAAGGGGAGATAATTCCCTATCAAGTTACATTCGTTTACATTAATATAACTTATGGTAAATATAATCAGTATTATTGAAATGGCTTTTTAGTAACACAAGTTTGTCACACAGTTCAGCTTAGATTCTGACTAGGAACATGTGGCCATACACAGAACATTTGGATAGATAGGGAACATGTGGCCATACATGAAACACTTGGATAGATAGTGAACATGTGGCCATACACAGAACATTTGGATAGAAAGGGGACATGTTGCCATACACAGGGAACATTTGGATAGATAGGGAACATGTTGCCATACACAGGGAACATTTGGATAGACAGTGAACATGTGGCCATACACAGGGAACATTTGGATAGACAGGGAACATGTGGCCATACACAGAACACTTGGATAGACAGTGAACATGTGGCCATACATGGAACATTTGGATAGATAGGGAACATGTTGCCATACACAGGGAACATTTGGATAGACAGGGAACATGTTGCCATACACAGGGAACATTTGGATAGACAGGGAACATGTGGCCATACACAGAACACATGGATAGACAGTGAACATGTGGCCATACATGGAACATTTGGATAGATAGGGAACATGTGGCCATACACAGGGAACATTTGAATAGACAGAGAACATGTTGCCATACACAGGGAACATTTGGATAGACAGGGAACATGTGGCCATACACAGAACACTTGGATAGACAGTGAACATGTGGCCATACATGGAACATTTGGATAGATAGGGAACATGTGGCCATATATGGAACATTTGGATAGATAGGGAACATGTGGCCATACACAGGGAACATTTGAATAGACAGAGAACATGTGGTTTCATGGTAAGTAATACTTACACACCATATACAGGAGATGTGGCTACATACAAGGAACATGGGGCCATAGACAGGGAGCATGGGGTTATGGACAGGGAGCATGGGGCCATGACAGGGAACATGGGGTCATAGACAGGGAGCATGGGGACATAGACAGGGAACATGGGGCCATAGACAGGGAACATGAGGTCCTAGACAGGGAACATGAGGTCATATACAAGGAACATGGGGCCATAGACAGGGAGCATGGGCCATGGACAGGGAACATGAGGTCATAGACAGGGAACATGAGGTCATATACAAGGAACATGGGGCCATAGACAGGGAGCATGGGCCATGGACAGGGAACATGAGGTCATAGACAGGGAACATTAGGTCATATACAAGGAACATGGGGCCATAGACAGGGAGCATGGGCCATGGACAGGGAACATGAGGTCATATACAAGGAACATGGGGCCATAGACAGGGAGCATGGGCCATGGACAGGGAACATGAGGTCATAGACAGGGAACATTAGGTCATAGACAGGGAACATGGAGTTATAGACAGGGAACATGGGGCTATATATAGGGAACGAAGGGCTTTTTACAGTATACTTGGAGCTGTATATCCTGTCCCAGACCTACATCACTTCTGGTATAAAATCTCCTGAAAGAATTTCTTATGGGAGATAATGTTAGCTATATAGGTCTTTTCCAGACATGAAAAATTGTTCAAGAACAGTTAAAGATAGTTCTTTACCTACATTAGTGTATAATAAAAATATTCTTCTGCCTTAATGCACTTCAAACGTCCTGAATTTTTTACTTGTTTTAACTGACCTATTATGTTTGGTCACATTTTATCTGTTACTGTATATTTTAATGATAGATATAATCTATATAATTGATTCCTGTGCATAATTATCTACATGTACTACTATTTTTCTGAGTTAGAGGAAAATTAACATTAGTATAATTTACTGATTCAGGAATGGGGATATAGCTACCTACTGTTTTTTCTTTGACTGTATTTCAATGTATCCAGGTGCTATTGTTTTTTATGTAAGAAAAATCAATCATTGTAATACAGTTTCAAATTAATGTTTGCTGTTGAACAGATATCAGTGCCTAACTTGTTTATATTTACTATGAGTTACCACCCATATGACTAGATGTTGTCTCCCTTGTCATACATGTCAGAGTTATCTCCCATCCCTCTCAAAGTTATTTCCCCTATCTTTTTCTTCCTGCCAGTAATCTTCTTTCCCAATAAATCCTAGCACGGTCACCTTGCCGAGTTACACAGTATTCACAATGCTTGGTACATTTTCTCACCATTCTGTGTTAATATAAAATTTTTGTGTTGTTATGATTTTAGAGGTCAGCTGTATCAGTGATAAGTCCTCTTACATGTGTATTTATAATCACATGTTTTGCGCTTGCTCATAAAATCGGGAAAAAAATGTATACTGTATCTCTTAGATGTCTAGATTATTTTATATACTTTGAAAGCATATAGTTTCATTACTTTTGTAAATCAAACATACGAAATGCATAATAGATGTGTAGTTTATATATATATATATATATTTATGGAATTTATACTTATTTTAGAAACATGTATAGATATGAATTTTTTAAGGATGAACTTTCCTATGCATTACTATAGTTGGGGTCAGAGGGTTCTGTTTTGTATTGTAGTGGCCTAGTTTGGACATATTTAGTGTTAAGTTTTTAATCTGCCCCAGCTCCTAGGTGCTGTTATAATAGACTATTTTCTTACGAACATGAAAAAATATATATATTTATAATTATTTACATTCATTACTATACTGTATATGTACATATTTCAGTGGTGATCTTATTTTAGCTGTTTATTTTATACTGAAAGTATTGCGCTAAAATATGATTGTTAATTCTGGATGTTGTTTATGTATAGCAATTATACACAAATACATCATTGCACTAATTTGCCAAGTATGATAATTTGCCAAGAATGATAATTTGCCAAGTATGATAATTTGCCAATGTGATAACAATATGGTGAAATGTGGTAATGCACTAAAAGTTGATTGCACTGAATTAAGTAAATTTACAGTATGAAGACAAATTATTTTTGTATAACCTCATTATGCGATGATACTAGCGTATTCAAAATGGCTTGCAGCATTCCATGATGGTAGAGATGGAATTTTGATTTTTGTATTAGATGTCACTGCAGCATATCTATACTATTTCTGTATATATGTATATTGTTAAGTTACGTTTGCTTACTATTACTTACTATTTGTCTGATGTTAATGTTTACAACACTATTTATTCAGCAATACCTCAAGGACGGTCCATCATATTACTTCTTACTCACAGTCAGGGGCTGGTACAGTTAATAAGTCCAGGGGCCAACATATTACATCTTATCTACAGTCAGGGGCTGGTACAGTGAATAAGTCCAGGGGCCCCACATATTACATCTTATCTACAGTCAGGGGCTGGTACAGTGAATAAGTCCAGGGTCCCCACATATAACTTCTTATCTACAGTGAGGGGCTGGTACAGTGAATAAGTCCAGGGGACCCACATATTACATCTCATCTACAGTCAGGGGCTGGTGCAGTGAATAGGTCCAGGGGCCCCACATATAACTTCTTATCTACAGTCAGGGGCTGGTACAGTGAATAAGTCCAGGGGACCCACATACTACTTATCTACAGTCAGGGGCTGGTACAGTGAATAAGTCCAGGGGCCAACATATTACATCTTATTTACAGTCAGGGGCTGGTATCCAGGGGCCCCACATGTTACATCTTATCTACAGTCAGGGGCTGGTACAGTGAATAAGTCCAGGGGACCCAACATATAACTTCTTATCTACAGTCAGGGGCTGATACAGTAAATAAGTCCAGAGACCCACATACTACTTCTTATCTACAGTCAGGGGCTGGTACAGTGAATAAGTCCAGGGGCCAACATATTACATCTTATTTACAGTCAGGGGCTGGTACAGTCCAGGGGCCCCACATGTTACATCTTATCTACAGTCAGGGGCTGGTACAGTGAATAAGTCCAGGGGACCCAACATATAACTTCTTATCTACAGTCAGGGGCTGATACAGTAAATAAGTCCAGAGACCCACATACTACTTCTTATCTACAGTCAGGGGCTGGTACAGTGAATAAGTCCAGAGACCCACATACTACTTCTTATCTACAGTCAGGGACTGGTACAGTGAATTAGTCCAGGGGCCAACATATAACTTCTTATCTACAGTCAGGGGCTGGTACAGTGAATAAGTCCAGGGACCCAACATATAACTTCTTATCTACAGTCAGGAGCTGATACAGTGAATAAGTCCAGGGGCCCCACATATAACTTCTTATCTAATCAGGGGCTGGTACAGTGAATACGTCCAGGGTCCCCACATATTACATCTTATCTACAGTCAGGGGCTGGTACAGTGAATAAGTCCAGGGGCCCCACATATTACATCTTATCTACAGTCAGGGGCTGGTACAGTGAATAAGTCCAGGGGACCCACATATTACATGTCATCTACAGTCAGGGGCTGGTACAGTGAATAAGTCCAGGGGCCAACATATTACATCTTATTTACAGTCAGGGGCTGGTACAGTCCAGGGGCCCCACATGTTACATCTTATCTACAGTCAGGGGCTGGTACAGTGAATAAGTCCAGGGAACCCACATATTACATCTCATCTACAGTCAGGGGCTGGTGCAGTGAATAGGTCCAGGGGCCCCACATATAACTTCTTATCTACAGTCAGGGGCTGGTACAGTGAATAAGTCCAGGGGACCCACATACTACTTATCTACAGTCAGGGGCTGGTACAGTGAATAAGTCCAGGGGCCAACATATTACATCTTATTTACAGTCAGGGGCTGGTACAGTGAATAAGTCCAGGGGCCCAACATATTACATCTTATCTACAGTCAGGGGCTGGTACAGTTAATAAGTCGAGGGGCCCAACATATTACATCTTATCTACAGTCAGGGGCTGGTACAGTTAATAAGTCCAGGGGCCCCACATATTACATCTTATCTACAGTCAGGGGCTGGTACAGTTAATAAGTCGAGGGGCCCAACATATTACATCTTATCTACAGTCAGGGGCTGGTACAGTGAATAAGTCCAGGGGCCCAACATATTACATCTTATCTACAGTCAGGGGCTGGTACAGTTAATAAGTCGAGGGGCCCAACATATTACATCTTATCTACAGTCAGGGGCTGGTACAGTTAATAAGTCGAGGGGCCCAACATATTACATCTTATCTACAGTCAGGGGCTGGTACAGTTAATAAGTCGAGGGGCCCAACATATTACATCTTATCTACAGTCAGGGGCTGGTACAGTTAATAAGTCCAGGGGCCCAACATATTACATCTTATCTACAGTCAGGGGCAGGCACAGTCAATTTCTCCAGGGACCCAACCCATTGCTCTATCTTACTTCAAGTCAGGGGGTTGCTACATTGAAGAAACATTAGTTTATAAAATTGTGAGTTATATATATGGATGGGCTTATTACCAGGCATGGGCTTATTGCTGAATAAATACTTGAATATTTTATAACATTTTTTATATGTGATTTACCTTTATGTATTATATCATAATAACTCGTCCATCCAGCTCTTTATTCTAAATATATATTTCTATCTATACTATTATGACTATTATTTGTGATACTATATATCATGTTATTTTCCATGGCATTTACTAGAGTGCAAAAATTTTATCAGTGAAATAATAAAACAAATGTAAATTATATTCACAATATAAACCTGCATAGCACTTGTGTATCAGTGCCGTCAGCTGTCTCCAGTTATCCTCGAGTATTTCAACAGTTATTTAAAATGCATAAAGCATAGATCATCATTATTATTGTGAATCACCATGGTGATTGACTATTAAATCAGTAATCAGGTCACTGATACTTAACATTGGAATCAATATTTGTAAATATCACATATCCTTTTCTATCTTGACATTGAAATTTGAATTCTTTAAAATTTATCAATTATAAGGGCTATATGGTATATGTCACTATGATTTATTAATTTTGTGGAATGCTTCATTTGTGTAAACAAACAATTGTAGAAATGCCACAACATAGTATATCTGCAAACATGGACAATTTCGTTGGATAAATTAATGCCACAAATAACTAATTCAATCCACAAAAAAAGATCAATAAATTATTTTTCTGTTTTATATTTGTGAATTATGTGAATCCATGTAACCCTGTCTTCTCCTGTTTAAAGTTTTATGCCACCGACATCAGACGGTCGGCTGTTCAAATTCTCCATGCATCCATGGTCCATGCTTATTAAATTTTAAGGTTCTTTCTTGGTCCTTTCAGTTGTGCTCTAGACAGGTATTCAAAAATAAAAAAATACCTAGATTTTCCTTGTTTATGTGACATAACCATGTGATCAAATCACCGGTCAACACATATACTAGAGAGAAAATTTAGATGAAATACAAAAAAAAAAAACAATCTTTTAACATCATACAGAGGTGGTCACCAAGGTTCCTCTCTGATTTCTTGTTTTTTTCAGATTTTTCCACATCTTAATCATAATGAAAAATTTCTAATTTGATTTACCACCCAAAACTGTAAGAATTGTTAGTATGAAACTTAAATGAAAACGTAATGGCTTTGCAACTAGACATGCTTAACACATGCAATAAAATGATTTTATGCACCATGTTTTGTTATGTTTTTGTTTTGTTCGATTTTGGAATCATTTCTCATGACGTGAAGTAAGAAAATATTCCAATTATTACATATTGATACCACCATAAAATGTCAAATTTAATGTATAAATGTACCAATGTGAGTACCTGTATGCTAACAAACCATCCTCAGTGTTGTCAACACAAGAAAATGTGTTTCTACTTCCAGCACTGGTATGTCAAGTTTTGTACAACATAACTTCTCCATCAAACAGAGCTTGATGTATGCCATGAACACATCTGGTCAAATGTCTGACCTCAAGTGGCCGTCATAAAATGGTGATTAAAAAACAAAAACAAAAAAACACATATATAATTCTCGTCATTTATTCAAAGGAGATACAGCATTTTAATGATACAATCTCCACTTCATTTTCATTTATCACAATGCACTGTTATCACATCGCTAGTCTGCTCTGCCATGTAAACAAATGGCACCTGTTATGACATTTATAAAACCACTAACATGACGTCATCAATAAAACACCACACATTTGCCTGCACAGCAAAACAACATGCCTTATGAGATAAAAACCTGAAGATCAAATAGAATTGGAGGGCCATTATTTCTACTGAATAAGGGTTACCAAAATAGTACACAGCATCATTCATCCGTGACCATGTCATGTATAGTAAAGGTTGTAATATTAAAGTAATTCTATTTTTTTTTATTTTCAAAGTTGGGATTAAACATTGGAAAAACAACAGTCAATTTGTTACCTTCTGCATATCAAACATCCCTTTGATATAAATTTAAGATTTTGATGAAACAGAAAACACATCTTAATGAATATAGCATGACATGAGCATGAATGTACGATGTAAATTATATAAACAGAATCTTCAAACATCAATGTTATACAAGTATGGATTTAAAAGCTACTGACAACAACAGATATATAGAATATTACAGCATCTACATCTATGTTTAAGCAACATACAAGTTTGTTACATGGGACATGATTGGTTAATTTATACGAAATATTTTGGGTTTTTTTTTAGTTTTCAATGTTGGAAAACTGTCTTAACAAATCCACATCAAAACAGATGATTTAGTAAAAGAAATGAAACCAAAGACCTCACAACCTCGTAATCTGGTAAAAATCTTCGAGGCAGAATAACATTCTTTTAAGAGACAGATGCATACAATTTGACAAACAAAAGGAGATATGGAAATTATATATCACAGTTACAGTGTATATAAATTGTAATTGCACTTTAGTGTTGATATAATGGTGCAATGCATATAAACAGCAATTTTACCACTAAACTGTTCTGGAAAGGAAAACTCCATCAAAACATAAGAATGATGTTTCATGTAACCGGGAACAATAATATCACTAAGGGAGAGAACTCTACACAGGATTAATGTTTCATGTGATGGGGCACAATAATTATCACTAAGGGAGAGAACTCTACACAGGATTAATGTTTCATGTGATGGGGTACCATAAATATCACTAAGGGAGAGAACTCTAAACACATAATCAATGTTTCATCTGATCACAGAATAATGGTACAACAGTTCAGCCAGCATATATATCTCATCTAAAATTTCAAAGCACTTTGATTTCATATTCTGAAATTTTTATCTTAATAAAAAGAGAAAAAAATAATTTTGATATGAATTACCATGGTATGTAAAATGACTCAAGCACTAAATTTTCAAACGATTTTTAAATCTATGTTAATTACTTGTGAGGTGAGATAGTGTTAGGTTATATTTCTACTTAATTTCAATATACATCATCTTATATACAATTGTCATTTATTTGCACGGTAGAAATAAATCTCTGATTATCAATAAATACATTAGATTTACACATTTATGTGGGAATCACAAACAATATTAACAATAAGATATCACAACAAACAGATTTCCCTACAATAAAACACAGTCTTGAGGTCAGTAGTAAACCACTATGGCCTTGATATTTGACCAGGTTTTGGAAACTTATAACCTAAGTACGTTTGATTTTCATAATAGTACAAAGTAACTAAAAAAAATTAAATCGGAACATTTTCTCCATTTACTTCACTGGAATGATCCAAGTTCGTCCCTGTCTGTGCGTGATGAAAACAGTAAAATATATGCCATGAAGACTTCCAACTTGGAAAACTTATATCGGGTCACAAATGATTTTTATCACTCAGTGTAAGAGAATGAATTTAGACATAAAAATGTATCCCAAATTTCCAATCTCATCGGTACCAGCAATGTTACTTCACCTTTCATTCAATGGAAATATAAGATCTCATCATAAGTGGTTCCAAATGTTATTCAAACGTCTTGCTTACAGAAAAATCGACCAGATCTTTATACACATATGCCCAAAAAAAACCAGTTTGCCAGTTCTTTGCTGGAAACAGCTATTAAAAATATTTTACACTGATGTTTTACATTTACTATATAATCCTAATTTAATGTTGCACCATTCTGAAATGTGTTCTCAACTACGAAATCCTATAGAAATACATAGGAAAGTCACCCAACATGCATCTTTATACATATAACAAGCACTGTGTTTAAGGTAGCATACATCAGGTTAGCACTGTTACAGGGTAGTTTCTAAGATAAAACACAACCCAATTCTACCGGTGTGTAGGGGAGATAATCTGTACTTCAACTACTAAATAAAGTGAAAATTAAAATCCTTATATTTCAATATTACGAAATTTTCAATCTGTGGATTTTTAATTCTCACATTTTGAGTGTTAATAAAAGAAAAAGTAAGTCCCTTGAAAAATCCCCAGGAACACAGCAGTATGTTACATATAACAATGTCTCTACTCATCACAGATTTATCTGAAACAGTACGAATCATATCTATCCAACAATTAGCTGAAGGGAGCCAACACACACTACCACTGATTCTAATCAATGATGGTTGGGACTGCTCAGTACAGAACAATCAGCCAACACACACTACCACTTATTCTAATTCAATGACTCTAAATCAAGGGGTGGGCTTACTAAAAAACAAAAACCTCTTACTCAAAAATCCAAGTTAAGTTGGTAGAGGGGAGGAGCTTATAAAATATCATGAGTTCTACTTAACAGAAATAAATCCTTGTAGGCTTATAACAAATCATGGAGTCACTGCTGGATAGATGTGAAAATTTAAAATTTGCGAGGAGTCCATCTCTTACAGTCATCATCCACATCAACACTGACGTGGATTTCATCCCCGTCCAGAATATCATACCGGCTGATTTGCAGCAACTCTGACTGAAGCTCCTGAAACAGTACTTCCTCCCCATGTGGATGGTTTGGTCCACAGCCATAATGAAACATTTTAAAGCATCTGAAGAAAATATTGTAAAACAGAATCATTTTAATAAATTCAATACCACCATAGGGATTACATACCAATATTGATCTCCCAACTGTGTAAAACAACAATTTCACAATTTTAAAATGTTAAAAAAATGAACTTTCAATATTATTAACTTTGTCCTCCATACCAGCAACATGACTTTTCTTAATTCATTGTTTAAGTGGTTCATCACAAATGGAGATTTTCCTCAAACCTAGTATTTTGAAAAGCACACCCATATCTACCCCAGATACCACAAAAATGCAAGCAGATTTTGAGTGAAAATTTTTGAGGAATGCACATTTTGCCTAACCTTTCTGGTTTTTTGGGCAATAAGCACGAGTATATGTTTCACAGTCTCAGTGACTTTAGTACCAAGTTACACAGGCTTCACTGTCTAAAATGAATGTGAATAGAATGAAATGTTCACTATGTATGATATTGATACCCACCTTGTACCGAGGGTCTTTAACAGGAAACGCTGTAACTCTTTCACAAGCGCCTTGACCTTGAATGTTTTCTCACCCAATGACACTCCATTGAAGATGAAAGTCAACGTTGCTTCTTCTTTAAACCCACGGGAAATGTCTATATCGACAATAGGCTTCAATTTACCTATAAACGGAGAAGAAATGTAAAACAAATTTAACATAATAAATTTCTTCACATTATACTCCTTTGTCCTTCATTGTGCATTTTGGGAAGTATCGGGAGAACTAAAATGGTGGACTAGGAATAATATTGTTTGATTTCACACTTATAGTTTGTCATTACTATTCCACGAGATGTACCATAAGCTGATTGGGTAATTTTCCAAATTCTGTGTACAGATATCCTTGGTTCCTAGTTTATTTTCGGGCTGATGGGAAAAAACGTAGATATATTACAGTAAAGTTACCGTGTTTTGCTTCCAGCTCATAGTATCTCTCTGGTTGCTTTTCCTGATCCATGAAATATCGGATGTAGTATCTTTCTGCTTTCTCCCTCTCTGTAGGTGACACTTCACTACCATTCAAGATCTTAATATTTGGCAGACTGCAACAGATCAGAATATTTTTTTTACCCGTAAATGTATGCCTTGTACTAGATGATAAAAAAATACTGTAAAGATTGTTATTCTCAACAGGGTCCAGTTTTCAATATTTTTGAGGACGTTATTCTCAAGGTGATCTAATTTTCAAATTTGAAATCAAGGAATCAGCAATGCACCAAACTGTATAATAAATGTGAGGATTTCAATTTCCCTTTTGTGAATTTTTCATTTCTGGATGTCAACATCCTTGCATCCATAACCTATGATGTTGACAGCTGATTTAATATTCTAGGCCAATCATCATGATTTTCATGCAAGAAGTTATTAATTAATGGACAAACTCATAACACAGGATTTCGTAAGATGCAAGTTGATGAAAATTATTAGGCCATCTTCTGTCATCATTGTCATTGAGAAAAAGTCCATTTCTATGTGCAATATAAAGATGGATGTGTTTGCCTATTAGTTCCATTGTTGTATACCTTGTTCTCATTTAAGAATGTGACATTACTTTCTTGGATTGACCAAGGTTTACATGGCGGGTGTCGTCCATAAAGTAGAAGACACTTACTCTTCTGAGTTTGAATTATGATTATGTTGACATGTTGGTATTTTCTTGTTGTTTATTCACTTTTTTTTGGACATCGTTATTCTCAAAGGCGTTTTAATTATTACAAGTTTTGAGAATGGAGTTAAATGATAAAAAAAAGTTCATGGGTATAATGAAAATGAATTCTTCCTGCTGCAAGATTTTAATAAAACCCTGAAAATTTGAAACACTGACATAGACCTATACAAAAATGACAATGTTGTTCCTGACTTGGTATTGAAATAACAAGATTCTGGACAGGCATAACCAGGAGGTCAATTTACAGATTCTGACTCACAGAGTTAGGAGGTGGGCTTATAACAGGGCAATGAACAACTTTTGCACATGTATATAGAATCCTTATGAGCCAAATTGACTACAGGTGGGCTTATTATGAAGCATATGCTTTTTGCCAGATAAATATGTTAAATACATACTACAAGTATTCTGCTACATGTACTAGAATGTTTAAGACTTCAGCATGGCCCTCAAAGTCATTTACAAACACTGTTTTCTAAATCGATCACCATCTACACCACACAAAATTGAGGTATTTTCTCCAGCAGTTTGAAAAGTTCATGATGGTTTATGGGTAAATTATTTCAAAACAGATTTTTCAGACATTTTTTTAATGTATCACAGTTGGGAGGAAATTTTACAGATTGAAGAAGTACCTTGCAATCTTGAGCTTCCTTCGGTCATCTTCACCAACTTCTGCCAGCAGTTGAATATCCTGATTATATATGTAACAAGGATAAATTCAAAGTTCTAACATCTGTTAAGTGCAGTAAAACTTGTGTGTGTATATTTTAACTAAGATTGTACAGAAGACATACAAGTGCACCTTTTAATACTTAAGCATTAAATACAGCAAAGCAATGAATTTACTGCATCATACAGCTGTTTTGTCCTTTTACAATTTGCCAGTGATTTGCCAGGCCTAAATTTTGAAGCCTGGGAGATGACTGAGGAAAATCCAGAGTGATCAAAAGAAAAGTCAAAACCTAGATGGGGGGGTGCAGCAGCCCCATGATTAAATAAATTTGAATACTTTTTTCCATATATCAGATAATATTTAAACACCATTAAGTACATGTGTATATTCTGAGCCATGCCACTATTCTAACGAACAAATAAATCAAATTTATTACTTTTTAAAACCAAAAGCCAGAAGGCCAGTAATATTTACCAGTTATTTGATGGTGATGATTAGACAAAACATTGGTATATTTAAGGAATAATATGACAATCACATGAGGTTATACTGATAAAACAAACCTGAATCCTGAGAGACTCCAGGGCTGGAAACATGCTGAGAGCCTGCAGGTGTTCCCAGCTAGCAATACAAGTATCGCTGACACACAAACTTTTCAGTTTTCTGAAAGCTTGTCTGTCTTTGTCATTTCTAAGAGTTGAACTGCCATCACTGAGATCTTCTTTTGGTTCCAAATAAAACATGCTAGCAGCTTTGTTTTCATTGATGCAAAGACCACAATGGTTGTCTTTCCTCTCATCAATATTGATGTTATTGTCAGTACCATTTTCTATCCCCCTGTCATTTTCAGTACCATTTTCAGAACCATTTTCTGTAGTCTTATCATTGTCTGTGTCATTCTCTGTCCCCTTGTCATTCTCTGGAACATCTTCTGTCCCCTTGTCATTCTCTGGAACATCTTCTGTCCCCTTGTCATTCTCTGGAACATCTTCTGTCCCCTTGTCATTCTCTAGAACATCTTCTGTCCCCTTGTCATTCTCTGGAACATCTGTCCCCTTGTCATTCTCTGGAACATCTTCTGTCCCCTTGTCATTCTCTGAAACATTTTCTACATTCCTGCCCTCATCTGAGTGAATGTCCATATTATTATTCTGTTGAGCAATTTCTGATTTGACAACCTCTGCCTGTCCAATTTCTGAGAGTGCCCCTGTGATAATCAGGTCTACAATGTCTTTGACCTGCTGATCAGGACTTTTGTTACCATTTTCATCTTTTTCCACATCTTTTTCCGGCAGGGTGTCTTTGTTGACTGCATCCTGATTATTTGTTTCCATAGAAACATGATCCTGGTCATCAAGAAGTTTGTAAACCACATCCTCTAGAGGATTTCCTGATAATATTAGTGTATCTAGCTCTGGCAGATATCGAAGCTTCCAGACTTCCTCCCAGCTGGAAATAATGATACAAAATTTTTTTATCAAAACGTAATTGACAACAAGAACTACATGTATTTTCTCATTGATTTTTATTTTTTTTTAATCTTTCATACTTTTCCCCTGTGTTTTGAACAAATTTGATAGCCAACTTTGAATTCCGTAAGAAGTTGAACAGAATTATGCATAGTAACTACTTCTATTTTTTCATATTTTTCAGCTTTATAGTTCTAAAGAAGAAGTAATTTCAGCAACAATTGCATCTCATCAAAATGTTTGTGTATCTACATCAACATTCAGATTCAATATACCTGGCACTTCATTCAAGTGTTATTGTAAGGGCAGATAATCAAGTAGATTCTGAGAAACCACTCACCTCTGAATTTCGTTATAGTTCATCTTTAGGTATTTCACTTTTTCCAATACTTTCAGGTTGGAGGAAGAGAGCTTTGTATACCCTACAATAATTGATACCTTTGTTTTATAATTTACAGCACAATGATCATTTCTGAAATAAACAACATCATTTTCTTGTGTCATACTGTCTATTTTTTTTTGTCCAAATCTTTCCAGAAATATGCCAGTGGAAGAGAACACATTACCGCTGAGAACAAAAAATCAGTTCATCTGTTGCTGGGAAATGAAACAGAATTTGTGTTAATTCTACTGAACAGACAATGCGGTGGCACAAGTCTGTTTATTATCACATGATTATTATCTGGTGTGCAGAATAATGCTAAGTATGTCACAATAAATTCCTAGATATAATGTCAGACCTTCAGCAAGTGTCTTTTGAAACTTTATAATGGTCAAAACTTTATCAAAATGAACAAACATCATATTGGTGCTGTGATAATGGAGCTTTGACTTCGTTAATTTGATTTTAATCTAATCTATCTACCATATCTACAGATAGGAGGTTCCTCTTTACAGTAAGGAAAAGATTTACTTACCTAGTTGAGAATTGATTTACCAACCATTTTTACAGACCTGTAGTTCCTTTAGATTCAATAGAAAACTGACCTACCTACCATTTTTACAGGCCTAAAGTTCATATAGGTCTTTTTTCAGGGTTAGTTCATCTAGATTCAATAGAAAACTGACCTACCTACATTTTTTATAGGCCTGAAGTTCAGTTAGGTCTTTTTTCAGGGTTAGTTCATCTAGATTCAATAGAAAACTGACCTACCTACTATTTTTTACTGACCTGTAAGTCCTTTTGATTTGTGAGAAATTAATTTACCTACCATTTTTACAGATGTGCAGTTCCTTTAAACTTGGTAGGTAATTTGCCATTGTCATCACTTCATCCCAAGAAACATTAGTTTCATTAAGAACCAAACTCTCTACCATGGTAAATGGGGTCTCCCAAGTCTGTAAGCAATTCTGGAAAGAAAAGGTATTTGTGTTTCAATGTATGGCATGGTCATATTACCAGACTTCTTATAAAACAGCTTCACTGAACTGCTATAAACATGTGTTGACTTAATTGTGCCTTACACTTGTTATGTCAATGTTTTAATCGAGAGACTTTTCAACTGAGGTCATATTTTCTGTTTATACATGCAGATACTTTTCCTTTTGGTTATAAAGAATTGACAAATGCATTCTTGAATCCGTGACTGTAAAGGAATTATTAGTAGAGTAGTGAAAATATTATGATCTTCAAAAGGAAAACAAATGTTTTTTTTTTCTATGTAAAAACATACATTTACAGGTAAAACTATATCTTTTACATAAGATATGATTAAAAAAACTACAATCTACATTACTGGGGTATTGACACATTTAACATAATAAGATCTAGCATGAGGAAGAAAAATATCACGATTATCAAGGTATATTTCTTGTTGATAATTAGCTTCTTTGTAAACTTCTACAGAAATTGTATAAAAAATTCTAATATCTAATTAGGTTGTATTAAACTGAGTAAATTCTTGCGTGATACTGTACAATGTACATACCATCCAAATAAAAAGTAAACGGTGAAATATATTACAGAATTTACCTTTTTGTTAACAAGTTGATTTCGGCTCAAATTTACAAATTTCAGGAATGGTAAATGTGACATAATGTTGAGAACTTCACTCCAATCGTCCAGCAGATTTCCAGAAAGGTCAAGTTCATTGACATTGGGACAGAGAGACCTTAGGCCAGTGCTAGGGATACCAGCCATAGACACGTATCGATCACATAGCACCTGCAGATGAAGTCAACCATGACCATATGTACATTGTCTATACAGACCCTAATCCTAAGAAGATTTCATAACCACTCCTCATCTCCCCCCTCCCCCTTTGTATTTGCAATTCTGAATGGTTTTCGTACAATTATAGTTGATTAATAATTACTATGGCTTCAACATTTACATTTACATAAATAGCTATTTCCTGGCAGGTGCTTTATAGACTATTTGTTACTGTCGTAAGTTTGTAATAAATATTTATAAGGCCTCATCACTGTAAAGAATTCATAAACTTACAACTTTTGGCAAAAATTTCCACAAACATTTCTAGAAAACAATCTCCTTCGATGTCATGACTTTTTTATTATCATTTTTTTTATTACTGGTAACTATCAGTACATGTTTATGACCACAATATTAATTACAATTTTTTATATAGATGTGGCAAGCCCAACATAAAATGTTTGCGATTTATTGCTCTGTGAATAGCCACAGCTATTTTGCAGCAGGGTCTCCTTAAAGTAGCTTGCCATGGGGGCTTCCTCACTGAACATACACGGCGGCCATTATAGGTCTGTCACCCAGAGCATTAAGTGTAAAGTGTCTTGTAATAGGACATGGCAATGCAGACATGTCTTTATCTCAGATTTTTTGGTCTGCTTTTTTTAATCTTATTTCACTTAATCTAAACAGTTTTAATTTTATACTTTAGTCTTGACTATATTCTATCAGAAATAATTAGAAAAAACCTGTTCCTGCTTGGTAAAAAACTAAGACTTAACATCCACTTTATCGTAAAGACAACTTCTTTATCGGTAAAATAAGTATGTGGCTATGCAAGTATTAAAGGTGAAGAATGTTGAACCTTAGTATTACTGATTTACATAACAAGTGTGAATAGTTCATGATACTATATCACATATCTTACTTATGTCACCTGATTTTATTCAGCCTTGATTTTGATGAAAAATAAGTTCACAAGACTTCTTTCTTTTAGAATTATCTGACAAGTAATTAAAATTAAAAAATTAGATTCATTCTAATTATAATCACAAGCTGTAAAGGAAAGAAAAGTGATAAGTGACATAGAAGAAATAAACTCAGATCAATTTATTTCTATCAGTTTTAATTTCATAACCACAATCTGTATTTATATGTGAGTCACTAACTCCACATTGTCAAATTATCTTGCATGAGTCACTAACTACTTTTGATAACATGTAGAATTTCTAGAAGCCTGTCATGAAGTGGAAAGAGATGTGCCACCTACAAATCACTATGTATGTCGTGTTTCAAATAAAAAATAGTGAGAAAGATAACAATTTAAATAAAATTTTTTTTTTTCAAAACGAAATGATATTATGGATTAATACCTGTTATCTGCTAGACTTCTCAGCTTAAATACAATGCTGCAATGTAATGGAGTCCTTTTATTTTTAGCCCGTTTGTTATTGACAATTTACTATTTTCAGCAGTGTAAACCCATTATAACAATCAGCAGCTGATTAGCTGTCTTCTATATTTAAGACAAAAATCTTAAATTTCGTTGACCACATACCACGTTTCTCAAGTAGGCCAGCTCTGCATCTGACCCGTTTGTCTTTGGTTTCCCGTGATAGACAATGTCAACCATAAAACCACCTGAGTTGCAGGAGTCGATTTCTGGTGTGCAATATTTTTCCTTCAATGCATCTGTAAAGGATTTTTGTCTAGGCAGACGTCGTCTGCTTTGTCGTTTTCTTTCAGCTTCCATCATCAAGCCTGACACCTAGATATAATACCACTTTGGCGCGATTGGACTGAAAGGTATTTACGAATCATAGATATTTTTAGACTAAAGTTCAAAAAGTCTCTCTTCCCCTTCTCTGTCGTGTTGTTGTTCTTTATTGCGATAATCTCAAAACTATTTTTCATATAAAAGTTCTATATTTATGGCCAGAAAAAACGTTTGTTGTGGATAAATTATATGAAAATTTAATATTTCCTATCTTTTGATAAATGCATATAATTTTACAGGTGTCACTAATTCACAATCGAATTATTTTAAAATTTCGTACAAGACTATCACCATATTATTAGTTCATGATAAAATCGTCCAATCACATTAGTTTATTATATTTAGGCCCCTCACTTTGCCGGAAGTAATCGATACGTAAAATCAAGATGGCAGACGTAGATTTCTTGAACTCCGAACAAACCGAAGAAGACCCCGCCGCTGCCTTTTTGGCCAGGGAGCAGACAGAATTAGCGGGGTTGGAAGATGATAACTTTGGCGTCGATTCATCAGCACCACAACAACAAAGTAATTCGTTATATATCGTTTCAAATCATCCCATTCCCTACCATTTTCTGCCGGTATCCGCCCACATTTTCTCATTTTAACTCTGCCAGGTAGAAAATACCCCAAGATAATTGAATATGAACTCCTTTCTCATCAGCTCAATTAATATGCCATAGTAAAATAATCACACTTTAGAAACATCAGTATAGTAACACCTGTACGGAGAGAGACCTATATAATCCAGATGCAAGCACGGTCCTATAGCAATCCAATACCAACAGATTTGATAAATAGGTATTTTGATGGTTTGTATAAAAAACTTTCTTTCTAAAGCGAACACTAAAACAATAAAAAAAAACAGTATTCAATTACCCTTGATTTAGATGCGAAACTGCAGCTTTCTAACTCTGCAACAGTACTCATTTTCACTTTATCTGTAGCCATTTCTCTCTTCGGGGAAAAGATGGACTCGTTTGATATGGTTTCATATTGTCATTGGAGATAACTATATTATATATTATAATTTCAAATATATAAAGTATTGTGTACGCTCGGGGGACTGAAAGCTTACAACTGTCACTGCAGATGTATATTTGACGGTCCGCTAGTTGGGTCTTGATCGTTTAGGTAAGGTCGGTTTTCAGAAGTGATTTTCAGTGTATTTCAGTAATTTTCCACACAAAATTGGTTCAGTATTTGGAATTGAGAGTAATCGGTATTAGGAAGATTTTCATAACTATAATAAAGAGGATGTCATTCTGTACATCGCCATTTTGTTTGGTTTCAAGATTTGGTCGGTTTTGAGAAGGATTGGTTTGAGGAAGTTGCACTGTACATGTGTATGAAATAAATTTGATGTGATTAACAATATTGATGTTTTTTACAGATGATGGATTTGATCCATTTAGTGGTGGGGCTCAAGAAGACCAAGGCTTAACAGGAAATCAGGTGTGTTTTAAAGCAGTATTCAGTTCAGGTCACACAAAAAAGTTCAAAATTTAATTCACAGAAATTATGACAAAGTTATAGGTTTTGTACCTTTATTGAGGAATTTGAGATGCTTTTGAATTTACTTTTTAACCTACTAAATGGTCAGTTTATGAAAAAGATATATAGAAATCATGCTCTGACATTCTTGAATTAGAGATTTATGAGCACAAGGCTTACTTCTCTGTTGGAGGCTGCATCAGCATCAACATAAAAATGTGGTGTTTGGATTAATTCATCAGAATGTAGAATTACAACATCAAATAATTGGATTAGAAATATATATATTAAGATTGATGTTAAACTCAAAATAAGGACATCAACTTAGTTTAAGATTGGTCAAATTCTGGATGCAAAGCATGAACTTAGAACAATTCAGATCTGACAAGAACTTAAAATAAAAGTTGACATGATATTTTGTAAACACCTTCATGGAACAATTTACACATTCAACATTCTTTTGCTCATTCTGCCAGATTTACAGAATATTTGTATAAAATAGATTTCCCATTTTGAAAAATTCATTATGAAAATCTTGCTGAATTGCAATTTTTCAACATTGAATAGAAAATGCTAAGAATGACAGACACACTGTCTTATTTGTAAATCTATTACATCAAGGTTATATGCATGTGTTGATCTCACAAAGGCTTTAGTATAAAGAGCATGTCAATGTGACATATTTCTATGAAAATGCTAGCTATTGCTGTACAGTGGATATTGTTCATATGATATATTGTTTATATATTATATATATTGTTGATGTATAGTCTCAGTGATGTATTAAACTGTTTTTTTGTACAGAATTGATCGCTTTCCTGTAATTGTGATCATGGCTTGATATGCGATGTTGTAAATTTTTCAGAATATTGTTTTTTTTTATGTGGAGTTTAAAATTGATACCATAAATTGATTAAAAACAATATTTTATGTGAAGCAAATTTATATTTGATAACAAAGGCATTTCGTTAGTTGTCATTTATCAAACAAATTGTTTGATTCATCTGCTGTTCATCCCTCCCTCCTTTTCTGTGAAAAAATTCTATATAAAAAACCATAGCAAAGTGGGAAGAAGTTCATTACTAGTTTCTATTTTGGATGTTGAGATTCATGATAATTGTGTAATAGTTCTTTCTTTCAAAAACCAGAAATTTTCTAGAGACTCATTTTCTTGGTTTTTCAACATATTCCTATTTAGCATAGAGTTAATTTTGGGGATAAATTTAGCTCAATAAATATGCTTTTACTAGTTTTAACAGTTGAACACAGCGTTCAATCACAACACTAACTGTGAACAGGTCGTGGACATATGTATGTGTTAATTACCAGTATATTCAAATAAAAATCGTTAACCCCAATGAAAAGTTCACTGTCAAAGTAAAGACTGAAGAGATCTTTTAAGTGATGAATGTTGAATGTTCCCTGTATTTTGAGATTTAGGTCTGTGCAGGTAAAATTAATGATAAATATCTTACTGGGTAACGGTAGAAAAGTTATCCCTGTATTTCTGTGCTCTCTCTAATTTTTTTTCTGTACTAATTAACTTTTAATTATATGCATTATTGAGGAATTATTTTAATTGTCTGCAAATATTTATCTCCAAAAAACAACTTTCTCTTCAATTAGGAATTTGAAACCACTAATCAACAACAGGATTCTGAAGAAAATTTGGTAGGCCAGGTTTTATGGTTTTTATGTTATGTTAGAGAGAAAATTACACATGCATGATTGTATAAAATCTCTTTCCCACTGCTGTAGAAAGTTGTTCAAATGTGGATTCCCTCCCTTTCTTATAAGTATACTTTGTTATCTTCAATAACTTACCTGACCTCTTCTTTCTAGATTTAAGAAAAATAATCCAAGTGCTTGGACATTGGTAATTAAATTGGGCTATTTTCTGAAGGCTTTTTGAAGCCATATATTGGCACCATTTCCAATTGAATTCTTTCATCTTATATCAAAATTCTCAAAACAAATGGTTTACCCCAACTGCTCAATTTTCTTTCAATTATAGGATAAAAAGGCAGTTTCCCAAATGAATGCAAAAAAGCACTGTTAAATACTCTCAAGATACAGTAGATTATGAACAGCTATTTATAGTTGGTCTGATATTTTAGGATGTTTTTTTTTAAAGTAGAAATAACTTGGTAATTCAAGAAGGAATCCATATTTGTTATGTAGATTCTTTAGTCTTAAATCCCTTTCGATCTTTGATCATTCTTATTCTTCATTCACTTTTAACCTGAGAAGACTTCATGAAATTAAGAAAAGAAATTCTAAAAAAAGCCTGGTAAAACAATGAGTATCTTGATTATACATAAAGTGTGTAAGTAGTAATCTTATCAAGTTTATCCAAAAACATGTGTAAACTGTCAATTTGCTTACTGCTCCAGTGTTCTGATCAACACATTTACATTCTGGTCATAAAGAATTTTAAAGATATATTAGATAGCTACCAAAAGCTTTATGTATAAAATGAATTATTTGCTTTTTAAAGATTTTATCTATAAAGATAGATTTTCTGTTGCTTATTATATAATCATTAAAAAAAAAAACTTTTAACCCAATATCAGTTATGAAATCTTTAAGATTAGGACTGCTTGATTATCTCCCTTTGTTTGGTGGTTGGTCATGATGGTGATGGGTTAGACAATTCCACACTTCTTAAAGCATGCTTATATATAAAATTAGCTGTTGCACTGTGTGGATTTTCTGCATGTCATCAAACTTCTATACAGTATATTGTACATATAGATGTCTTCAGAATACAGACATTCTTTTGATTTACAGTGTATTAAGATACAACCTACAACAGAACACAAGATTGATGAGTAATTAAAATGTGTTTACATTGTTTGTCATCCAATAAGCCCAGAGGACCAGCATACAAAGTTTCCCTCACATTATAAAATATTTGGGCTTATTACAGGATAATAAATAAGCACTGATGTGCAATTCTTTTTATCAGCAATATACATGGGTATGCTTATTGCCAGGTATGGGCTTTATATATATATTCTGATAGCTACAGTAAGTAAAGATTACTGTGTCTGTCTAGCAATAAGCCCATGGACCATCCCGTTACTTCTAACAGAAAGTTCTGATGGGCTTATAACAGGACAGTTAATCTAATGAACAGTAATACCATTTGTAGTAAGTAAAAAATGGGTGGACTTATTACCAGCCAACCCATGAACAATTTTGTACGACAATATCCAACTAATTTTAAAATCTGCAAAATGTCACTTGAATCCTTTACTGTTAAATCTAGGTCATTGAAACCGTGGCTTTAGTTAGTCCAAAATTCTAATAAGAAATAAAACAGAAAGTTCAGAGGCATAGTATGTAATATTTTTATGTTCCATTTTGTGTTCTGGTTAATCTGATTTTGGATAAACCAAAGGATACCTAATCCAAAACAATTATCGCTGTATTAACAAGAGGTACTAGATTGAATCTTATACAAACACTTATCATGCCTCTTTCTTTTTGGATGTGTATGTATGGACATAAGTAGTAGTATTTATCAGAATGGTAAGCAACATATATATATTGTAAGTTCTGATAATTGCTTTGATGTACTTCGTCCCAGAAACAGGAAAAAATCTAGGGTGGCAGTTAGCTAGGTCACACAGTGCCTGTCAAAAGTCTCTCTCCAAACTGAACCTCTAACATTCTTGGAGTAGTCAGAATATTCTGAGGGATTAGACAGGATTTACCAGGGACCATCAAATATAAATGGGAATGATTTTCACTGAAGAATTTTCATTTTTGAATATTGTCAACATAGATGAAGTTAATTAGACAGAAATTTGATTATTCTTGCTGTTTAATCAATTATATGGATGATAGATTCAGTTCTGTAGCACAGTCACTACAACTGATCATACAAACCCAATACACTGTGTTCCCAAATTAACATCTATTTTAATTTTATTGCACAAGCAATGAATTGAGGCTGAAAGAATTTCTCATCTTATTTGGGATTGGAAAGAATTTATGTACTTCAGAAGTATATCCATGAAATTACAAGTTGTGTTTTTTTTAAGTCTTTGATTAGATGATGATGTTGTTGCAGAGTCCAAGTCATATTCCCTGGTAACAATATCAACAGTGTTGTATGCAATGTTGGATTTTAGGTTTTGACCTTTAAAAGGAGCTTTGACATTTCAGATGATGGGGGGTGAAGGAGGGGGTCTTGTTGACTTTGGAGTTTCCCCTCCCCTCGTTGATGCCATGGAGCAAAATGTGAGAAATTTGAAATTTCCCTGCACCTCCCCTGAGTACAGCACTCTTGTAAATAATGCTTATGGTCTGCTTAAATATTTTATACAGAAGAAAAAATTGTCTAACTTTGGTTTCAGTCAGCCATGCTTAAAAATGTAAAGAAAACACATCTGCTTGTCTGACCTTCCTGGTACACGGCATCTACTACTCACAAATGTTTGGTGTGCCTGGTCATTCTGTTACGCCTATGTTTATTGATTACTGCAGATTTTCTCACAGCATTTTCCTTTTGATTGTCTTAAAATGAAAGCTGATGTTAAATTGACATTATAAGTCATGTTCAGTAAAATTTACAGACCAACTTGCAGGTTCTCGTCACAAAAAATGTTAACTATACTAAAACTATCATGTCTTATACTGTATTTTTGAAAAATTGTTGTTGAAGCATTTGAATATCAAGAAATTCAAGATAAAAACTCCCCAAAGAGAGGGGAAAGAAGATATTTCAGAGGTCAATCACATGACTTCTGTCATTGCTATGTCTGTGTTTGTCCTTTTAAACTGTAGCAGTATCTAGTACACCGAAATTAAATCTTGACTCAGTGAATATTGACACAATATTACATTAATTCTGATTGATTTAATTTATATGCCTTTTGATGCTTTACTTTATCAATAAATAACAAGTTAAGAAATCATTGTTAAATTTCTAAAAAATAGATAAAAATTTGCCAGAATTTATTCGGGTCAACTAAATATTTTTGAGAAGACATCAACAAAAGCATTGTGTATAAAAAACATTGATATTGTACATATGTTTTATTAAATTGGGACTATTTTACAAACACATTTGTCTGTGTGTGTCATTATCAGCGTAACAGATCAAGAGATGAAGGCAAGCACTCTAAGGTACAATAGAAATACCGTACTTGTGCTTTCTTGCAGAGTTGTAAATCCCCATTCTGATCCCCTTGTGTATTTTCAGTCCTGTGTTGTCTTGTGTATGTAAGTCGAACAGTGAATTAATTGACATTAAGTTAAATGAGTTGAATTTTACATAGATTCGCAGAAACGCTAATTTCTTTATTAGCGCAGGGTTGTTTAAAAATAACAACATTTTTAATCATCTCAGACATCAATATTTAGATGTGATTTTCTGTAATCTTAGAGATTTGAAGAAGAAATTTAAATGTTTTACATACAAATAGTTTGAGTCCAAAAAGATAGATGAAGAACCATGCAGTGTACTTGATTTTTCTTCACTTTAGTCCTTCCGTTTGGTTCCAGTTATTTAGGCCCGTAACATCACTGTTGAGTCCTAGATCAGGGAGAGACGGAACAACTATATGCAGTTTAATTCATTGTTTGACTATACTATACATGTATTTAATTTCATTGAAAAGTGTAATTCACGAGTGTGCTTTTGTAGGATAATCGACAGGCTCCTAAACTGACATATGTATAAGTTTTGTTGTCCGTGAAGGGTTGATGATGGTGCCTGGGATTATCAGTGATAAGTTATAATACTTCTTTAACGTGTCAGAAAACTTAGCATCACTGATTTATTCACCGTTTTGTTTGAGAGGAATGTTCACCAAGTAGCTATCACTTGTACATATTCATCATTGTGTGTTAAAACTCTTACAAATGTCCTCCCTTGTCCAGCGAAATGTTTTCATTTTACTTCATCAGGGCTCTCAATCTGCCAGATTTGGGGCCGATATTTGGGCCCCATTCCCAATGCAAAATAGTATCTTTTTTTCCCAATTTAGACCCCAAGTTTTCCCAATTCTAAGGAAAACACCATTATTTTTCCCAATCCAAAGGGCCCGGGGCCCCAGTCCCAAAATGGGGTGTGAGAGCCCTGTTCATATATAACAAATTATTAAGAAAGATAGATAAAGAAAAGAAAAACAAGAAAATGGAAACAAGGACTTGGAAATTTATTTTTACATTTCGCCGAGACACACGTATTTGTTATTTTTCCTTTAGTTTGACCATTATCTGTGTACCTATAGCAGAAAGCCTGAAGAAAATTGAATTGTGACAAGAACAGGAATTAATTAAGCATCTACAAAGAAAGAAACAGCTTGCAATGTTTATTGGTGCTTTAAAATTGAAATGGAAACATTATTAAACACAGGCACAAAGTCAGACTTTATATGAGAAGTTTAAGAAATATTTGCCTGGGTCATAATCATATGTCATTCTTTTAATGCCATACACTACTAATACCTGAATTTTAGGACAAAAGAGTTCCTCAAGGAAAAATAAGTTAAATATAATTATTGCTATAGAAGTAACTCATAGTTACTTACTTAATTGATGGTAATTCATTAACATTATAAAGGTATGATTGAATAATGAAATGATTGAGATCTTGGTAAATAACATATTTGATAAGGTCAATTAATGATTTAACTTGTTATCGAAATGTCATGATTGATTTTCATTGAAAATTAATTTCAACATTCTGATTAAGGAATAAACGAAACAAAAAAACATATAAAAATTGTATTTAAACAAAGGGAGATAACACTTTTTAAGGTAGTATAAAGATACATTTTAATGTAAGTTGATTTATATGAGCCATAATTATACAAATTTTATTGAGAAAATTCTCTTTGCTGATAGAGGAATGTATGGAAAATTTTGTGTATATGATCAGCATTTCATCAGAGAATTGTTATAATATACATTAATGTCAATTTAACTTTAAATTTTAAGCAGCATTTCACTGTCATTTTGTTATTAGTAAAAAAAATGATTAACTAGGAGAGTAAGATCAGGTGTTTATACTTGTGTGATTTCTTTCCAGACTAATGGACCCTCGGACATGTATAGTATCATAGCCCAGCAAGATCGCGAGAGGTCGGAGCCAGAAAAAATCAGAATCTGGCGTGAGGAACAGGTCCTGAAACTGGAGGCTAAAGGTCAGAATCTTTCCCTTTCTCAGTCAGGAGGTATATGATAATCAGTTTGTATGTCTGTAACACAAAGCTTCTGTATAAAATACATCATTTTCCTGACCATATTTACATGCTGTTCATACACAACACAGTATCACACACGATTAGGTTTTACACTAAGTAGTTATGGGTCAAGGTTAGAGGTCAAAAATTACACTGAATCACCTTTGATGCTACAGTATCTCAAAGCACTCAGGTTTTATAATAAGTGGTTATAGGTCAAGGTTAATGGTCAAAAGTTAAACTGAATATCTTTTGACATAAAAAGTTTTTGTACTAGATTTCTCATTAACCTATCATCAGGTTAAAAATAAAGAGATGAGGGATTAGGGATTGTATCTATGTGAACACCTGTTTACTGTGATATTTCTGTGATGTTTATGTATAGAGAGGCAAGGATAGCTCCTTAAGTCTCAGGTGAAAATCCAAGGTGTGTTGTGTGATCCCTTATCATGGTCAGTTTTTCCGGCAGCTGATCATGAGATCATGGTCTTTGCTGTCTAGGTTGAGTTCTGATCTGGACTGGAAAGCATGAGCAGGACATTCTAGCAAACAACAAAGCAATTATGTGTAGCAGAGGTCCACTCTTACCTGTGGAAGATTGAAAAATGAAATCTTAAAAAAAAACATTGAAATGTTCATAAACAATTTGTGAGAGTTAAGAATTTAATAAATAGAATATATTTATGCAGGTTATATGAAGCAAAGTAAGTGAGAATCCATTTTGAAATTGTTGTAATTTTATCAAGTTTTAATTACATCAGATAAGGAAGAGGAGAAAAAGCAGCAAGAAATGAGAGAAGGAGCGAAGAAGGAGCTGGATGATTGGTACAAACATAACCAGGAACAGCTGGAGAAAACGAAGGAAAATAATCGGTAGGTACAATGGTAATGTGGTGATGTGTCTCGTGCTACGGGGGCATGGCTCGTGCAGCAGAGACATGTCTTGTGCTACAGTGATTTTTTTCATGCTATGAAGACATGTCTTGTGCTACAGTGATGTGTTTCATGCTATGAAGACATGTCTTGCGCTACAGCAACATGGGTCAGGTGCTATGGCGATATGTCTTGTGATTCAATGACATGTCTTGTCCTACAGAGACAATGTTCAAAAAAAATATTAATTATGTTCTATTTTCTTCAGTGAAGTGTATGAAAAGCTTGGAAGGTCTGATGCATCATGGAGCGTTAATTCTTCAAAGCATCAAAGTATCAAAGTATATATATCAGCTTAGAAAAAGTAAATAGCTGACAATTGAATGAAACAGGTGACACTGATATTGCTTTATATAGCGGTGGTTTTGGTTTGAATTATGTCAATAAATAGATGTAGACAATAGAATACACTTGTTTTGTTCATTTGAAGATGAGAAAAAGATATTTATGGAAAAAATATATTAATATATTTATTGAAAAATCAGCCAAAATCTGGTGAAAAGCTTTTTCACATATTTAGATTATTTCTCTTCATATCTACAGTCCTACAATAAGCTCACACCAAAATTTACGATCACCCCCGGGCTTATTGGAGGATAAATGTGATTTGTGTTGTTAATTGTAAGGTAGTTAGACTGAGTTGATATTTATATCTATCCCCGACAAGCCGAGGAAACATGTGAGTATGACGTACAAAGGTAGCGAGTAGTACTCGGACCAGATGTTTAATATTGTATCCACTATATTGTCACTGTTAACCCGGAACTCATACTCAAAACAACCTAGTCCTTGGTTATGCCAGAAAATTGTACAAATTATTAGTATTGGAAAATAACTTAGTCGCTCGTAAAACTGAAAAAAAATTGATTTGCAATAGTGTATCTGGTAATACTGAAAAGTTCTATGTACATTAACTTACTTTTCTCTGTTGATTAATTTGATTCAAAATGGCTCAGTCAGTGTCATCACTAGAAAAGCCGACAGTAACTAAGGCACTGATAATTGTATCAACATGGTCTACTGGCTTTAAATACCAGAAATTTTCACTTCTGATTTAGTCGCAGACAATACTGGAAATTCTGAATGACTAGTAGCTGAAAGTATACAAAAGTTGTGTAAATTCAAAGGTGAAGTTGCAGGAGTCATCAGATATTCAGCAGATAATGATCTGTTATTTTCTCTGGTACAACCCTGTTTCATGCCAGCATCGTGCTGATCACACATGAAAAGTACTCTGGGAAAACTGGTGATAATGTTTCCTCGTTACCATGGAATATTAATTACAACAGTCAGCTAGTTACTCATTTATATTACAGAAATGTTGTATATGTTACCATTGCTTACCTTTGGCAATGAAAAACTGAAATAAAAGTCATTGGTGGTACAATCAAGGAAATGGTTGTTGGAAAAATTGAAGTCATATAATGGGAAAATGTTCAGTACCTGAAAAGGAAGAAGCCACTCAAGTTGATGTTGTTTATAGTAGAGTAACTTTTCCCATCAGGGGTTTAAAGATGTTTTTAAGAATAGAAAGTGCATGTACTAAATGAAATTTGATAAGATATTTTGATGAATCTCTATTTTCTTTTGACATAATTTGATAAAAAACAAAATTTGAATTTAATTAAGAATCTACTTAACGGTTGAGATTTGTGAAAATATTTGATTAAGTAGAATCGATGGCTAATCCAGGGATGATGGTGACTGTAAGCAATACTGTATTGAGCCAATGGAAAATTTTAAGTAAAAGTTAAGAAAATATTATGAAAGAAGATTTCCACAAGTGTCTTTCTTAAAGCATAATTTTGTTGAAATCATGTCACAATTGGCTCAAACGTAGTTAGCTGAGAAAAATGTAGGACTGTTAAAGAAAATTAGAAACAAGATATTATCTACTACTCAACCTGCCACAGATTATAAAAGAATGTTTCAAAATGTACATGCTCAAAATTTTATTTTTGTCAAAATAGTTGAATGTGAGTTTTGATATTTTGTTTTTGAAATAGAGTGATCCCCCTTGTTTTTTCAACTCAGTTTTAACCTATTTTGCCCTTGTAACACTTGTAATTTTTTGTTACAAGATTCACCAGGAGGTAATGTTTTATAGCACAAAATCAGTTTATTTTCCAAATTTTTGTTATACCTGGTTGCTGCCTTCAATCCTGATATTTTTCTTTTCCCTTGAAAAACTACTTAGCTTTTTCTGAAAAAGACAACTATATAGTGAAGCTTTGAAAGGGTTCTCACAAACTTTCAGATATTTAAATTATGTCACTTGTGGAGATTCTGTGCAACACTGAGTAAAGAACGATATATATCAGATGGGATACTTCATTAGTTTGACAAATTAAATTTCTTGAATTACTTTACTTTCATTAAGACATATTTTGCTAAGATATTTGAAAAGAAAAAAAATTGATATTAAGTTGCAGAAAATTTTTGTGAACCCGAATCTTTTATAAATTTCTATGGAAATATGTAAGCCGTTCTCCTTTAAGCTTTTGGCTGCAGGTTCCAAAGCAAATGGTGAAAGGATTATTGCTGAGATACAGGGTAGTCAGATTTGTTCATTCTTTTTCTCTAGCTATAGAACCAGCAGAATTGGAAAAAAGGATAAGATAGTAATTATATGTAGATAAAATTTGAAATTTTACAATAAAACCTGACAAGATTCCTGGGGGCAAAATTTATCTAACCAACTCAACCGCAGAACTCATTGTGGTTATACATCGTAATATCTGAAGTGGAAAAAAACGTTATTATGAGAAAATTTGAAATATTAAAAAGAGATAGTACAGATGATTACCAAAAATAAACTGTTTTTAAGAACTTTTTCAGAAGAAACCAGATTACCAAAATGAGTTTTTTTTAAAGAACTTTTTGATTAGACACAGGATTATCAAAAATAAACTTTTTGATAAAAACCAGAATTGATTAGAAATATCAAGCATGGGCTTATCACAGATTTACATTTAGTTTGCATGTTTGAGGGTTGTTTGTTGTATATATGTGTTTAAAATCTATGGTTTCGGGATCTCATACCATGTAAACAAATGCCAGAGACATTGAGGTATATCTATATATTCAGATATCATTTTGATGGTAATGGTGTGTTGGCTCCTGGTAACTTCCGCTGTGTAAAAGGGTAGCCATTGTATTGTTAGTATGTATGATACAGCTAGAGTAGACCTTTTGTTGTGTAAATACAATGTTTATTTACTTGAACCTTTTAATTAAAATTGCATAAATGGTTTGAGTTCCACAAATGATAAATTTTTTGAAAGTGGAATTTTAAAATTTTGAATAGTTTTATACAGCATGGTTGTTCAATTTAATTGTATACAAAAATTGTCAGCTTTGAGTTATTTTTTCTCTGTCAAGTTTGTGTTTTATTCTTATAAATCATTCATATACATTTTCAAATATACAAGTATTTAATGCCTGTTTATTACAAGCAAAAACAGGAAATTCCACAACATATAAGTTTGTATCACATTGCATTCATACCGCTGTAAGTGCAATAGAAAATGAGATTAATAACCACGTCATTCTTTAAGAAATCCAACGTTGACAATATTTTTTACCATGTTGTACATGTATTTGTATCGAGGGACATTTTCCTAGTTATCAAAGTGCTAATGATATATTTAGGTTTTATCCAATATTGCTGTATATTGGTTATTGCATAAGAAATATTCTGAAATTAACTCAAGCTTATGCAGTGCTTCCGTTTAGAGAAAATATGCTTTCAATGAATACCAGAGCTTTGTTACAATCATTTTGTGAAAGAGTTTGACTTATGTTGGAATTTCTGGAATTAAGAAGAAAAAAAAACAGAAAAAGTACATCTTTTACATTTTCTCATTTTTTTAGTAGTTATAAACTAAAAATGTTTGAATACAGTAGAATTCATACATGTATGATATTTAGTTTGCTTTCACAGGTTTCGATATCAATCACAAAATATCTAACCAGCTTATGTTCCAGTTCTCTGTCAAATAAGCTTCAGTTGTAAATAGACGATGAAACTATAAGATAGGGAAAAAATATTTTCAAATACATTAAGAATGAAAGTTTAGCACTATATTGGATTGGGTGTATATTTTTGCCAAAACTATTTACTGGTTTGTGGTAATCAGCTGCTGGAAAAATTAATTGATTTTGTCGTGGGTGTTAATGGGTGTTTTTGTTTGTTCAATAGGGCTGCTGAGGAAGCCTTCGTGAAGGACCGCGATGAGACACAACCAGGAGGAGAGTGGGAAAAAATATGCAGACTCTGCGAATTTAATCCCAAAAATTCGAAAAACACAAAAGATGTATCAAGATTAAGGGGAATTTTGCTACAATTGAAACAAACACCACTTGTTCGTTAATCATCAAGTTACTTTCGGGGAATAACAGTAAACTTTGAACAACAAAAATATGTACATGTTGAGTAAACGTTTGGTGATCTTGGGTACAAAGAAAACAATATAATTACTAAATGTGTTTAACAGTACCTAAACTATTCGTAACCAATACCAAAAGAAAGGAGTACACAGTATGTAGCTTATTACTTTATTTCTTCATTCATACATTGTGTTGTATCGAAATGTGAAGGATTTAAGATGTTGATAAAGGATATATGTGAGATAGTTGTACACTTAGATCATGAGCCGACATTGTGTTTTAGATTTAATATGCACTTGGTGTTGTGTGTTAGGATACTACTAGGTACAGAAACAATTCAAGAGAAGAAAATTCGAACTACAAGTATTTTATCTGCAGTTTTAAGTATGATGTGGTAGACCTGAACTGTGTGTCAGTATTGATGAGTTACGCTACAACATATTTGTGATAGTATGACTAATAAAAGATTATTTCTCTCAAAATATCTGACTGATAGGGAAGATTTTCACAATGATTTCATGTTTTTAATAAATGAACATTCATGGTCGTTCAAAGAATAAGCTTCATATTACAATTCGTAGAAAATTTTAAAATTACCCGTCATTCTTCAGTGTGTGATTCTTTTGGAGAGAGACTGTATATAATATGTAAAGTAGTGTACACCCTTAAGTCACCACACAATTATTCTGTAACTTTCAGCTTTATTAACAGTTATGATCAATTTAAAATAAACATTCCACTTAAGCATTGTTGGGGAGAAAAAAGGAATAACTGATTGAAATGTCTATGAAGAAACTTGCAAGGTCTGTAATAAAAATATAGCATTTTAGAGCGTAAAATTTAGGGGCTCCTGTAGGTAATTTTATAATCTGATAAAACTGTTGTGAGATACATGTGAAGTAAGTTATTGGAGACGTCATTTCATTTCACACTTGTAAGAATAAGGTTTGTAAATTATATTAATGTTCATATACATGTGAAATATAGGATTCCATTAACTGTAATTAAATATGTGATGGAAAAAAATCTTGTGTTCTTATTGATTGATGCCTGTTTAATCACAATGGTTGACAGATGGCCATCTTGGATTTTGACAAATAAGGCTACTTCTCAAGAAGTATAGGACAGATCTTCCTTAAAATTCATATTGAGATTCTTCTTCGCTAGAAATTATGCCTGTTCATTTCTCAGACTTGTCAGAAAGGTGAAGTTGTCAACAGGTAGCCATCTTGGAAATTATTAGATAAATTTTGTTATTGATACTGCTATTTCTTGAAAAGAACTTAATTTACCTTTCTCAAATTTCATTTGAAGCCTCTCCATAGTTCCTAAGTAAGCCTGTTAAATAATTAAAGTAGAGTAAGTCAGAAGAAGGACCTTGGTATCCTGCAGCATACGATAAACGATGGTTTGATATCAATTTGGAAGTGTCTGTACCATGTCGGTAAAAAAAAATTAAATTTGAATTTGGTTTGAAAATATTATATGCAAGACAAACAAGAGAAGGATCTTTCCAGTACTTTCTAAGAAATACTAGAGTTCTGAAGAAATAGTCCTAGTAATGTAAGTAATTATGTTACTGGCTACAACCGAAGATATACAGACTCTAGTCATGGATCCTAGACCCTATTGTCTGTAAACATTTCAAATATTGCTTTAACATTTCTTGGTGGAAAAATGGGAATAAATTTCAAATATTGAAATGTTAAATTGCATGTGGTGGCCATCTTGAATATTGGATCGTATACAACAATGATCCATACTGGTCATGTAAAATGAGTTGGAGATCCCTTCAGCAGTTTTGAGAAATAGCAGTCACTTAAAATGTCAGAATCCAAAATGGCTGCTGGTGACATCTTGAATAGGACTCTCGTTTAAATTCAAATTTTATGAAACAAGAGCAAAATATGAACAAAAGTAATATGTAAATGGAGAACCCTTGAAAAAGTGCAAGGAGAATTGAACCAGGTGTTCCAGAAAGTAAGCATCTTCTGCTTCATCAATGACACCCACTTTGTAAATCTAGGTGAAGTAAGTAATTATGAATTCCCAAATAAGAACAAGATAAACAAAAGAACTAACCAGCATACTAATGAGCATCAAACATGCCCAACTATATATTGCACATAAAATAATGCCCATTGAGATCATTATGACGACCATAAGACCTATGACCTTCATCAACCTACATTTCTTAAAACCTTTGTTGTTTATAATATCAGCTGTCAACATCTTGCACAAAAAAATGAAAATATGGCATTGACTGGATATGTATTTAAATATGATGGGTTGGGGAAACATGCTTTATGCTATCTAGAAATGGAAAATTCACATTGAAATCTAAACCATCATGCTTACCACACAGCTTAGTGGAAAACTATGCCTGTTGGTTTTTTTTATTGGAAAAGATTGATTGAAGAGGCAGATGTAGAAGAGTCTGACATATCCCCGACTGTCCATACTTTTCATGTCTATGGCAGTTGAAGGGAGTTCCCTGATGAAAAAGTAGACGCAATCCTAAGTGACTGCTAGAAGTATTGTTACTGGAGGTTGTTCTTGAGGAATTGACATGTCAAAGAATAATACTAAGGCTGTAAGTATGTTTTAGATCAAAGACAGCTATCTTGTCAGTCCCTTTACTTTACAGCTTTTATGAGAAACAAGAGGTCCTGGTGGGATCTTGGCATCCACCATTGTTTGATCTTTATTTGCTCTTTGAAAGTTGGATCTTTTCCCTTCTTTTCTCTGGTTTTGCTCTTAATGATAAAACATTCCTTTGCAGAAATAAATGATAATTTTTACCTGCCAAATCCACAATGGCTGCCTGGAATCCATTTTGTGTTTTCTATCCGTACCAAAAGCAAATGAGCACAAGGAGAGACAAGATGGAACATAGATATGAAAAATGAGAGATATCCATTCAGTACTAAGAAATAGCAGTAACAATCTTTACCAGGAAAAATCCAAGATGGCTGCCTTTGGCCATTTTGTTTTTCTAAACAGGCACAACTAGGGAACTAAAAGAACCTATAAGAGTGAGAAAGATCTATAGAGTAGTTCTCAAGAAATAGTGATAACAAACTTTCAAAGTCAAAATCCAAGATGGCCAAGCCCAAAATCCAATGGGAACGATTTGGGACCAAGGGTACCCTATATATGCAATTTGAGAAAGATCCACGAAATATTTCTCAAGAAACAGTGATAACAAGAAATGTTTACGAACAGACGATTGACGCAGTGATTTGAATAGCTAAACAAATGTTTAAAAATGAATTGTAGGCTATTGGTACTAACTCCCAAAAACGTTTCCAAAAGAAATGGCCAATATTCAATTTCATGGATCAAACTTGTGTGCCATCAGTATTATTAGTTTGTTTGCATCTTAATTTATTTAACTTCAAAAAGCTCATGAAAAGTAATGAACTTGACCCATATTTGAAGTCAATGGGGTCAAATTTGTTAAACATTCAGTAATGATTTAAAATTGTTGAAAAGACCTTGAATCAATACACATGGGAAGAAGAATGAAATAAGTGAAAAGAAATGGCCTTGAACCTTGTTAAAGATCACAAGTCTCAATTTTGCTAAAAACAGTGCAATTTCCATTGAAAAATGAAATGGCCAAGAATTATTAAACTCCATTTGTAGATTACTAGGACAATGTCTGACAAGTTAACATTCAGAGGTGCCTTGAAATTTACATATGGAAGTGTATGAGTGAAAGTTCGGCTGCAATGAGCATTTTCCCATTCATGGCAAGTAATGAAGGTCGGATTAGCAAACGATGAGGAAAGGCAAATCAACCTACAAACCATGTGATGACAGTGGTTTAAAAGCTCATGACCCCATGACATTAGTATACTATTCTTTTTTAAGGGTTGTACAAAACGACCAACTTTTGACCTGGTGATGATCTTGATTGGGCGTGTCTCACCCTCATTGTACAGTGTTTTCCCTGGCCCTTTTGGGAAATTGAAGAAAGTGGGATTCTACTGGCAGCAAATAAGGCAATGAAATAGTAAACATAAAATGATAAAAAATACTGGATCTCATGTTCTCTCATACCTGATTTTCAATCTGTGGAATTTTTCATCACTGGGAGTGGGGCCTAAACAATGATCGTAAATATAAAAACAGAACAAACCACTTGCTGACTACTATTACTCTAACAAGGCTAAACATACATCAGCAGTAAAAAAAAAACAAACACATTGTTACCATAGAATTGAACTTTTTATTTTTTACTTGCAAGAAAAAACACAAGTTTCATCTGATACAATGGACAATTCCACTGTTGTTGGACTTTATACAAACATTTACAGAAGCTCCAATGCACAACTCCAACGATACAATGATTCGTTTAACTACATAAATCTACAACTTAATTACAGTGGCACAATGGCAATGAGAAATTTCATCTCATATCAATTTTACGGCAGTTTTTTGTTTTTAAAGAATATTGTGCAACAAGAAGATCTGTTGTCATGGTAACTAAGTGTAAGAAATTTAATGATCTATTGAATTATTACCAGTAATAAACACAAGGTCTTTGGTGGCCATAACAACTTGCCTACATATTAGGAGCCGTTATAACTATATGGAAGCTGATACACCATGTATAAATTATCAAGAAACAAGAGGAAGCTATCACATCCAATAACGTACTTACAATTGATGAATCATTGTTCAAATAACTTGAATAATTCTCATATTTGATTGACCAATCGCTTTTAATTTTGATTCTGATTAATATAATATATCAAGAGGAACTTCTATTATTCCCGTTACAAAGTCACCTGCCTGAGGTGGTACAGCCATTAACATGTATTGGCAAAAAACATTTAATTTAAATGAAGTAATAAATTAAATGCAAACTCTCTGGGGATTCAAGCCCTTTAAGGCCGATGTGCAACCTTAAATTTTGAGGATTTAAACTTAAACTCTAAACAAGCATTGGAGACCAAAAACAGATTTCTCAGTAAGTCTCTGCTGCAACCATCCCTTCCTTCTTCATCAAATACAGCTTCCCATAATGCATTTCCTTTCATCACTTACCTAGTTTTGGTGATAAAATTTCACCAAACATCCCTCCCATGATGCATCTCTCTCTACCCATAAACTAATATTTTTTTCTGTACAAACCTCTACATATTTTTATCTTGTCCAAAGCTTATCAACGATTGCCTGATCGTCGCACTTTGTAAATATTGATAAACAAGGTGGTCAGTCATTACTTGAAAACAATTTTTTATCCCCACCAAGCCTATATACAAACGAAAATACCCCGAATATACAAAATCAGAAATTATTTTATACTACAATATGTATATATAACAAGGTAATATCTCAACCGTCTGTACACAGCAAACTTTGTACATAAATGGGTTCATTACCTATAAACACATTCTGATAAATGTTGAATATTTTACATATGAAGGAAATATACACTTCCTTAGTTACCATGACAACCTATCTTCTATAATTTCACTAAATACACCTCTCACTCACAAAAAAAAATTATTTATATATTTTCAAGGTATTTATGATACAAACTATTAACAATGTTGGTGAATTTACAATTGTGGTTAGATTTTTGGGGTTACGGAATATTATACAATTTTTTCACTAGATTGAAATAAAAAATCTTAAATTTTCTTCTATACTGCTATATTACAAACGTGTTTACCTTGTGGAGAGGTTATACCGACATGAACACATCTTTCTCGTCTGCCCTACGGTTAGGACATTGTATATACACATTTACAGGTTATTAGTACGACGGACCCTGTTATGCACTGTACAATAGTATGTTCAACATATACAAGTGATATCTGGGATTAATATACAATAGTCACATTATAACCATAAAATTTTACCAACATTTCTAAAGAATATTGGTGTTTCGTCTAATTATTAAAGTCTGAAATTAGACTGTAATCCCTCAATATATTCAGAAGAGAAATCCTGGTGAAATTTCAAGGTTTTAAGTGAAAGTGAAGGCATATATATGATAATGTTAT